TGTAAACTCGAAATAGAACGGCCCCAACACAGACCCTTGTGTGAACCCTGCTTTGGTAGATTTGCTACTGGATAAACTATCATTCACCAAACCTGTTTGACGACGATCTGACAGATAACTGCGGCATCACGCTGATACTTTACCAGTAATGCAATATTGTTCTCACTTATGTAACTGTCCTCTGTGCCATACTCTGTCGTATGCCTTAGAATACCATTCAAAGGTATCTACGAATATCTAGCGAGTTATCAGTTTATCAGTTAATGTGTAGTACAATTGTTTGGTACGAATCTCTATTGATATTTGGAGAGCAGTTTGATCTCGAGACAGTAATTGTACATTCGTTTGAAAACAAATCTCTTAAATAACTTCCAAGGGCAAGGAAAGAGTGCTTGTTGCTGGAGGGGTAGGATTTTGGTCCTGTTTTGTACAATGGCATTACATGGCTAGTTTCCACTGTGATGGGAATGTGCATTGTTCTGGAGATAAACAAAATGACAAATGTGGAGGATTGGCTGTGGATATTGATATATATTTAGTAATCTGTGGTTCAAGTTGTCGGAATCAGGTCTAGTGTCAATGTTCGCATGATACACTGTGAATAAAACAACATTATGTTTTCAATCTAACAACATTTTCAATACAACTGTTAATTCTGCACAAATATTCCTCTGACATATTCAACTACATAACTAACTAAGCTGACTAACTGACTCACAATGTTGATATCTTACACCAGGAAGTACATTGTTCCGTGTAGTCCAGTCACGGGTGTGCCGTAATGTTTCTTCTTCAGTATCGTGTTGTTATAGAAACTACCAACTATCAATACAACGTAAAGGAGGTTGAATCAGAAGCCGACTGTATGTGTGTGGTTGTTGATGTGCACACCTTTAACGTCATGTACCTAGATATAAAGTTCTCAAGACATTATATGACATTACAGTTACAGGAGTTCACATACAAACAAATGTATATCTTGTATACATGATCACAGATAAAAGGGTTATTTAAGTAGATGTGTACGCCAGTGGTACCATGTGTTGGTTTTGATTTGGTGTCGTGGTCTCTCACTACAATATAGCTTCGTATCAAATGTCTGTTCACTTCTTAAATGGAAACGCTTTTAGTACTTTTACATTAAAGTACTGCTTTTAATTGAATTCGAGTGTCTGTTTGTAAATCCTATTCGTAAATTATGTGTGCAAATGAGCTCAAGTTGTGTGTTCTCATCATTGTTGTGCCTTTTAACAACTTAGTAACAGCTTTGTCACAATATCGGTATCCAAGGATGAAATTCATGAGCGGCGATCATTAAGACAGAACAGTGAGTTTTACTTTTATTTCGTTATTATTCTTAAAGTATGTAATCAACATTTGTAAGGACATACTTAAACTATAATCTCAGAGAAAGATAAAACAGTTACAAATTTCATTACATCATGTTTAGGCGTTTAAAGTCTTTTCTGGTAGAAATTTGAACTTTTCTGTTTAAAAGTATACTTCATGTCTTCGTTTTTAATCATTTGGTAAAACACATTGTCTCGATAACAAACTATCATGGTTTCTTAAAGAATGGATCAGGCAAAGGAAAGAAACTGGACAAACTTGGAACGGAGCAAAATTGTGACATTGAGGGATGCAGGAAATAAATGGAGTATTATTCAGAAGTTTATGGCGAGAGAATACAAGTGTGGTGTCTCAGTTAGAGGTATGATCAAGCTGTATGAGAAAGTAAAGTTCACAAATACACAACTTCTAATTTTTTTTCCTTTTTTCCTTTCCTGTTCGAGCTCAAAATGAATAGTTTAAATGGATTTCCTTAGGTGAACAAACTTTTGATACGCAGCTGTACCTACTGTTGGTGGACCATTGGAAGCCATGACGCATTACCTTTTGATCGAAAACATGTATCTGAGCCATCAAAACACCTGTTCCGTACAGTTTGACCGGATATCCTCCGAAGTCCAGACACCCTGGCTGCTGTGCTCTCGCCCGTGGCAGTACGATCACGCAAATGTAGTACCCGGATGTACCGATCTTTGGCTGCAGTGGTTACTCACGTTCTGCCTGTACGGGGACGGTCATTTGTTATACCTGTTTGGTTGTAACGAGCTGTAAGCCGTGATGTCGTGCTCATACTAACATTCAGAGCCTGGCAATGTTCCGTGTCGCAGCCTCAAGACGTAGCGTAGTGATTTGACCTTGAAACTCCTTCAAAACGAATGACGATTTCCGAAAGTAATCTGGATTTATATTGCCAGACAGTGCATGCTCTTTCCTGCGCAATTCCACATGAAGGTGATTTCTGTTGCGTTGTGGGATGCATTTTAATCATTGTAAGAAATCCCATCAAAATCAACATTTTCAGGTAAAGTCGGTTTTTGTTGGTCAATTGTGTAAAAATCATGTTGTCAACACTTTCGTTACATATTTGACGATTGTTTGAACACAATAGGCAATTAATAGATTTTTAAAAATTCAAAACGCCTATGCGTTTCTTTTTAGATAGTATATAAATATAGAAATGAAACTGATTAACAAAGAGTTTGAATAGGTGTTTTAGCAACCTTCTTTGAGCTCTATATCTCAATATTAGCCGCCATTAAGATCTAAAAACAACAACAGCATTTTAATGTCACTTTTCATCATTTACTTCCTTACACTCACTCACCAAGGCAAACATTTCCTCGAATTAGTGCAAACATTTGTGCTAACAACATACGGCAATCTACCCAGTAGAAAGTGCAGGTATCGCTCACAACGAAATGAGGACAGTTATACAACCCTCATACCATAGAGGACACCGTGTCCCAAGCTTCACACACGGGTTCCTGAACCAACGTCATTTCAAAACTGTTCTTGCATGTCCCATTCAGTGATATAATAATCGGTTCATTTGAAGTCCAACTTAGCTTTTCAGTGAGTGTTTCAAAGAGTGTTCACTCTGTCACAGTTGACATTCACACGCCCTATGATTTGACTGTGGTAATGAGACACGACTCGCTTTATATTTAACTGGTGATACTATGTTCTCCTTTATCTGTATGTTGGATACAGCGCCCCTACAGAGTGGTTGCGTTAGAGCCTTCATGGACGTCTACGTTTCAAAACACATCGGTGACAACCTGTAACTGGCATAAAGCTAATATAGAGACCATTATCAGAGTCACGTGGCATAAAGCTAATATAGAGACCATTATCAGAGTCACGTTTTAGTCTCTTTAGTTCTGAACATAGCGCCCTGTCCTTTTCTTGATTTAGAGATAATCTCCTAGAGTTGGAGAGTATGAAAACGAAATGATTAAATACATGATCGTGCACCACAGAGACACAACAAATATAGACATCTGTCACAATCCCAGCTTTCTGTCTAACGGTTCTAATCAGCATATTATGAAAACTGATAGGGTGTTTTCTCGATGGTTGTAAGACATCAGGTCAACAAAATCAATGTTGTCTGTTATGTATATATGTACTGGTATACCTGTGTTGCGTATGCGTCACGCCATGTACCAACTCTTTGTGAAGTTCGAAATGATCACGGATCAGTGATGCTCACCTACCTGGTGCTGAAACATTTATATGTAAGGAGTCTACTTACCTGCCACGACAGTCACGCCGACCAACAGCAGTACACCACTGGCCCACACCGCCATCGTCACATACTGCAGCACAGACCAGGAAGTGTTTACTTTCCTCTCAAAATATATGATTGTGTGCAACCATGCAGCGGACAAAGAGACTGTCTATACATGAAACCTGTATAAAATCTAGTAGTATAATCGTGAAAATTCTGGAACGATAGAAATCGGAAAGCTGACATATGACTTTATTTACGTTTTACTGAACGGTATGTGGTCTCTGTTGCTTTACATGTACCGTATTCGCTGTAGTGCATTCAAAATCAGAACAGTTATAACATATGTTCTCTTTCCTCGATCTCAAAGAAAACAGAAGATTCTTTTGTCACATTAGGGAATGTTTTTTAGTGCAGATTTCCCATAGGCCGGATTTCCCTATACAAGCAAACTAATGTGGAATCAAAGATACAGATATTTTGTCTCTTTTTTGATGCAGATATAAACCAATCAAGACTTCTTCATTATTATCTTTTATATAATTTTGTCAACCCGATCAACCGCCCCGACTTTAGATCACGATGACAGAGTGAATCACATAACAAATGGGTGCCCTAACTGTGGAATATAAAGGCGAGAGCTAATCGTGTGACTGGTGGGTGTTACCCGTGGTGCATTGTGATCTACCTTCAGTTGTTGGCGACCTGTAGCCTGTGTTTATATTGTATTGTCTTCGTAAATAAAATAGTGTTACATTTAGCAGCTAGTTTTAGACTCTGTGATACTCTAGTTATTTTACAGTCCTTCGATGACTGATTATTTAACAGCTTATATTTATTGTGTATGTAGAACCTTTCTCGTCAATATACATGGCTGGAATGTTGCCGAGGTGACATTTAATTTTACTCACTCACTTACTCACTACCAGTGGTGCAGGACATACTTTCCGTCTTCACGAACACCCGGTATCATCACTGATTGTCAGTGATCAAGTCATACAGTTTACACTGCTATTTGCCGTTAATGTTAAATGAAATTATCGACTCAACGAGAACAGAATTTATGAACAAATAATATATTGCGCTACCAACAACGCATCAATCCGCAGTAAGCGTTTTTTTCTATTTTTTACACGTATTGGTATGACAGGAGTGAGTGAGTGAGTTAAGATTTAAAGTCACATCGGCAATATTTCAGCCATATCGTGGCTATATTCATGATAGATACACATAATTTATATAACCCTGTCAACGAAGGACAGTGAAATGACTAGATTATCACAAAATGGGTTAAAACTAGCTAGTAACCACTTGGCTACCCCACCGCCCCTTATAGGTAACACGATGCGATATAGGTAACACGATACGATATAGGTAACACGATACGATATAGGTAACACGATATCACACACTTATTTTCGTATGCTGACACTGCTGTTGTAGTATGTCATGTCAACAAAATGGCCGTCTGTGTCACCGAGCTGAAGTAGGTCAGACATGTATTCAGCTATAAATCATAGCATCAAGATTAAGATTACAAATATCGTTCGTTTGTAGATGAGGCTAACCGTTACATTCACAAAAGAATTATGGCTATGTATTTGCCGCTGAAACATTCCAAATATACTTGTGATGAGGTCAAAATAAAACAGTAATGTGATGCATGCAAGGAAACAAAGACCCCAGCCTCTCTGTTGTTTCATATCTGACTTGGGAAACACATATACAGGAGAGAAACAAAACATGATTCACGACGAAACGATAATAATCTTCAAAGATATCACATAGCTAGAGTAACACTCAGCTGTTTCAACCGGAGACCATTGTCAGGACTGGTGTCGGTTGACTAAATTACATCAGAAGGGAACGTGTTTTACACACTGCCCGGAAAACATGTAGTTTTCCTGACAAGATAGCGCACCTCGTCTGTGTATTACATAAGCGAACGCCCATTATTTTACTTCGTTCATTAAGCAGCACAGTGTATAGTTAACCCTTCATGATCTGATGTACTGACACCAGTTTGGGCTTCATCAGAGCATAAGCTTCTTTTGGAGTTAGTGAGTTCCTTTTTACGTCGCTTTTAGCAATATCATGGCACGGGACTCCAGAAATCGGCTTCACATATATCGAACCCGGGACTTCAGCGTGAGGAGTGAGGAGACGTCCATGTTGTCCAGTGAACAAACCAGGAAGTAGATTCATGTAGAGACATTACCTGACACCATGTCCAGCATGGAGACACAGAACAGCACCCCGAGCACGGATACCTCCATGTTGCCCAGTGAACAAACCGGGAAGTAGATTCATGTAGAGACATTACCTGACACAATGTCCAGCATAGAGACACAGAGCACGCACCTCCGAGCACGGAGACCTCCAGGAAGTAGATTCATGTAGAGACATTACCTGACACCATGTCCAGCATGGAACAAGACAGCAGAGCACGGAGTATGTTGCCCATGAACAAACCAGGAAGTATATTCATGTAGAGACATTACCTGACACCATGTCCAGCATGGAGACACAGAGCAGCACCCCGAGCACGGAGACCTCCATGTTGCCCAATGAACAAACCAGGAAGTAGATTCATGTAGAGACATTACCTGACACCATGTCCAGCATGGAGACACAGAGCAGCACCCCGAGCATGGAGACGTCCATGTTGCCCAGTGAACAAACCAGGAAGTAGATTCATGTAGAGACATTACCTGACACCATGTCCAGCATGGAGACACAGAGCAGCACCCCGAGCACGGAGACCTCCATGTTGCCCAGTGAACAAACCAGGAAGTAGATTCATGTAGAGACATTACCTGACACCATGTCCAGCATAGAGACCCAGAGCAGCACCCCGAGCACGGAGACGTCCATGTTGCCCAGTGAACAAACCGGGAAGTAGATTCATGTAGAGACATTACCTGACACCATGTCCAGCATGGAGACACAGAGCGGCACCCGAGCACGGAGACCTCCATGTTGCCCAATGAACAAACCAGGAAGTAGATTCATGTAGATACATTATTGTTGTGACCAGAACGTTATCAGCTGGAGTTCTAAGTGGACACTCTCCATACGACAAAAAACACTTTCTTGGGTCTAAAACGCTGACTGATTTACAATCCAAGGCCCCCCAGCACAAAGCGATGCCAATGCTACATCTGCCCTAAGAATGTGTCAGGGTATAGGAGTATCATCTTGGCCAAGACCACTTTTTGCACGTAGGTCCAAGAGCTGTCCCACAATGCATACTATATTTCAGCCATATCGTGACTAAACTAGTTCTAAATTCATAATACACACATATTATATATAAAACCCTGTCAACGAAGGACGGTAAATTTACTAGGATATCACAAACTGAGTTAAAACTAGCTAGCATATATCTTCAAGGTAGAATATTATTTTGGACGATAGAATTAAAATGGTTTATCTATTGTCAACAACTGAAGGTAGATCACCATACTACGGTCCATGGGGACTTACATTACTTTGCTACATGCATGGAGCCTAGCTGGATTTACACCATCCCTTCAGCCATTGAGCGTTTATGCTGAGATTTTACCCATACATTGAAATGACAAAATACTACTTTTAAAAACCTGGTAGACTTAAATTTAATAAGTAGGTAACTACATTATACCCATTAATTCCGGTATTTCATGTTAATTATTTCAGATCCTTTAACGTCAAAGAACATTACAATGTAAAAAGTTCGAAGTCTGTAACTTTTGATGTTATGTTTTTATTTCAGCACTATGACAAACACCGTGTGCATAATATCATAAAAAGATAATGATTGCATGCATTCATGTTAATGTGAACAGATGTGAATGATTTAAGATTCTAAGTGGACATGTGTATTTATTGCATATCGTGCATCGTTGTTTCACTATGATCACCACTCGCCCATAGCCAGTTTCCAGTCAAAATACACAAACTGGCTGGTGAGTAGTTAACCCACATATCTACTTGACCAAGCAGTTTCAGTTCTCTTGTGTTGAGATGAAGGATGAGGCCAGTTCAAAACACGTGGATACTTCAGCCTGAAAATAAACAGTTTCGTTGTTTAGAGAGGTCAAACCACACACATGGGGCTTCTGATAAAGATATCACCTTTACGTTTCACTTACTACAAACTCAACATTGTATGTGATCAATGGTTGACTCCATCCCCAGTGGGATGGGAACAGTTTGTGGGTTACCCTTGACATTGCTCTTGTTTGTTGAAAGTGAAGTTGCACAACCATGAAGGCATTTCTTGTAACACAATGGATGATCTTGCTGCCAAGGCAGCACTCAACAAATCTGTGACACCACTTCTTATTCCATACTCTGATTATCAGATCTTATATCCGTGATCTGATGCAGAAGAAGTGGGACACCCACGTAGGTATCAATAAATTACATGAAATAAAACCTTATATTGTTTACACCTCCTTGGGTTGTTAGTCCAGATTTGAAGAGGTCATTATCCGACGATGTCGTATTGGCCATACTAGATATACTCATGAATACCTGTTAAAAGGCGAGGATCCTCGTTTTGTATACCCTGTGATGAGACAATCACGGTCAAGCATGTCTTGCTTGACTGTATTGATTTCTCCATCACTAGGGATAAATATTTCAATGTCAAAACAATGAAGGATCTTTGTAATAATGTTAATTATTATTTAATTATTGGCTTTTAAAGGAAATAGAATTACCAGATAGATTTTGAATAATATGTTTTGAAAATAGATAAGTGGTATTTCATAAGAACATTTAAACTTACCACCCTTTTTCAAACGTTGTATTTTTGTGATTTTAATTTTGGATAATTGCTTTTACTACCTGCATCGACCCCAGGTGGATTTACACCATTCCTTCAGCCGTTGGCGATTGTAGGAACATTTAGCCATTAGTTAAAATAACAAAAATACTACGTTTTAAAAATCTGATAAGTCTAAATTTTACTTTGAAGGTTTTGGGACTTACGTAACCTTTAAGGAGGACAATCATTTTACAATACTTCTACCCCCTTCGAGGGTACAGCCACTAACAATCTAAGTTACCAATCTAAACTATCAATCATAAAAGCATCTATTTACACAGACTCTTAATCAAAGTTCATCAATGAAGTCACTTTCTTTTAAAAACCCAAGAATTAAATGAAAATGAACAGTGGTAAAAAGATCTTTAACAGTTTTCACATTGAAATATTTATCCCTTATGATGGAGAATTCAACACAATCAACCAAGACATTGTCAAAACAGAGTGCCATCAAGCCTCTCTAGATCTGTGACGTTACCTTAATAGCTGTTCCCCTCACGAAAACGAGAATGGTAGGCGTGGTGCTGCAGTTGATTTCAGGTGGGACTCGAACCAATGTTGATGTACCAGCCCTAGTGCATCCAGCTTTGAAGCCTAAACATGTATGTTACATTTATTCCTTATCAATGTTAAATTGGTTCTTGTCAAGATTTGGCTGAAATATTGCCGATAAATATTAACTCACTCACTCACTCACTCACTCACTCACTCACACTCAAATCCTTTCATCTTCAATGATTTGTTTTCATTCTTATTCAATGAAAATTGAGCATAAGGATAAAATGAACCAATTCGCATTGTGTTTTTATAAAACGTGGAAATAATTTTGTGTCAGGATAGCTATAGACATTGATATATTTTTTGCATACCAAAACATATGGATTTTCGAATAAAGTTCGGTCCGCAAGTGAGTCAAACTGTTTTGCACATTGTTGACTGACATCTAATACCTTGGATTATAAGCAAATATGCTCGCCTATTGGCGAGATTTTTTAATAACGCTCTACATTAGTCGAAATCAGTCGAAATGATTTCAAGTTTCTTTCATGATACTTTTTTGAACATACTTTCATTCCTTTACAACCTCCAAAACAAGGAAAACAATGTATTTGAGTAAAAGTAAATATAAAAGTAGTTTAAAAATTACCGGAAGTGAAATTACGAATTTGCATGGACATGTTAATCTCGAAATAAACTTTAATGGACACATGTAACAATCCTGTTTTGAAGTTTTCAGACATTGCAGTAGAAACATGTAAAGATGCAGTGTACAGCCCAAAACGGTCTAGATTTCTGACGGACGGTCTAAATTTACAGCTAGCCAGCCCGATGGTCTGGTAAAACTTGAAGTGTAACCATACATCTGAGTATCAAGGCTGGTGACATTTTGAAGTTACCAGCCTTCATGTCTAGCTGGGTTTTTTACATATTTCATACACTGAAAGATGCATGCCATATACGTGTCTTACAAATGGTACGTTTGTTGCTCAAAGTACGATAAGCAATGTCATGATACGTTATTGGGCTTTTTAAAAGATTACTTGCCACCTGTTCGTTTTTACTGCGGTAGGTATCCATGAAGAAATTATGTTGTATTGAACGTCTATATTAATTCAGTACCCTGTCTTTAGAAGAGTCTTGTGGGGTAGTCTAGTGGTTAAAGTGTTTGCTAGTCACACCGAAGACCCGGGTTCGATTTCCCAGATGAGTTCAATGTGTGAAGGCCATTGACAGTGTCCCCTGCAGTGATATTGCTGGAATGTTACTAAAATAGGCGTAAACCCATAGACACTCACTCACTCACTTTAGAAGCTATTTACTGTCAGCAAGAGTTTGAGGGGAATTACCACCCCAAGTGCGGAGTAGCCGAGTGACTGAGATGATGGCGTTCTCAGGCTGCGTTGTGGAACTGGAACTCAGGATGCCTGAATGTCTTCCTTGTTTAAAACGAAATAAAACTACAATCAGTTATGAAGAAAAACTACATTTATTAAACAAAAGCGATTTCTGAAATTATAGGACATTTTCACAATCATAACAAATCTATACTGAAAAATAACTCAGGTCTTTATCACAAGTTGTACTAAAAACATCAATATGATTGATAAACATCTATTAAAACAATGTAAAACATAATGTTAAAATCATAATAACGTCTGTGTAAAGGTGTTAATCATCGTTACAACATGGTCTTGGTATTATCTCCACATATGAGGAAAGGTTACCGTAGACGACAAAAGGAAACTTAAAAGAAACCAGTTGCTGACATTTAGGTATGAGCTCAACATTCTGCGTTGAGAAAAAACCTTAGTATTTACGCGTTGAAAAAACACGACTATTTCTTCCAGTGTTGTTTCTTCGCAATTCCTTAATAGTCCACACATTGTCAATCATATAGGGTACTGTTCATGTACTGTCTGTCCCTATACGGTCGTGGTGAATTAAGGTATCAAAACATAATAACTGCTGTTCTGCTCATTAACAAAGTCGGGTATTGCAAACCTAAACATTACTCTAAACTACTTGGCTCAAAACAATGTAAATATTTTATAGTTTGATTATCACACATCACATTTGTGTGTCAACATCCGGCCAGTGTACATGTATTGTTGCCACGTCATCGTCCTCGTCTGTCTCTTGTACAGTTTTAGATGTGAACCTGGCTGTTGGGATATACACCTGAGACATTCAGTGACTTATACATGTCTGGTGACCGTCCGTCCAGCGTGGCGTACTGACTTCCAGATATGACATCGTAGTCAGACACTGTTGTAGTTGGTGAAGGTGAAGACACCGTCGGGTTTCCACTTGATCTGGATTTGTCATGGTTTTCGCCGTTCCTGCGAAATAAATGTTCAAAACTGCTTTAAGTGGTGTGTTATATCTCCGTTTACCGAGTGGAAAGTGTGCGACACACCAATTGTTGGAAATGATTATCAGATGTTTTGATAACTGATAAATTACAATTGAGACGTATCAAATCAACATTGTTTGAAATTTGGCTTCAAATTAAATTAAGTAGCTTCCTCGTCTGGAAATGTACAACAGATATTGTTAAATCCTTATAAGGTATGTCAACCAATGCCGTCAAGACTTGAGATACAGTGATGTATTGTACTTCACGTGCGTTTTCCTCCTCCAAAGACACACCCCGCCCATCACAGCAGCCATGGATACCAGCATTGCCAGAGCTCCCAACAAGCCAGCAGACAGAGGGGATATACTTCTGTCCTCGTGATCAAGTGTCCCTGTGACAGCTGGGACGGAATATAGTGGATAATTTGTAATACAATCTATGTATCAAACTAACCTAATCTTGAAATATGAAGACATATGTTTTGCAGGAAAAATTCAATGCGGATGCCTGAAAAAATACCAATATTAACTGACAAAAATCTCCAGATGACATACTTCCTTTGAAGACAAAAGTAGATGCTATTCATAGAACAGTCCTTAGTTCACCTGGAAACACAACATACATCTATATCACATATAATCAGCTCAGTTACAGTCTCCAAACAACAGAGCCGATGACATTTGTATTAAATACCGAATATATCAACAGATCTTCAACAATGCCACTCATACTGTTGGCATTACCTGAAACGTTTCATCTACAACATTTTGTAATCATGCATCTGCAAAATCTTCCCAAGTTTGCAGATGTATAGTTAAGTCTACCACTCAAACTATTTCTACAGTAAAGATCCACTAAACGTGTGCTACAGCCTTCGAGTGAGCGAGTGAGTTAAAACTTTCAGTCACATCGGCAATATTTCAGTTATATCGTGACTAAATCAAGTTATAGTTTATAACGATTAAAAGTAAATTTTTACAATCTGTCAACGAAGGTCAGTTAAACAACCAGATTATCACAGATGCAAATTTAAAACTAGTAATTAAATCTGAAACAGTTTAACTATTGAAGACGATACAATATAAAAACAGGCTGTAGATCGCCAACAACTGTAGGGAGATCACCATACTAGTACAGCCTTCGAGAGCGCCATCATTGAAGAATATCGATGCCATAATACCGTTTTCCACGTCAGCTGTCTTGGAGGACACCGGATTATTTCCACTCTACAAGATTACGTAATGTGCACATATGCCAAAATGTTTCTTTAAACATCCTCACAGAGAGATAATTGCTTGGACAGGCAGAAGTACCGTTAAAATTACTGTCTCAAATATCATCCTTAATACCATCATAGAAGGACTTCCTCGATATCCACAAGGCTGTAGGACAAATAAAGTGATTTCATCTGTCCATCAGTCGGCTTTCCCTTCAATGTCAAGCAATATTCCAGCAGCTTCAGTCTTCGGTGTTTAAAAGTCCCAAATCTTGAGTTACATTCCGCCATACCCATCTACCACGATTTCAAAGAGCGTCTTCCCATTTATGCTCAAGGTTGCAACAACCAAGGAAGCAGTAGTGAGTGAGTGAGTTTAGTTTTAAGCCGCACTCAGCAATATTCTTTCTATATGACGGCGGTCTGTAAATAATCGAGTCTGGACCAGACAATTCAGTGAGCAACAGCATGAGCATCGATTTACGTAATTGGGATACGATGACATGTGTTAACCAGGTCGGCGAGCCTGACCACCCGATCCCGTTAGTCGCCTAGACAAGTATGGGTTACTGAAGACCAATTCTGACCCGAATCTTAACAGGCCAAGAAAGCGGTAACCCTTTAGTAGACATGTGGAGGTCATTTCATAATTTGATTCATCAGTGACAAAAAGGAAGCTATTCCCTATTTATTCTGGTGAACAAATGACTGGCCTTTGCGTATGCTTTTGACAGATGTCACCAGCCGTACAGGATACACTCACCCTTTCTCGAACACCTTGGTAGTGATTCGAAAACAAAATCCTCTGTCATCGTATCTCATCATTTCAATCACTGCATTGTCTGGTTCATTCTCGATTATTTAGTGACTGTCGTCATACAGCATATATCGTGTGCGTGATCATGCACTAATATAGGCTGACGTGTACAATCAACTCTGATTTTAGCTGTGTTTCTCATGGACGTGGACAGATTTGGTTGCAAGATTAAGAAATACAAGGGCGTTCATCGTGAAGGATTGATGCATAAATATTGAGATGTAATGTGTCTGTGAAGTCTGTCAAATTACAGTGCGGAATGTTGACTGGCAGGCAACATGTTGAAAGGCGGGTAATGTCTTCCAGTTAAAGCGCATGTACCTATGTAAGCATTTAACAGACTGTATGTGGACTAGGTGGCGTTTGTTTGAAATTTGCAGCTTTGCCTGTCCAAAGGTACTGTTCACTGAACTCTTAAAAACGATTACATTTATCACACATTTGTCAGGACAAGTCGTGGCGAGGTGTACCCAGAAAAGTAAAAAGTTATCCAAAATATGATCACATGTTTCGGAATTTCAGATTTAAGATTTAACAAGCATAAACGATTAACTTCGTACGTCGAGCAGAATTCAATGCATGCTTCCGACCATAAAATGTTTTTTGGGGGGATTGTTTTCAGTGGTCTCTTCACATTAATTACTGTTACCTCTTATCGCCTTTTTACTTAAGTTGTCTGATTAACGGATGACTGTCAAACCTTAATGACACCAGGTGTTCGTGAAAAGGTAATCGTTCTCTGTCCAACAAATCAAGGCGGCAATGTCAGATAAAAACAATATGATTTCAGCATGGCTCGTTTTACAGGTGTATAAAATTGACTCTTATCCCTTTACTTCCCTTTACTTCCCTTTACTTCCCTTTACTTCATTTGACTTATTGCCGACAAATCGTGCAGTTATAACAGGCCAACTGTTTGTGCATCAACAAATTTCCTTTCAAAGGTGTTCTTCGGATTACATATATCTGTTGATTCCTACCTTGCGTGCAGTTGTCTCCCTTCCACCCTGACAGACATCCTGACTCACACCGACCTGTATCCTGGGGACAGATGCCCGCCCTTTCCTCGCACATCCGGGCTCTGCAGTAACCCTCACAATTAGCTCCGTACTCAACACCCAGGTTACATGCTGTGAATTGGAAATGAATCAATTATATAACACATAAAATGTTATTAACGAAACAACAAAAAATAAAAATACTGAAACGAAAAGATGGCATCATGAGGATTTGTTAAGGGCGGTACAACACGTGGACATCGAATATGAAGACAAGTTCTAATTGTCTGACCCGGACGTTGTACCCTATTCTGATGAAAGTCTGCAGCACCCTGATTTGCCTTTTGCGATGGATTTCACGACCCTTTTTATGGATCAATCAATCGCGTACTCCCGTGGTTGATCTGAAGGGAAAGGGCTGTCAACATCAATGTATTACCACCACACTGTGGCTTCTACCTGTTCCAGCCGCACCAGTTATACACAATCCTTGGAAATCTAGTAGACCACAATTGCATGATACCTAGGATGTTATAGAGAGATTAAACGTGTCAAAATCACAAATGCCACCAAGAGTAGTGGTTTGTGGCGCTGTTGTGTTCGGCATGTGGAAGCTATCGGATGTGTTTAATGTTATGTTATACACGTTCGTATGGAGAATGACTGTCATCATCGCCCTATTTGTTCTGCTACTTGTATTGACATTTAAATTTTCTTATCATCTACCTTCTGTGCAGTCAATACCCTTCCAACCGCGTCTGCAGCCACCTTCACACATTCCAGTCACGTGGTCACAACTGTCTGATGAGGATTCGGCGCACTTCCTTTCAGAGCACATTTTGGAACAGCCGTTGCCGTAGGAACGTAGGCATTCTGTGAATAAATGACACCAGGCCAACGCTTAGACATTAAAAATGGATTATTCTGATACAAACACATTTAAATTAAAAAGGAAACTCAGTGAGTTGCGTGATTATGAATCTCAGGAAATTCTAGATTTGTTTCATTTCGGGTTTCTGCATCAGAGAAAGCGATAGGCGGAAGGGAAATGATAGGTTTAGAGATTTGAAATGGACTAAAATCACACATGCAATGAATGTAATACAGGAATAGTATGTTTGGATCCATTTGATGAATACATCTTTAACCACACATTCTTGCGGCCTATTAGTGAAGATACGTTTTACCCTTTGAACAGTCTGTTCCATTCCATCCTGCCTTACAGCCTCCAACACATTCCCCTGTCACGTGGTCACAGCTAGAGTTGTCACCCTTGCAGTTTCTATTTGGGCAACTCTTTCTACAGTTGGCACCATAGTGGCCAAAGCGACACGCTAAAAGACATAACAATGCAAAATAACATCGTTGCGAGTACATTATAATGATTCATAAGTAATTCGTGACATTTGTTTTTAATAGGCCACCGTTAGTTCACATAGAGAGTGAAGAACACACGTATTTCAAGTAGGTTTGCAAACAGTACGGACCTGTATCACACGCTGCTGTTGTCCATCCAGGTAGACACACTCCACTGGGGCAGATGCCGCTCACGTAGTCGCACACCTCGCCGTCACAGTGGCAGTAGTTGTCACAGTCAGCGCCGAAAGTACCATTGCTACACACTGTTAATGATCATGAAAGAAGACATTTAGGATGCAGCTGACTAAACCCTTTCAACATCCATAACAAACCTCGATCGATATAATTCCATCTATATAAATTATTATCATGTACTTTTTAACACAATCAAATACTGATGATACCAAGTGTCCCCTCAAGGCACAGTCAGCGCCGAAGGTAGCATTACTACAAACTGTTATCGAATGAAAGAAAATTAAAACCCCTTCCACATCCACACGAAATATCGACAGATTATACAGTTCCAACTATGCATATAATTGCATGTGTTTTGTATTAGTGATGATATCAGGTGTCTCTTTAAGCTTCATCATGTTGGCCTTGATAACATCAGTCGATGGATGAGAACACATTGTCACACCAATTATATGAAGTGCCGCCAACTGATTATGATTAGAATCTGACCACACCAAATATAGTGGTGTTTCCAATTGTTAGATTGTTTTTTCTCACATATCACATGTGTTTATCAGCCGCTGAAAATATCTCATAACTTTTGCTTAACATGTTATATTCATGATATCCGTGCAACAAGTATATTTTATGTCAATTGCATATATCAGTTTCACACATGATCGAATGTAAGTAACAAAGGCTCGATTGCCTACATCCGTGACATTAAAACTTGATTCATTCCCAGTAATTTTATCTACAATAAGCAGGGAGGAAATGAAAACGGTCATTTATGAAGCTATTAGTATGAGTAGTTATGTATGTGTCGCTATCCGGTAATTTTGAATGGGGAATCCTATGTTAAATTTTTCGATAAAAAGAGGTACCCCAATTAGCGAGCCCTGCCGCGGCGAGCGACAGTCGCCCACTAATTAAACACCTCGCCGCGTAGGGTAAACACCAGTCCCGGGAAGCTAGCGGGAAAAGTACACAGACATCGAGTCGAAAGTAAACAATATACGTACTCGCGAGAACCATAAAACATACAGACATACAAACACCGAACTCATTGTATATTTCGCGATGGATACGAAACAATATCAGTGGGTTATTGTCGCCAAGCCACCACAACGGTATAGAGCGCATTTCGACGACGAAGTCGTGTTGGGATGTAGTCAACGTTGGTATTATTCAAAAGGAGTGTGTGCGCCATCTGGAAGAGAAGCTGCGATATCGACCCGTGGACATTCCGGACTCATGGGAAGCCCGTGCACATTTATATATTCTCGGACAGCGTACAATCACCGTAGTCCTTACATCATAGCGGACAGGAAATGAACTTACCAACAGAAGTGGACGAAATAGACTCTGAGAGAGTAACGGCATATTTGGAATACTATCTATCGTGCGCCTATGCCTTAGTGGTATGGAAATTCATAAAAAGTATGAGAGGGAGACAGAGCACGATTTCGATACATTTTTCTTACGTCTATGAAAGCGATTGACGAAGACGCGGTTATTCTGAAGTGGCGTCAGTACGTGGATGGTGATCCGTATCTACGAGTCATCTCTCCATTATATTTTCTGAAATATCAATGTAGAGACTACCGAGACACCAGTATCAAAACCGACCAGTGGATGAACCATATCAAACGCACGGTTAAACGTTGGTGTGAAAGTATAATCATGCAGGTTGATTATCATCAGAATACTACGATCCCAGGAAACCAGGCGCTTTGGCTGGGTGAACAAAATTTTATGCCGCTCTGAAGCATCGTAACCCTAATGTCTCTTCTCATAGCGTACGAAGATGGATGAGAACGCAAGACGCCTACAACCTACATCGTTTACCAAAGAAACGATTTTCAAGAAATAAAGTCATCGTGGGAGGAATGTACCTACAAGCAGACGGAGACTTATGCGACGTTTCTAGGTTAGGGCAAGACAACGATGGAATTAAGTATATTCTCACCGTAATCGACTGCTTTTCGAGGTATGTCTGGGTCCGACCTATGGTAAATAAAGAATCAAACACGACTGCCAAAGCGATGAGGGAACTATTGTCATCCATGGAGAAACCGCCATACAGTCTAAGAACGGACAAAGGAAAGGAATTTAATAATCAAACACTGCAACGGATTTACACTCTCTATTTAACGTCAAACATTTTGTTACGCAAAACTCAGACATTAAAGCGAACTACGCCGAACGTTTCATTCAGTACTTTGAGATCTATGATGTATAGATTCCTCACGTACAAGCATACCCATAGGTACATCGACGTATTACAAGACCTTGTTTATAATTACAACCATCGCCCGCACAGGAGCCTGAGAGGAAGAGCACCCGTGGAAGTGAAACCATCAAAGCGAAGCTAGCATATGGTTGGATATATACGCGGACAAAGCGAATATCAAACCTCTACGAAACAGCAACTTTGCATTTAAAGTAGGAGACCACGTCAGAGCATCATTGGTCAAGAGAACGTTCGAGAAGGAATACGAACAGAAATGGTCGGGAAGAAGTGTTTAGGATACGTCAGCGACAACTCAGAGACAATATACACGTATATTGGATAGAAGACCTTCAATCCAATCCCATTAAAGGATCCTTTTATCAAAAACGAGTTGCAGAAATATCCTCCACGATCCCAACGAAGTGAATTGGCGTGTTGAACAAATACTCAAAACGAAATACGTCGGTAAGAAAGGAAGTAAGAAAAGGACCAAACGTGTTTTAGTGAAGTGGTTGGGATATCCAAAGAAATTCAATTCATGGATCGACGCTGACCAAATCAAGAACGAACACGTATTGAAAGAATGGCGTTAACAACGGAATGGATTGTGACTAAGAGCGACGATAAGCGTCGAGTATTTTCCTGAAAATAAACCTTATAAATTTTCAGTGCACCTGAAACAACCACTCAGACTGAACGGACATTGGACCATATCACTACGAAGTATACGCCAGAAGGAAGAACGCCAATAAGAAAAGAGATGTTTTGAATGGAATGTTGTATATATTCTGTTCCATTTGCGAACCGATCAGAGTACACGGTCAACGTCAACCTCTGTTGAGACGAGTGCAACAGTCAACAGCATCGACGTGGAAGGCTACGTTCTCCGATTCCTACGACATCGGCGTGAGAGTGATTAACGATACCGTGGAAGCGGTTGGATGTTTATATAACGGACGCCTGGGGCAATCCAGCCACTTTTCTGACGGACATTTCGTCTATCACTCTGCAGTTGAGACCATATCCTTTAACATTTTAATGTTATGGATGTCGACGACGCACTACCAAACGCAGCAGACAGGATGTATGTTCCGAATGCAAACACGTGGAAGAAATATTACGGCGATGCGTAGCGACGCGGGAAAATAAACCCTATTTTCACCAAAACAATAACTCCAGAAACAATGTCACGACTATGTCACCAGTATCCGCATCAAATCCGATGATCATCAACTCACCATGTGACATGTCATCTCTCCGAAGCGCGTGTCGAACGAGTGGTAGACGTCGCCAAGGGATATAAACCTCGTGAGTCCGGTAGAACAGGCAGTAGAACAAGCCAAGTCGGAAATCGAACACAACCTGACATCGTCTCCAAGGTAGCTATAAACGAAGGTATGATGATTAAAATAAGAGGTCGCAAGCACGGAGGAGGCAGTTGGAAGAAGACCCTTACGAAAAGGCGGACGTCACGAACAAAAATCCGCGCCAAGAAGAAAAACGAAGAAAGCTCGAAAGCAGAAAAAACGGAAAGGCGAGGAAAATATCACATACGGGAAAAAGCGAAAACAGGAAATCGCTCTCATACAGAGATATATTTAGCTAATTATGTCTACCATATTCTCTTCAGAGTCCGGATTTTCAGCGAAACCCAACCACCAGAACTGGATCTATTTAGTCTACCCCGACGCAAACGGCAGTAGAAAGGACGTATCTACAAGACTGTCGCCCTATTTCTCCCCTGTCCGGATCAGCTCCTATCGAATTTCACATTAGCGGACAAAACAGTCTAGATTACATAGATCTCAGGCATTTCGTCCTTATCGTCAAATGTCACGTGACCAAAGCAGATGGGGACCAACCTGACCCTCGAGGGACGAATGCTCTCCGGTCAATCTTTTCTACACTCACTATTCTCTCAAGTGGACGTCTGGCTGCGGGGACGCCTCATCAATTCCACAAACAATCATTATCCGTACAAAGCTATCATTAAAACGTTGTTAAATACAAACGAAGTCGACGCCAATTCCAAGCTGACATCGCAACTATTCGTCAAGGACACGGCAGAAAGCATGGACGTTACAAAGCCAAACTCGACTAACAGAGGAATGTTCGAAAGACACAAGCTTATATCGGAGAGTAAGAGTTTCGACATGGAAGGTCCTATTATGCACGATCTCTTTCAGCTGAGACGCTACATCATGAACTAGATCGGCGTGCAAGTGAAACTATACAGATCCCCTCCGAGCTTTCTCTTGATGGCCACCAAACCGGATGAAAATTACACGGTACACACATAGACGACATCGTCCCTTCGCATCATGAGAGTCGAGGTGAACCCGGCGTCATATCTACGGACACAACACGCTCTTTCTACGACAACGGCTAAGTATTTTTACCCTCGCACGGAAGTGAAAATGATGTCCATACCCAGAGGTCAAGTGGCGTTCACGTACGATAATATCTTTCAAAGGCGTGCGACCCAATAAGGTGGTCGTAGGCTTCGTACCTTCCAACGCAGTAGCTGGAGATTATAGTGAAATCCCTTCAACTTCGCCAACTTCGATCTATCTCAGATAGCTCTACTGCGACGGTCGAAACGTCGGAGAATCGGGACCTATGAAACTTCAATTCGACAAAACGCGAGGTCAAAACATGATGATGGCATTAAGCTAATCTCTTCCGGTTCAACGGGTGTTGGACGGCTGACGGAGGAGGTATCGATTCACAAAAGCAGTGTCTATCTAGATAGGACGGATTTCGATGGGGATACGCCCTATCGTCTTCCCATTGGAACCCGTCTTCGGACGGAAGCCACGAACAATCCTATCTAAATCTACAAAACAAGGCAACCTCCGCCTGGAAGCTCAATTCGCGACTGCTCTTCCGGAAACGGTCACGTGTATCGTGTACGCGGAATTCGGGGTGGATTTCAGGTCGATAAAACCAGGAATGTCATAGTGCGAGAGAGAGAATGAACAGACAGAAGGAATGTTATGTATACCGATATATACCGAGGCATTAGCTGTATTGTCTCACTACTGTGTCTACCATTAAAGCGTGTGCAGCAACGACGATATGACGAGTACCGCAGCGAGACAGAGCGCCGTCTGCTGATACTACAGATGATGACGTTGAAGTGGCGTCGACGACCTTACCTCTACTCGCCCCAACCACTATTTTCATTAGCGGTGCTACGCAAGCGGGGAAGTCAACCTTCACCAAGAGATTGATAGAAAATGTTGACGCCATGTTCGAAAGAAAAGTAACGAAAATACTCTATTGTTATTCCGTGTGGCAAGATATCTACGAGTCATTGGAAAGAAATGCCCGAGAAAATGCACATCATCCGCTCTTAGAATTCCACAAAGGATTATCATGCGAAGAGAGTGTAAATGAATGGGCGAATTCTACTGAACACAAACTAATGATAGCCGACGATCTGATCGACCAAGCATCACGTGACCCGACAATGTGTAAAGTCTCTACGACTCTCGGGCACCATAAAGACATAACGGTGTGTCTTCTCAGCCAAACACTCTTCCTCTCCGTCGCGTATTGGAAAGTACGCCAGGACCATATCTTTAAATTCTCATTACATCGTACTATTTAAAAATAGACGCGATACCTCTCAAATATCAACGATTGGACGACAGATCCTACCCGGGAAGGTGAAGTTTTTTCTGGATGCGTATGAAAAGGCAACGAGTAAACCGTTTGGGTATTTGATCATAGATCTGTCACCGAGAGGCGACCCGCGCTACCAGCTCAGAACCAACATATTCCCGGGTGAGGTGTTGACGGTATACGAAGCGTCCTGATAATCACCATGTCCCATCCGTTATCATCGGCGAGCGCGTTTCTGCATTTTATCAAAGATGCGCCGACGGACAGACAGCGGAAGTCGATACTGAACCTGATGACCAATGAGCAAATGGACGTACTGAGCGAAGTGTGTGTAAACATCTTATTCGGAAACATCCCAATTCCGCCCTATCTTAAGGAGAAGCTCAGACGCAAGAAAAGTCAGTTGAGAAAGATCGCCGACAGGAGAATAGGACGCTCTACCACCAAACGCCTCCTGTTACAAATCAGACATTTGTTGCCATTAATAATTAGTCTATTGAAGCTTAGATCCGAATCTGCACTCGAAGACGACGCATCAGAACAAGACGGGCACTATGGCACAGGAGATGGTTCTGATTCCGAAGGAGAAATATGAACGAACGCTCAACGAGCGATGCGTCCATCTGCATGAGGAAAGAGCGAAAGATAACAACGTACGAGTGGATGACAATGACAACTCAACGCCATCAAGTCATTACGACGAGACTACAACGGAACAACAGCAAACTGGGAAAAAACGCAAATTCCCCGCATGTCAATCGACTATGTATTACCACCCAAAAGCGAAAAGAATGAAGACTCATAGCACCAGCTACCCCAATAGCGTTGGTCATCAACACTGGATACGATATTGAAGGAATACTACACCACGAGCCGAACGGATACATTATATCAGTGACTATCCTCGCATGTATCACGAATCGACTGTGCTAATACAGTTTGTAAATAGCTCCGTGTACAATCGTAGCGCTACTTCTCTATTTGTGTATATGAGTGGTGTACATAACTTACTATATATTCTGTTTGACCTAACTATGTATCCGTATTTAAGACGTGTATACTTCTCTTTTCCATTGATTGTATACTACTAATGAACAATATCAAGTATCACGAATCCACTGTATGAATAGTGTTTGTAAATAGGACGATGTGAAATCGTGGCGTTACTTCTCTATTTGTATATGTACATAGTGGTATACATATTCTGTTTGAGGTATCCATGTATCCGTAGTTAAGACGTATAGATAGATAAAATAAAACTCATAAACACAAAAGTACATAATAGTTGTATTTTATTTATATAGATATATAGATATACACCAACACCAAGGATATATGTATAAATATATATGGATCCACATTTCTGACCAGACCAACACGTGAGATTACAGATCAACATTATCTGGAAACGGGTTTCAAAGTCAAACATAACGGTTGAGTCGTCACTCCGTCAGACATCACCATTCGTTTCGCGTAGAAATACGACAGTCCCGAGCGCCTTTGCTGATATGTATACATGGTATTATTTCTACTTCTGAAACGGGTATTGACAATCGATCTCGACATTCCATCGCGCAACACGGACCGATAGAGATTCATTAGGTCGTGAACCTTTCTCTTGTTCAACAACGGTAGAACGGTTTCCTGGACACGAGCAGTTGAGCCGCCTCTCTCACGTCGTGATCTGATTTGTGTCGCTTCACTACCACGCTGTACGTGGGTTTGATGTCCCCGATCTTCTCAAACAGCTGTAAATAAAGAAACATAATAATTAAAAAAATAAAAAATAAAAAATAAAAATATTTGTGCAATCATCCAATGTTCCTTTAACACGTGCCTAAGAGATAATTGCTCTGATAGAAATGAACAATTGCTGCGAGCGAGCGTTTGTGTTTCATATACCGTTAAATAAGCTAATATATATATATATATATATATATAATACATCTTAAGTTCTCCCCCCTACCCATGCCCGCGCGTGCACACACACGCACGCATATCTCTCTCTCTCTCTCACACACACACACACACACACACACACACACACACACACACACACACACACACACACACACACACACACACACACACACACACACATTAAATCGAGAGAAAAGTTAATATATAATTGTTACGTCCTTACCCTTTCTCGCAACATTTTCCGGGAAGCCCGGGTTTCTCGAGCGTTTGTGACTATAACCGCAAAACTATTGTCTCTCTAATGTTCACGCCAACCACGCTCTCCCCGTGCGCGCACGCACGCACACACACACACACACACACACACACATTCGTGCGAAACATAGGAAAATAGTGACATTTCATATACCGTTCAATAAAGCTACAATATAATTAACACATCTTAAGTTTTCCCCCTACGCATGCCCACGCGCGCACGTGCACACACACACACACACGTGCGCGCGCACACACACACACACACACACGATCCAATGTTTCTTTAACACGTGCCTAAGAGATAATTGCTCTGATAAAAATGAAAAATTGCTGCAAGCGAGCGTTTGTGTTTCATATACCGTTAAATAAAGCTAATATATAATACATCTTAAGTTTTTCCCCTACCCATGCCCGCGCGTGCACACACACGCACGCATTACACACACACACACACACACACACACACACGATCCAATGTTCCTTTAACACGTGCCTCGCGCGGATTAAATGTAGAGAAAAGTTCACACACACACACACATATTGTTACATGTTAAGTTGTATCTACCTATCTCGCGACTTTTTCCGGGAAGCGCAGGTTTCTCGATGATGCAAATGTATATTTTTGGATGTAGATGATACCTCCATCGATCTTGATTGAAATCTTTCTGGAGATAGTGTCCTTTAAAGTGACATAGGGCACGTTTGGGTTGCCGAACTCGTCGTAGTCATCGTCGCTGTCATCGCTTAACAGGATAACATCGCTTTCAGTTTCGCTGGTAGCGTCATCGTCGAGTCTGTTCTCTGTTTTTTGAGTAAGATTACTCAGCGCGTAGACATCGTCATCATCATCATCATCGTCATCACAGATCACGATATCAGTATCTTGTGAGGAGCATTCGGGTTCGTTCTTCCAGCTCACCGCTGGTCGCTTTTTCGTTTTCTTCGAAGAAGAACTCGATTCAGCTACTTGGGGTGCCTTACGTTTCAAGTTCTACAGTTTGGTTGTTCTGTTCATACTATAAGACCGCGTGTATGTCTAATTAATTAACAGCGGTGTCATTAAAATACTTTTAGCTACGTGTCTATATCGGACGTCTGTGTACTTTTCTCGCTAGCGTCCCGGGACAGGTGTTTACCCTACGCGGCGAGGTGTTTAATTAGTGGGCGACGGTCGCTCGCCGCGGCAGAGCTCGCTAATTGGGGTACCTCTTTTTATCGAAAATTTTAACATAGGAATCCCCATTCAAAATTACCGGATAGCGACACATACATAACTACTAGTATGATTACAATTCACTGATATGCATTTGCTGAAAGAACAGCATAATAGAAGTTGACAGTAAGAGAATTTGCTTGTTTACCCCAAACCTCCACCTCACAGAAATCCATGACAGGCACAGTTATGCCTGCTAGTTCGTTGTTGACAGTTGTTGTGTACAGGACCAGGTTGCGACCTTCACCAGAACACGTGACCTTCAAAACATCAGGTATGTCTGTCCCGTCTCTGTTCCCTGTCACGTTGTAGCAGTTGACTCCATTAGTTGGGAAAGCGGCAGTGTCAGCTATGTAGATCTGGATACCATTCCGACGAACTTTATCTGACAATGTTATAATTCAACATCATCCGTGTATACATGCATAAATATTACAGAACTTTATAGAAACAATTTGAGCCCATTGTACTTCCATATGGTTGATTGGGTGAATGTATGTTATAATTTGATAGTGTTATGAGAATATGTTTTTATTAATATACTGTATATTATTTAACTTTTAGTTATTATGGGTCACAAAAGTTTAAAGTTCTGAGTGTGGATTTGAACTCAACTTGGATCTTCAACTGGGGCTGTGTAATTTCACCTGTTAAGAGTAAGCTGGAGTTGCCTCCCTTTCTTTGCTTCCAGTTTTCGATAGGATGTTGTATGTGATGGACGAGGCTCACGTGGGCGATGACTCTTTAGTCACTGAGATGTGGCATACAATCAAGGGAGATCACTCCTACAGCCTTACCTAGGTCAACACGACCTGGCGCATGAAACTGTCATTACAACTACTTCACACTGTGAGCTATGAAACGATAGTGGTATGACGTGGCCTCTGCTAGAATTTACCAGAACAGTATAATACTAATAGGTATATAAGGCATGGTTGCTGAGATAAGGTGTGTGTGTGTGTGTGTGTGTGTGTGTGTGTGTGCGTGCGTGCGTGCGTGCGTGCGCGCGCACTTTGGATTTACGCTCATGATCTGTCTGCTGACATCGATGTTTCACCACTCGAGAGACCTACCACTCGTCTTCATTGAACTTTCAACAGCTGTCAACAATCATTACATCCGTTTTTACTGGGAGTATCAAAACTTTGGTCAGTTAATATTTCATATTTGTAACCCAATATTTTAGATTTGTGATCCAATAGTATTGTGTTAGAAATCTGTACTGCCATTCATTGTAACTTTGTTTATTCAATTTACAATTAAATATTAATGACTCGTCTGTGTTTTATTTTGCTGGTATAAAGGGCGACTAACAAGCCTTTGACCTCAGTAATGTTTAAACCGCAACACTTAGAAACAATTTGAGCTCGTTATACTTCTATATGTCTGACTGGGTTAATGTATGTTATTACTGGCAGTCATGCTCGTTTGATATTCTAGTCTAGAACATAAGCAAACCTTGTTCTGCAAAGATATATTTCGGGGTACGAAATAGGTTATAGTCTTTCAAGATGTGTACACTCATGTACATAAACTGCGGCACTATTGATGTAATGTATTAACTTAAATGTGAATAGCTGTATGGATTCTAAATACAACGAAGGCGGAGTATAAACAAGGCTGCAGTACAGGTGTTCATGGGAAACTGAATGGCTAGATGTGTCTAATGTATTCATAGAATGGTTATAGCATCAAATGGTGTCACATGTACTTCCAGTACTCACAGTCTGTCCTGAAGTATACTGTGACTTGACGTATTCTGACCATCTCCCCAAGATCCACTCTCCACCATGCCTCTGTTATAGAGTTGTTATAGTCTGAATGAAAACACTCTGCTTTCCAACTGTCTGCTCTGTTGTCACCATTTACAACCTTGCCTGGATTCCTGCTGGCATAGACTGAGCTGGCTGATGTGGTTTTGTTAAGTGCTATATTGCCTGTTTTAAAAGACAAGGCGCGTTAATTCTTGCTTCTAACCATCTGATTAAAAGGTCTAAGAGATACCCAGTAACACAAGTAAATATCACTGGGAAAAAATGTCCACATTTACAAGCTTGGAAATGTCTTGGAAAGATGATGTTTCCAAGACATTTCCAATTTTGGAAAGATGATGTTTCCCAAGACATTTCCAATTTTGGAAATATGGGATTGGGGAGCATGGAGATGTATGGAAAACAGCCATGTAATAACTGAACCAAACTCATTCCCTCTACTAGTGAAGGCCGTGTGGGATTAGTTAAAAAAACAAACCCAGTCGATCATGCGTCATTATCCTCTTTACATAAACAACTTGCCCGACTGGCAAAAAGAGGATACCTCCGTTTTGCCTCAGTCCGCCCGTGTGTGGACAACATCAGCAATTATCTATTAACGAGTTCATGATATTTCGTGAATACATCAATTGCATAACACCATCTCTGACCATAAACCCAAACGGCCCATCCCTTGTGACAGGTGTTAATTAGACGGTACCAATTAGAGAATGTATTCTACAACGATATGTCTATTATTCCCTGGCAAGGGTTCACTTTTATGACATGTAATAAACCCTGCCCAGTCAGTCGGTGAATCCGGTAAACTTTTATTTACACCATGATGTAACGTAGGTCTATGTAATTTGTGTTTATACAAACAGTGACAAGGGAAACATTATTTGCGCTTCTGTGGATAACAGTAAAACATACACTTAAAACAGTATTTTAGAAAATGCTAGCCATACTAGGGGCAAATTTGACAGTCAATATCAATTTTTGACACTTAGAACATGAAGGATGCAGATGAGTGAAGTTATACTATTATATAGAATTGGTTCCCAGTTGATCGCATAGGACGGCGAATAGAAAACACTTACTTTAAACATGATCCCAACTTTCAAAAAATTCGTCAAAAAACTTCATGCGTCAGATGCAATTAGATTAATATAAAACACAAATGGATAATATCAAAATACGGCCTATTCCTGCAGTTCTCATGATATGTCACATGCAAGATGCATTATGTATATCAACAATAAGAACTCGAACAGAACAAAAGATGCGTGAAATAGTCTATACACTAATGGGGATCCCTGGGTTGAGGAGAAATTGAAAGATGTGGTAGTAAAATCCTTCCTAAATTTCCAAAAATGTCCAAGCCTTGGAAATATGATATTTCCAATTTTATAAATTTTTGGAAACATGATGTTTCCAATTTTGAATTTTTTGAAATATGATATTTCCAAATTGGAAATTTTTGGAAATCACCATTTTTTTCTTGTGTATGGGTTGTCATCACGTGACCTGACGTCATGGTAGATACTTTATGTTAACAGGCTAACAATGTTGGGTTATTACTAACGTTCACAATGGCATCGCGAGATAATACCAATATCAACACGGAAAGATTATGAAAGATAGTCTGGCATTAAATGATATGGTGTCATTTTTAAACATAACTGAGGATGACCTTTGTGTCCAGGTAAAGATGACTTTCATAAGTTAGTGTCATGTGTTTCCAGTTGTTCATATGGAACTACGGTTTCTGTATTAGTTAGTGCGATCCAAATTTTCCTTCTCGCGAAACACTTAGACTTTTGTTTAATCAATTAGTACATAGACAGTGTGTTCCCATTGACAATCCAACAGTTAACATGCTTCATTGAAAATAGCAACATAAATAGTGCCCATGTTACATGAGACGTCTTTCAGAAAGACAGGATGTCTTTATAATACTTTCATATAGCATTATCTACTGTGATACAAATTTTAGTGTAAAATGTACATATACTCATTCTTGTTTGTGTTGATTCTTGGGACATTTCATAACGAACAGGGGAAAACCTTACGATTCAAGCGTGATGACAAGTAGACGGCTACAAATTCTTCATATCGAAATGATACAGACTGTATTTCACTTGCTTCACTATGCATCGGATATTCAAAGACAACAGGGTCCCATTTCATAACAACATATTAACTTCTCCGTAAATATCGTTTCCCATATTATATTAGAGCCTTTCCAACTCAGACATAAGATGTGTGCACTACATGGACGAACTGATGAACAAAGTGCCAGGGCTACAAACATTTTCGTACCTGTCGTCCCAAAAGCATTTAAAGCAGTTTTAAACTTACCACTCTATCAATTGTAGAATATGTGATCTTTTAAGGTATGGCTAGATTTGTCCAAATTGCTGACAACTGAAGTGATGGTGTAAATCCAGCTAGGAAATGTACTGAAGTCCCCATGGTCCATAGTTTGGTAATCTACCTTTAGTTGTTGGCAATCTATAGCCCGTGTTTTATACTGTATTGTCTTCTTTAATTGGAATGTTTTAGCTTTGCTCGCTAGTTTTATCTTCATATCATAACTTGAAAACATTGTTTTATGGTAACAAGCTAGTTTTAAGTATACATCCGTGATAGACTAGCTATTTTACTGTCCTTTGCAGACAGTTAAGTATATACGTTTGTTTTTATTTCATGTATATATTTACAAATTTACAAATTTCATAGTCACGATATTGCCAAAATACTTAACTCACTCACTCACTTAACTTTACTTTTACACTTTATTAACATAATGACGGTTGACAGATAAAGACGTTAGTGAACATTTATTATTTTAATCCTGAACTGAAGCATACATCTAGTAATCATGCCCTGAACTGTAAATAACTTTACAATAAAATATTGCTGTTTGAGATCAACAAATGTAGTAAGGTTTCAGATGCTCTGATTATCGATATTGCTTACTTTTGTGACAAGTCAGTCCTGACCAATCAATGTAACAATCTTCTGGACTACAGCCACTTGTAGTATTACACTTGTCCATAGGACAGTGGCACTGGTAACGGCACTCATAGCCGTATGTTCCTTCAGGGCAGATGCCTGTAACAGAAGAATTGCATAAGAGATAGACAGTGACACTGGTAGCCTTATGTACCATCAGGACAGCTGTCTGTAACAGAAGTATTACATCAGAGATAGACAGTGACACTGGTAGCCTTATGTACCATCTGGACAGCTGTCTGTAACAGACGTATTACATCAGAGATAGACAGTGACACTGGTAGCCGTATGTACCATTGGTACAGGTAACACTGTAGTGTAGGATATGCTGTAGTACAGACAACACTGTAATATAGGTTACGCTGTAGTACAGGTAACACTGTACTATAGTTAGCGCTCTAATAGTTGCAGCACTGGATGTAGTAGGTAATGTTGTGGTACAGGTAACACTGTACTGCAGGATATGTTGTAGTACAGACAACACTGTAATATAAGTAATGCTGTAGTACAGGTAACACTGTAGTGTAGGATATGCTGTAGTACAGACAACACTGTAACATAGGTAACGCTGTAGTACAGGTAACACTGTACTATAGTTAGCGCTCTAATACTTGCAGCACTGTATGTAGTAGGTAATGTTGTATTGTGGTACAGGTAACAAAGTACTGTAGGTAACGCAGTGGTGTCGATTACACTGCAGTATACGTAACATTGTACTTTAGGTAATGCTGTTGGTAAATGTACCTATATGTAGTAAAGGCAACGTTGTATGTGATAGTGTATGTAGCAATGTGTGTAGCATAGCTAACACTGTGTGTAGTATAGGTAACACTGTGTGTAGTATAGGTAACACTGCGTGTAGCATAGGTAACATTGCGTGTAGTATAGGTAACACTGCGTGTAGTATATGTAACACTGCGTGTGGTATATGTAACACTGCGTGTAGTATAGGTAACACTGCGTGTAGTATAGGGAACACTGCGTGTAGTATAGGTAACACTGCGTGTAGTATAGGGAACACTGCGTGTAGTATAGGTAACACTGCGTGTAGTATGGGTAACACTGCTTGTAGTATATGTAACACTGCGTGTAGTATAGGGAACACTGCGTGTAGTATAGGGAACACTGCGTGTAGTATATGTAACACTGCGTGTGGTATATGTAACACTGCGTGTAGTATGGGGAACACTGCTTGTAGTATATGTAACACTGCGTGTAGTATAGGGAACACTGCGTGTAGTATATGTAACACTGCATGTAGTATATGTAACACTGCGTGTAGTATATGTAACACTGCGTGTAGTATTGGTAACACTGCGTGTAGTATATGTAGCACTCCGTGTGGTATAGGTAACACTCCGTATAGTATATGGAAGACTGTTTAATTTTAGGTAACACGAAATCATTCATAATTTTCGCATGTTGACATTGTTGTTACAGTAAGTCACTTCGACATATGTCTGTATGTCAACAACGTGAGCTAGGCTGTACATGTATTCAGCCATGTATCATAGCATCAAGATAAGTTTACAAATATTGTTCGTTTGTACATACCACTAACCGTTACATTCACAAAAGCATTATGAATATGTATTTACTGCCGAAACATTCCCAATAAACATTTGATGGGGTCAAAATAAAACAATGTCCCCAGCCTCTCGACTGTTTCATATATACAGTATATGACATGGGAAAAACGTAAGGAGAGACACAAAATATGATTTCTGACGGAAAGATAATAAACGTCAAAGAGATAACATAGCAACAGTGCCGCTCCATGTTCAGCTTGCACTATCAGGACTGATGACGGTTGACAAAAATATTTCAGAAGGAATACATCACCTGGAAAACATGTAGTTTGCCTGAGAAGATTGTGGACCTCTACTGTGTATTAGATATGCGAACACCCGTTACTTCGTTCATTAAGCAGCACAGTGTATAGTTGTCTCTACATGATCAGATGCACTTACACCAGTTCTGGCTTCATCAGAGGATAAGCTTCTTTTTGAGTTAGTGATTGGGTTGGGACTTCAACGTGGGGAACGCTTTCACCACTAGGCTACCCCATCATCTCACTTCTTGTGGGGCTTTGTTGACAGTATACATGCCTTAAACAACAGCATGCTTAAATTAATGGTGACGTAACGCGAAAAGACTATTTCACTTTTCACGTATGCATATATGTCTGCTTCTACTGGTCCGGACTTTGTCAACTGACCAGTCGTTGTTGTGTCCCTCTACCCTGACACAGTCCACTGACCAGTCGTTGTTGTGTCCCTCTACCTTACAACAGTGCACTGACCAGTCGTTGTTGTCACTCGGACGCCGATTACCAGGACAAAGCAACTACAATTGAATGTGTTTTGAGAATGTTCAATAGTCAAGGTCGTCAAATAATTTAGAGACATTACCTGACACCATGTCCAGCATGGAGACACAGAACAGCATCCCGAGCACGGAGACCTCCATGTTGCACAGTGAACAAACCAGGAAGCGTATTGTTGTGACCTCATAAACACCACAAGCACGTTATTAGCTCGACTTCTAAGTGGAAACTCTCAATACGACACAAACAGTTAGCTGAACACATTAATTCCTGCTCTTTTATTATGGGTCTAAAACGCTGACTGATTTACAATCCAGGACCCACCGGCATAAAATGATTTTAGTGCTGGATCTATCTTAAGTGTGTGTTGGTGTATAAGAGTATCAGCTTGGCCAAGGTCCCTTTGTGCAAGAGATGTATCACAATGCATACCCAGCACTGATAGATATACAGGTATCCATAGCGGTGTTGGAAAGGTTGTCATCAGTCCAGGACATGTAATGGCAACATATATATATATACCCAATGTGATAAGACTGCACAAACACCCCTATTTACCAGGACCGGTACAACATAAGTGTTCGCTGTAAATGAGTATTGGACAATCGGGAAGGATTACTTATCATTACAGACACACAGATGTAATGTATGATTACATGAGGTACTTGGTGTAACGTGACAAACATGTTGATTGTGTTTTGTAAACAACCAACACAGATGAAAAGACTGGGCATAAACCAATGAAGGTTGGTGGTCACATGATCATAAATGGGTCAGCACATGTTCCAAATCAATCATTTGATCACATTTTCAGAAAGTATTGTCATCACCTGCAGAGTCAGAGAGGATTAGTGTGACAGAGTCTTTGTGTCCGTGTGTGAGAGTTGTCTTAGAGACTGTGTGCTAGAATGTTTGCAATAGGGAGTTTGGGAGTTAGGAACACAGACCCTCGTGTCTTTGAGATGACCCCCGACTCGAAATGCTTCAGAGTACAATACATAATGACAAGGCCGGACACTTCGGTGCACCCCACCCGCCTGCTTTGCGGATCGCTACGATACCATCGCATGCAGTCGTTTTAAACTTATTGTAAACATATTCATGGATGATTGGCCTGTCGAGCACCATTTATGACACCTACCAATTCTTTATTGTAATTTCTGAAAGTCGATAGAAACCCGAATTTGACTCTCTACTAAACGATCGTGACACAAATGGATGACGATATGTCCACATAAAGGGGGTGTGGTGGGGGTGGTCGAAGCAAGCACTGCGATTGGTCAACGCTTGCAAATCTGCACATTTTTCAGAAATTCGCGGGAATTTTAACTTTATCGACTGCTTGGCTTGGAGTGTAAAAATGTTTTGTTCCAGCAATGTCTTCTCAAGAAAAAGCATCAGTTGTAAATGTCTCTTTAACAAGAATCAATCAACTAATTTTTAAATATTTTTTTTAAAATCTTTAATCCTCGCAAAGACACGAGGGCCTGTGGTTAAGGAGTGTGATAAAGAACGCCGTACTCAGCAGTATTCCAGCTATATGGTGGCGGTCTGTAGATAATCGAACCTGAACCAGACAATCCAGTGATCAACAGCATGAGCTTCGATGATATGTGTCAACTAAGTCAGCGAGCCTGACCACCCGATCCCGTTAGTTGCCTCTTACGACAAACATTCAAATATTAATTAGTGCGCGAGAGTGTTGTCTGTGAGAGTGTTTGTGTGAGGGAGTGATTGTGTGAAGGGGTAAATATGAGAGAGTTTAAATAAGAGAGAGAGAGAGAGAGAGAGAGAGAGAGAGAGAGAGATACCATGCCGTGTGTGTGTGTTTGTGAGAGTCTGAGAGAAATGTTCGTGGGCGAGAGAGTGTGTGTGTGTTTAAGAGAGAGAGGCAGACAGAGAGAGTGTGTGTGTGAGAGAGAGAGAGAAAGTGTGAGAGAAAGTGTACGTGGGAGAGCGTGTGTGTGTGTGTGTGTGTGTGTGTGTGTGTGTGTGTGTGTGTGTGTGTGTGTGTGTGACAGAGGGGGGCGGGGGGCGGTGGGGTAGCCTAGTGGAATATAAGTGGCGTAAAACCATACTTCCTCACAACTTCCTTTATGAGATCTTTCGTGTTCTCATATCTGCTGCAGTTCGAGTTTCATCCTCTTGGCACCAGAATCCTTTGATAATGGGTCAGAAATCTCAGACTCCCTGACAGAGATGATTGGTTTGCCCGCACCATGCCGTGGGTAACCCAGTTAACCGGGTTTGCCTATCTTACCTTAAGTGCCTCTGTTGTCGTGAGTCATATTACTTCCTTCTTAGGACAAGTAGCAGTAAATTCAAGAGGTCTGCATCTTCCTTGTGCACTTTTCCTTGTAAAACTGGGCTTAAAATTTATTCGTGTGTATTTGTGACAGAAACTGTCCATTAATGGCATTAATGCATTGATTCGTTGCTAATTCTTCCTGTTGATTTACAACAAGCATGCACTCAACACTCATTGGAAATACTTGACAGGTATATCCAGCCATTACTGACACCGTAAAATATCTTGCCCAATGCAGTATCAACTCGTGCGCAGATACATAGGCTAGGTTAATAGTGTTATTTGCTTGTTACTCTATTTCAACAGTCTTTCTTTATTCCACCTTGAGAGAGAGAGAGGAGGGAGAGAGGGGAGAGGAGGGGGTCTAGGTGCCTGACCGCTCAGTGGTCTAGCCGCGCCAATTAACACTTATCAGAGGGTACACAAAGTCCGCAGTCTACACTACCAGTTGTCCAACTTCCATTTTTTAGTGGAAGTCGGACAACTGGTAGTGTAAACTGCGGACTTTGTGTACCCCTCTGATAAGTGTTAATTGGCACGGCTCCCACGGTCGAAAGCTATGATTACACAATGCCATTTAGAAAGTGGTAAAATGTAACATTTGTTATATTTGGGATTACACTTTCTTAGTAAAGTACAAATTCTAGTACTATTTGAGTTGAGCCCCATCCGGGATTCGAACTCACACGCTCAGAGTCAGGCACCTAATCGCCAGCTAACAAAGTCAGATGCCTGGACCGCTTGGGATTACACTTTCTTAGCCAAGTGCCAATTAACACTTATCACAGGGGTACACAAAGTCCGCAGTGTACACTACCAGTTGTCCGACTTCCATTTTTGTGGAATATGTTACATTGTTTGTTTTGTTGTATTTCAGCAGTATGACAGATACTGTGTGTATAATATCATAAAAACACAACGATTGCATGTATTCATAAACAAATGTGAATGATTCAGTAAAACGTACATGGCAACTTTGTCATATTTGGTTCCTGCTATTATTTTACCAATTCAAAACAACCATTTTGATTTTTTTCCCGTCATCTTGAACAGAAAACCCACACTCTATGAAGTTTAACTTTCTCCTTTCTTCCTTCATGAGATCTTTCGTGTTGTCATATGACATGTTGCAGTTCGAGTTTCATCCCCTTTCCACCAGAATCCCTTGATAATGGGTCAGAAATCTCTTTGCGCCTGACAAAGATGACTGTTGCTGTGGGTAACTGGGATTGCCTAGCTTACGTTAAGTGCCTCTATATGGTCGTTAGTCAACCTTCCTTTATAGGTGGACAAGTAACAGTAAATTCAAGAGGTCTACATTTTCCTTGAGCAGTCCAGACTTTATTCTGTTAAACTGGGCTTTAAAGTAAGTACATTATACCCATTAGTTCGGGTATTTCATGTTAATTATTTCATATCCCTTTAAAGTCAAAGAACATAAAACTGTGCAAAAGTTCGAAGTCTGCAACTTTTGATGTTTGTATTGGTATATGACCGTGGGTACAATATCATAAAACACATTGGTTGACGTGAAGCAGATGTGAATGATGCCGTAAATCGTACATGGCAAATTTGTCATATTTGGATCCTGCTATTATTTTACCAACTCAAAACGACCATTTTGATTTGGTAGGTTCAAACACATCACAAGTCATGAGTTCCTGTTGGACGTTTACATCTGAGATACAGGGTGAAAACACTGCAGATAGCTCTCACACATTACGTTCTCGACGAATGATGTCTACGAATTCAGGTTCTAAGTGGATAATTGTATTTACTGCATATCGTGCATCGTTGTTTCTACGTTTCACTCTGGTCAGCAATCGTCTGTAGCCAGCTTGAAGTCAAAGTACACATACTAGCTGGTGAGTAGTTAACCCGCATCTCTGCTTGACCAAGCAGTGTCAGTTCTCTTGTGTTGAGATGAAGGATGAGGCCAGTTCAAAACACGTGGATACTTCATCCTGTAAATTAACAGTTTCGTGGTAAGAGCGGTCAAACCTCACACATGTGGCTTCTGATAACGATATCACCTTTCCCTTTACTTTCTACAAACTACGAACTAAACATTGTATGTGATTAGTGGGTGACTGAACATTGTATGTGATTAGTGGGTGGCTGAACATTGTATGTGATTAGTGGGTGACTCAACATTGTATGTGATTAGTGGGTGACTGAACATTGTATGTGATTAGTGGGTGACTCCATCCCCAGTGGCCGTGACGGGATGGGAACAGGTTGTGGGTTATACTTGACATAGCTCTTGTTTGTTGAAAGTGAACTTTGTTTGTCCTGGAAATGCTATAAAGCAAACAGATTTAATTTTAAGATATACTAACAAGGGAGTACCACGCTGATAGAATCCAGTGTGCTATCGCATGACGTTGTAGAGTTAGGAGGTAAACATCATGTGTTGGGATATATCCGGGTATTATTGAGTATTTGAAGCACGGGAATTCATTTGGAACCGACGGCGGTTTTCAACCAATCAGATTATAGCACACAGTGGCTTTTGTTATATAATATGTTATAACATGCCGCTATAGAGGATGCTATACCGTGACGTTGAGTAGTTCATAACAAGACGTCATAGAGTATATTATGACATGACGTTCTAGAAGTTGGATGTGTTGGACGTACTAGATCACGAGTATAACATTTTTAATGTCATTTAGAAGTGATGCGCATAAAGAGATAAATATATGGATTTCATAATTCAGAAATTGCTATTCATGAATGTTTCCCTTAAAGAAGAGTATACAAGCGACAATTCCACAGGTTGTTCACGATACTAAGGACAATCGTTCCGTAATTTAAAATCATGTCATGAAATATCAATATACGCATCAGGCGTCAATGCACAATGATCAAATAGCAACGACCCTATTCAAATGTTTACGTGTAACGTTGCATGGAGTATAGAGGTATATGTGTGTTTGTACATTCATATATACAGTCATAAGAATGCACTCTCATCCTACACTTTCTACACCTTAAGAAGATGTATATTCAGAGATGGATGGATAGAAACCTACTCACAGTAAGCCTGTGGTATGAAAGTGGCACTAGAAATAAAGGTAGAGACATGTACCTCAGTAAGGTCGTTGTCAAACAGGTGCCCGAGACGTCTGATGTTGTTGTAGATCTCCACCTCGTTGTCGTACATCATGCCCTGCACGATGTTGCTCATAATGCAGAACAACGTAGCCATTCGCCTTTCGCCGTCACTGAAATTGACGTTTGATGATGCGTTCGACAGTTTCAGAAGGCAAATATTATTTCTTCAATTCCAATGTCTCGATGAACCAAGGCCTTAGTAAATCCAATCTCCAAATGGACCCTATATACATCGGCCGTATGTATATCTTGTTTGAAATCATATTTAGGGAAATAGTCTAAAGAAATGTACTAGACAGCTAGCCTGCTGAATCTATTTTCCTTCTTCAACTACAGCCACTTATACACAACAGCACACTATATTAACAACAATACGAACAACAATATAAACAACACCACATACGCTAGTTGCACAAATCACCAAGACATAGATACCTAAACATCACTGTAACTGGTCGTGTGGTGCTTGCCCCACGTGACTCCATCTCTCTCATAAGGTCAAGGACAACGTTTGGGTTGATCGTCTTCAGTAAGTACACACGCACTGACTGAGCGCTAACGTCTCCCTTAAAGACAATACGTCAATGTTATAGATAATGACGCCCTGCTAATCTGGATGAATATGTACTTATATGCAGTAATACATGGAAACTGCCCCCAAGTATCTGTCCTGTCTCGATGTCACTGTTGCCAGCGTAATCATGAATGTGTAGTCCTATGCCGTAATGTGTAGAAACTTTCCAGTCTCCATATATGCATATCGTCAATGTTTTTTAAATTTTGAATTTGTTCAACAGTTTAACATTATTGGCATATTTACTGAGAGTCGTTTGACTTAACATTATTTGTAAATAAACTGGGATATTCTTTCGAAATTGATATGAATTACCTCCATTTTTCTTTCCACGTTCCTCAGGATGATATCGTGACTGATATCATACACCATGGAACATTTGACGTCCACCGGACCTAAGTCGAGACTGGATCCCGAGGTTGGCAGGAAACAAGGCAACCTCTGTGGCATGTGATTACGTCACATTTTAAATACATTAACTCATTACATGTTTTATTAAAACATTAGTATCTCATAATTGACGCATGTTCAACATATTTCACGTGAAAACGAGATGGCTTCTGTTTCTCTGATAAAGAATAACAACGTATGCTACTTGTGATTAGGAAACCTTAAGAAGTGATGACCTCCTCACACCTAAGCCATGCCATTGCAGACCAGCCCGATATAACCACATGTCAGAAATCATTGCCACATAATCTTAAATACATTTTACATGGAAACCTCCATTTTATGATGTAATTGAAGTCCAATGTAAAATGTAATAAACCTGTCAGGATGTGAACGCTCGACCCTTACCATCATGTCTCTGTATCTCTTGAGGCTAGGTGCTTGTCGTCATTGTCCTAAATGAAGATGCCACTAAACTCAGGGAGGTGGAAAGACAACATTAGGCTTACACCAAAGACGTGGAATAGTTTCTCACTTGTAATGACTTGGGCAGGACTATGATTGTAGACGACTCGTGGCTATTTGTGAGTTCCCAGAAGGAAGACGCTGTGGCGATGGAGGGAGCCTCGGTTACTAGGTATCCTCTCACAGATAGACGGGACTGAAAATATTCATGATTGAAAATATAATAGTTACTTATATGTGCATCCACTGCTGTATAGAGGAGTAAGTGAGTGCGTGATTTTAACATGTGATATTGTATTGCATGTTGACAGTAAGAGTAATGTCGTTTATATCTGCAACGTTTTTGTTTGTGCTCCTACCTACAACAGGATTATACCTTTACTTACCGGCATTACGACTGTCAGGACGTCAGTTCTCCCGCTCATCCTTACCATGCTCTTGTACTTGCCTCCTGCAACAAGGAGCTTCTAGTAGAAGTCATATCAGAATCATAATGTTTCTATATCCTCATCCTGCAACAAGGAGCTTCTAGTAGAAGTCATATCAGAATCATAATGTTTCTATGTCCTCATCCTGCAACAAGGAGCTTCTAGTAGAAGTCATATCATAATCATAATGTTTCTATGTCCTCATCCTGCAACAAGGAGCTTCTAGTAGAAGTCATATCAGAATCATAATGTTTCTATGTCCTCATCCTGCAACAAGGAGCTTCTAGTAGAAGTCATATCAGAATCATAATGTTTCTATGTCCTCATCCTGCAACAAGGAGCTTCTAGTAGAAGTCATATCAGAATCATAATGTGTCTATATCTCCTCATCCTGCAACAAGGAGCTTCTAGTAGAAGTCATATCAGAATCATAATGTTTCTATATCCTCATCCTGCAACAAGGAGCTTCTAGTAGAAGTCATATCAGAATCATAATGTGTCTATATCCTCATCCTGCAACAAGGAGCTTCTAGTAGAAGTCATATCAGAATCATAATGTTTCTATATCCTCATCCTGCAAAGAAGGAGCTTCTAGTAGAAGTCATATCAGAATCATAATGTGTCTATATCCTCATCCTGCAACAAGGAGCTTCTAGTAGAAGTCATATCATGATCATAATGTTTCTATATCCTCATCCTGCAACAAGGAGCTTCTAGTAGAAGTCATATCAGAATCATAATGTGTTCTATATCTCCCTCATCCTGCAACAAGGAGCTTCTAGTAGAAGTCATATCAGAATCATAATGTTTCTATATCCTCATCCTGCAACAAGGAGCTTCTAGTAGAAGTCATATCAGAATCATAATGTGTCTATATCTCCTCATCCTGCAACAAGGAGCTTCTAGTAGAAGTCATATCAGAATCATAATGTTTCTATATCCTCATCCTGCAACAAGGAGCTTCTAGTAGAAGTCATATCAGAATCATAATGTGTCTATATCTCCTCATCCTGCAACAAGGAGCTTCTAGTAGAAGTCATATCAGAATCATAATGTTTCTATATCCTCATCCTGCAACAAGGAGCTTCTAGTAGAAGTCATATCAGAATCATAATGTGTCTATATCTCCTCATCCTGCAACAAGGAGCTTCTAGTAGAAGTCATATCATGATCATAATGTTTCTATATCCTCATCCTGCAACAAGGAGCTTCTAGTAGAAGTCATATCAGAATCATAATGTGTCTATATCTCCTCATCCTGCAACAAGGAGCTTCTAGTAGAAGTCATATCATAATCATAATGTTTCTATATCCTCATCCTGCAACAAGGACCTTCTAGTAGAAGTCATATCAAAATCATAATGTGTCTATATCCTCATCCTGCAACAAGGAGCTTCTAGTAGAAGTTATATCATGATCATAATGTTTCTATATCCTCATCCTGGAAGAAGGAGCTTCTAGTAGAAGTCATATCAGAATCATAATGTGTCTATATCCTCATCCTGCAACAAGGAGCTTCTAGTAGAAGTCATATCATGATCATAATGTTTCTATATCCTCATCCTGCAACAAGGAGCTTCTAGTAGAAGTCATATCAGAATCATAATGTGTCTATATCTCCTCATCCTGCAACAAGGAGCTTCTAGTAGAAGTCATATCAGAATCATAATGTTTCTATATCCTCATCCTGCAACAAGGAGCTTCTAGTAGAAGTCATATCAGAATCATAATGTGTCTATATCTCCTCATCCTGCAACAAGGAGCTTCTAGTAGAAGTCATATCAGAATCATAATGTGTCTATATCCTCATCCTGCAACAAGGAGCTTCTAGTAGAAGTCATATCAGAATCATAATGTTTCTATATCCTCATCCTGCAACAAGGAGCTTCTAGTAGAAGTCATATCAGAATCATAATGTGTCTATATCTCCTCATCCTGCAACAAGGAGCTTCTAGTAGAAGTCATATCAGAATCATAATGTTTCTATATCCTCATCCTGCAACAAGGAGCTTCTAGTAGAAGTCATATCAGAATCATAATGTGTCTATATCTCCTCATCCTGCAACAAGGAGCTTCTAGTAGAAGTCATATCAAAATCATAATGTTTCTATATCCTCATCCTGCAACAAGGAGCTTCTAGTAGAAGTCATATCAGAATCATAATGTGTCTATATCCTCATCCTGCAACAAGGAGCTTCTAGTAGAAGTCATATCAGAATCATAATGTTTCTATATCCTCATCCTGCAACAAGGAGCTTCTAGTAGAAGTCATATCAGTCATATCTGTGTCTATATCTCCTCATCCTGCAACAAGGAGCTTCTAGTAGAAGTCATATCAGAATCATAATGTTTCTATATCCTCATCCTGCAACAAGGAGCTTCTAGTAGAAGTCATATCAGAATCATAATGTGTCTATATCTCCTCATCCTGCAACAAGGAGCTTCTAGTAGAAGTCATATCAGAATCATAATGTTTCTATGTCCTCATCCTGGAAGTCTTGTGTTAATTATCCCGACAGTGTGAGCACATTTGGAAGTGAATCATGTAGGCGTAGGCTACTTAACTCAACAGCACGTAAGTGACAATAGCAAGTCCATTATTCTCACCTGATTCAGCATTTCCTCTCTCTCTTGCCAGTTTCTGAATAGTTAACATAGAACACTAAAGTCAATACATCGATTCATCAAAGTGAGTACATTTATACCAATTAAGAAATTGGGTGAAGTTACTAAAATGTCCAGTTTGGGGCATCAATGGATCTCTGTTAAAATGGATGTCGGGCTGTCATTTCATATTATTTTTGTGGTATATGTACAGAATGTCCATTCTCACCTGTACCAGCTGAGGTACAGTCATGTTCCCCATAGTGAATGCACCATCTGCCTGACGTGCTCTTTCTCTAAATGCTGCCAGGGACAAGGCTGTATCCCCGACCAGGAGAGTTTCATACACAGTGGTGTACACGCTGATGTACTGACGCTGTAATGTTCAAATTCTCATACAATAGGCGTCAACACCAGAAATACATCATTTCAGTACAAATCGTTGTCCCATATCATAATTTTTTTTCAAAAGCATGATGTTCTTATCGCATAGATGGGATCACACATTGTACATACATTTGGTTAGCAATTATGTAAAAAGAACATTATTTCGGTTATAAATACGAGTATGTCAAGAGTACGTGTAAGACACAGAAGGTATTGTACCTGGCTCTGTACCATGCTGTGGCGCTGTTGTCTCATGGTATTCACCACCTGGAACACGTCCACTTTGCGGTCAGTGAAGGCCTGGTCCAGGAGATAGTCCACAGTGATGTAGGTTCCTGTCCGGCCGATCCCTGCACTGGTGATAACACCAAATGACCACATTAGGCAATTAATATACCTCCATGCACAGGATTTGGTTCTCACCGTGTAGAGTATTCCATTTCATTTCAGCGGTTTTTTTTCAAAATGTTGTCTCAACGTTTTGGATTTGCATGTTTGAGATTGTGTCAGAACAGGGCTTGTGCGCGTTTAAAAGTTCCAGAGCCAACCAGTACTAAAATTGTTGATGCGCTCACGTGCTGTGCACAGAATGCGTAACAATGTAATTGCACATGTCCAGCTTACCTACAGTGAACCAGCAGGGGAGAGTTGTTAGGGGTTGGATGTTCTTCTTACTCGGAACACAAACTCTGCCAGAGCGAGTTCATCAGCCGTGCTGTCCTCCCACCACACAGTAAACTGGAAGTGATGGACGATAAGACTTTCGCCAGTCTACACAGAACAAAATACATGGATTACTCATCTGCTGTTTTGTCACCTTAACTGCCGACAACAGAAATGGTAATCTAAGCTGGTACCTCTTTAGACGTGGCTTTGAGTGTCCGGAAGTTCCAGTGCGATCGCTGCTGCTTCATGGTGACAGAAATCAGAAATAGTCCAGTATCAAGATTATATCCGTCCAACCAGTAGGAGTCGCATTTGACCTAGAGTTGAAATAAGACATCAGATTGCTTTATACACATCAACAGTTCAGACATAGTTGGAACTTGGTTAAAGTGCAAGAAGACTTACTACTCCTTTCTCTATATGGTTGGTCAGCATAACCACTCGAGTTATCTCCTCCTCGAAGATCATTCGCCAGAAGTCACCAATAGTTGTCCTTTTGGGCCCTGGACAAAACTTTATCAGCTGATTATTAATATAACTAAAGTTGGTTTTAGATTGATCCATGTTTTAATATGTAAATATTGATGAAATCAGTTGTCATTGAGTGAGGGAGTGAGATTGGTTTAAGGCCCGATTGAACAGTTGTCCAGTATAATGGTGTGTCAGATTGATGTACGAGTCTTTCAGTAAATGTGCTACTTAACCTGGGTCACTGGTATGATCAAGCAAATTACTATGTTAACCCTTCACATCATCGTGCTCTGAAAACCAATCAATCTCGCAGCTTTACAGGAAAGAGTGTTGCACATACCTTGAGTAGTAATATATGCTCGAGGTTTCAAGTATCCCTGAAATTGAAATGTTCTCATTTAATATTTTGTTTCCGTGTATGTTATCTAATTTAACTGGTTGTGAAACTGATCATCAACCTACATTGATGTAGTTGGCGTTGATGTAGGTGGAGAGGGGATCCCTGCGCAGTTTGGTCAGCCGTACTTGGTTGTAATCATCTGAAATATTGAAATACAAAGGGTTTAACACTACAACTGACTCCCACTGTGGTGTAATACAAATCTATTTCCTTAATGCTTTTGTACTTGTAAACAGTAGTTTTTATTCAAAATTAATCGCTTGACTTTTTGGGTGATCGATCACTTGATTGTAATTGTTCACTTGATTGTGTGGTCTGTTTTCAGGACTTTAGGCATGTGAATGATGGGTGCTACCGGAAGGGCAGGAAACTGGTGTTTTCACTGACTTTCGTTGCCACTTTTTTCACAGCTAAATTGTTCTTTTCACGAAATGGAATCTACTTCTGTGGCTATCACATTACACTCTAAACCCGGTCTTCGGAATGGATTGATGCTTATATATAGTTACAATGATGACAATATAAGATTATATAATGATGAGAAATAATCTGTTCGTGGCCAAGAAATTATTTCAACCTGTAAATGAATTATGCATCCCTTCGCGTAATACAATACGTAATATAACTAACGTCCTCCCTTTGTTGAATATCAATCAGTAAAGGGAATCTGCTCATGTCCAGCTGATGGTATAAAGCTTCTACCTATCTGCAGACCGTTGTTTGTGGCATGACTTACAAGGATAAAGATTCCTGTAGCGGTTCTTGGCCCTGTTCCGTCGAGCTCTGTGCTGAGGTTGACTGGAACCAGCAGAAAGTCGCTGAAACAATAGATTTGTCAGGAACCACATGTGTAGCCAAACCTGTCTTTATAACAATGAATGGTGCATATTTTGAAATTGATTCTGGTTGACACTTTTTAAAACAATCAATTCTTTCTTACATTTACACATTAAGGTGAGTGAGTGAGTTAAAATATAACGTCACCTCGGCAATATCACAGCCAGAAGGGCCTTGCATACACAATAAATATAGGTTGTTAAATAACCAGTTATCGAAGGACAGTAAAGCAACTAGAGTATCACAGATGGTGCCTAAAACTAGCATGTAAATATATAATGTATTTTATTTACGAAGACAATACAATGTAAAAACAGGCTATAGATCACCAACCACCATACTAGGGACCATGGGGACTTACAGAGTCTTTGCTACGTGCATGGACCCTATTTGGATTTACACCATCCCTTCAGCTGCTGGTGATTGTAGGAAACATTTATCCAAACTTTAAAGGAACCAAAATACTACGTTTTATAAATCTAGTAAGTTGACATTTAGCTTTGAAAGTTTTGGGACGTACGTACCCTCTCTGGAGGACAATGATTTTACGATACTTTAACCCCCTTCGAAAATACAGTCACTAACGATCGCAGTTACTAAATTATACTACCATGTTTAAAATACCATCCCTCACCACCATCCCCCTATGCTGCTGGCGATTGTAGGAAAATTTAGCCGAAATTAAAATAATAAAAATACAACGTATAAAATATCTGGTTATTTTAGTTTTACTTGGAACACCTACATGGAACTCCTGGTGAACACCACCAGGTTCATCCAACAACTCCCTGATCTTGTCATGCAGTTTGTCCACCTCCACTTCAGTGGATCCTTCAGGAGTGTCATGATTCTTGTTCCTGACATTGGATCTCAGTGTTCCTGCAATGGTTTGTTCACGTCGGTAAGACAATTAACTCAGCACTGATTCTTTTCACATCAGGAAGGAAGAAATGAGTGAAGAGATTCAAACCAGATGATCATAATGAGCCTCCAGATGTGAAAAATAATATGTGATTATTTGTTGGTGTGTCTGATGCGGGTAGTATAGTTTCTGTGACTGCTGTCAGTCAAAACTGACAATAAAAAATCTGATTCAGTGAAACTGTATTTTTTAAGTGTATACCCTTTTCTGCCTGGCAGTTACAGTATGCACACACGTGCACGTACGCACGCTCGCGCACGCACTCTCACACATACACACACTACAAACACACGCACGCATGCATGCACACACGCATGCACGCACACGGACAAGGAGACACTTAGTTAATAAAATCTACAATCCATCGGAATGTGTATAATAAACGGAAATACGAATTCAATCCACCTGTTTATCATTGAAACAAATCTGGATTACCTTGTGAATGACGTGCGAAACTATGGGGAGCCTGTCCTGGTCTTTCTTTGCGCCCTAAGCCATCGAACAAAGAAAACGTTCAAAAAAATATAGTTATCACAAATGAATAAGTGACTATTTTGCTGTGCAGCTAGTCTGAAGGTATATGGTTTAGTAAATGTTTGTGTCTAGCATCTTACCACCACACTGCAGCTGCAGCTGTGACGGCGAAGATCAACAACAGGTAGGCTCCTCCCGCAACAACGGCACTGATCAACAGAACGCTTTCTGAAAGGATGAACGAATGGAATGTGACGGAGCGAGTAGAGTTTTACATCGTTATGTATATACATTTACAGATATTTATTTATGTATTTATTTGCTTGTTTGTTTATTATTTTATGTTATGTTATTTCATTTCATTTCATTATATTTATTTAACTGTTTTCATTTTGGGGAGTGGGGCTCTATCACATTCCAGTTAACCATGTTTAAATGTTTTCATTCATCCCTGCTGGACTGCAGTGTCTTGGGCATGTTCTTGGGACTCGGTGGCAATGTCTACTGACAGAGATGAACTTGGATGAACCGAGTGTGTGATGGCTAACACCTAGGAGAAATACGACCACATTTTGGCGAACACCCGGTGTCTTCACCATTGGATAATGATTCAAGCTAATGCTGCAGTTCAAGCTAAACGTGTAGTACAAGGTAACGATGTAGTACAAGCTAAAGCTGTAGTAAAAGCTAATACTGCAGTTCAAGCTAAAACTGTAGTACAAGCGAATGCTGTAGTAAAAGCTAAAGCTGTAGTACAAGCTAATGCTGCAGTTTAAGCTAAAGCTGTAGTACAAGGTAATGAGGAAGTACAAGGCAATGATGTAGTACAGGCTAAAACTGTAGTACAAGCTAATGAGGAAGTACAAGCTGATGAGGAAGCATAAGCTAATGCTGCAGTTCAAGCCAATGCTGCAGTTCAAGCTAAAGCCGTAGTACAAGCTTAATGTTGTAGTACAAGGTAATGCAGTGTAGTACAAGCGAAAGCTGTAGTACAAGCTAATGCTGTAGTACAAGCTAATGCTGCAGTACAAGCCAATGCTGCAGTTCAAGCTAAAGCTGTAGTACAAGCTAATGCTGCAGTACAAGCTAATGCTGTAGTACAAGCTAAGGACGTAGTACAAGCTAAAGCTGTAGTACAAGCTAATGCTGCAGTACAAGCCAATGCTGCAGTTCAAGTTAAAGCTGTAGTACAAGCTAATGTTGTAGTACAAGCTAATGCTGTTGTACAAGCTAAGGACGTAGTACAAGCTAAAGCTGTAGTACAAGCTACTGCTGTAGTACAAGCTAATGCTGCAGTACAAGCCAATGCTGCAGTTCAAGCTAAAGCTGTAGTACAAGCTAATGCTGTAGTACAAACTAATGACGTAGTACAAGCTAAAGCTGTAGTACAAGCTAACGAGAAAGTACAAGCTAATGATGTAGTACAAGCTAATGCTGTAATACAAGCTAATTACGTAGTACGAGCTAATGCTGCAGTTCAAGCTAATGACGCAGTACAAGCTAATTCTGCAGTTCAAGCTAAAACTGTAGTACAAGCTAATGACGTAGTACAAGTTAAAGCTGTAGTACAAGCTAATGAGGTAGTACAAGGTAATGAGAAAGTACAAGCTAATGCTGCAGTTCAAGCTAAAGCTGTAGTAACAGGAAATGCTGTAGTACAAGCTAATGACGTAGTACAAGCTAAAGCTGTAGTACAAGCTAATGATGAAGTACAAGGTAATGAGGAAGTACAAGCTAATGCTGCAGTTCAAGCTAAAGCTGTAGTACAAGTTCATGCTGTAGTACAAGCTAATGCTGTAGTACAAGCTAATGCCTAGTACAAACTAAAGCTGTAGTACAAGCTAATGAGGAAGTACAAGGTAATGAGGAAGTACAAGCTAATGACGTAGTACATGCTAAAGCTGTAGTACAAGCTAATGAGGAAGTACAAGCTTATGATGTAGTACACGCTAATGCCGCTGTTCAAGCTAAAGCTGTAGTACAAGCTAATGCAGCAGTTCAAGCTAAAGCTGTAGTACAATGCTGCAGTTCAAGCTAAAACTGTAGTAAAATGCTGCAGTTCAAGCTAAAGCTGTAGTACAAGCTAATTAGGAAGTACAAGCTAATGATGTAGTACAAGCAAATGCCGTAGTTCAAGCTAATGACGTAGTACAAGCTAATGACGTAGTACAAGCTAATGAGGTAGTACAAGCTAATGACGTAGTTCAAACTAATGACGTAGTACAAGCTAATGACGTAGTACAAGCTAATGCCGAAGTTCAAGCTAATGGCGTAGTACAAGCTAGTGATGTGGTACAAGCTAATGACGTAGTACAAGCTAATGAGGTAGTACAAGCTAACAACGTAGTTCAAACTAATGACGTAGTACAAACTAATGACGTAGTACAAGCTAATGCCGAAGTTCAAGCTAATGACGTAGTACAAGCTAATGGTGTGGTACAAGCTAATGACGTAGTACAAGCTAATGATGCGGTACACGCTAATGATGTAGTACAAGCTAATGATGTGGTACAAGCTAATGACGTAGTACAAGCTAATGACGTAGTACGAGCTAATGACGTAGTACAAGCTAATGATGTGGTACAAGCTAATGCGGTAGTCAGATTCGTACAAACGACTTTCAAGCGAATTGTTTACAATAGCTTCCATCCAAAATAATCACCCTGGCGTAATATTTTATGTGAGTAAAAATGTCAATTTCACCTGGACATATATAGAGGATATTATATGAGTACAAATTTGACTTTACTACTAGAGGTGTGACGATACAGAAATATCACGATACGATACATATCGCGATATCTTGGAACGATACGATTCGATTCGATTAGATGCATATCACGATATGCTTTCTTTAGTTATTTTCTTTAAAAAATCATATTTTAATAGCAAGAAATATTGACATAACCCTCAATATCTCATGAAAATTAACAATTTTATGGTCAACGATACATATCACGATACGAAAAAACTACGATATATCGTCACAGCTCTATTTACTACAAATAGTAGTACTATATTAACCACAAATACTTAACTACAGATAGTTTCGGCACTCGTGTCGTAAACATATTATGACATGGACACGAATATGATATTCTGTTTATTTCCGTAGAAATGTGAATCACTTAAACACGAAACGAAGTGTCTGCTTATATATAATGCCGCATCATCTGTAATAGAGGCGGAAGAAAATATCAACGTAATTCGGCGAAGACCTTAGCACCACTTACCGACAGTTGATGAAACAAGTGCACATTTTCATCGACAGTTATTTGTCAACCTTGATTTTAAATAATAGCGGAAGAATATATTTCAGTCGTACGTATGTAATTCACAACGTTTAAACACGAAGTTTGTTTGAAATAGCAACTTTAGAACGTAGTGCAAAGTCAACAAAAAAACAGTACCAGAGCAAGAATGATTACGTCATGTCACACTTTTGACGTCACAAGTGTGACGTCACCGGTGGAACACGTTGCTGCTTCACATGACAACTATCAGACTGCCAGGCGCAAGTGAACGAGTGACAGTCTCGGGGAGAACATGAAGGCAGTGTCTTTGAACTTGTTTCACACCCTCTGTTTCCTTTCGAACATTATACACATGAAATGTCCCAAGTGGTTGGATTACACTTTCTACTATTCCAACTAGTTTGCCATCGATCGTGACAAGACCATTGACTCTGATTGACTGCGGTAAAGGGCAGCCATGTTGTTTGTTTACCTTGTCGCCTGAAGGTTAATCAATCGATGTAACAAGTATGTAAGTGAAAATGTCATAAATTGTAATTGTTTTATGTATTTTATTGAAAAATATACTCAATTGAACAACATTGTTTTAACAATAATAATATTGCAAGCAAAGCTCGAGTTCAGGTTATCCCCGAGATGCCAATCTGTGAATGGGCATAGTAAAATTTCATGAATGAAAAAAGTAGTTCCCTTCGAAATCGAGGCTTGACATGGAACACCTTCTCGTAAAGTAATATTGTCCTAGGGCATCGTATGAAAAATATGAACCCCGATATGTTTGCCCTCATGGTTAATTAAACATTTTATCTCTTTATTTACAATATCTTTGTAATTGAATGCTTCTACAAAATATTTAAGTCAAATGTAGTTAAGTGTGTGCATGGTGTCACGGAGTATGTCACGCTGTGTTCTGTTTCTGAAACTAGTAGATGAAACTATCTGGCAACTGTTTCATATAATAAAAGGAAACATTTACTTGTTCACTTCCTGTATGTTTTATCAGATGAATAACGCCGAGGAACAACAAGGAAAGGACATTGAAAGTGACGATATGGTAAATCAATTTGACGAGGTGTATGTAGCCTTACGTATATGACATTGAAAGAGACGATATGGTAAATCAGTTTGACGAGGTGTATGTAGCCTTACGTATCTGACATTGAAAGTGACGATATGGTAAATCAATATAACGAGGTGTATGTCGCCTTACGTATCTGACATTGAAAGTGACGATATGGTAAATCAATTTGACGAGGTGTATGTCGCCTTACGTATCTGACATTGAAAGTGACGATATGGTAAATCAATTTGACAAGGTGTATGTAGCCTTACGTATCTGACATTGAAAGTGACGATATGGTAAATCAATTTGACGAGGTGTATGTAGCCTTACATATCTGACATTGAAAGCGACGATATGGTAAATCAATTTGACGAGGTGTATGTCGCCTTACGTATCTGACATTGAAAGTGACGATATGATAAATCAATTTGACGAGGTGTATGTAGCCTTACGTATCTGACATTGAAAGCGACGATATGGTAAATCAATTTAACAAGGTGTATGTAGCCTTACGTATCTGGCATTTAGGTCCAGACCATCCCGAATCACAGACAGTTCCTGTGCAACCAGAAACAGGATCACACTCTTTCGGGGGGCAGTGGCACTCATCACACTGGTCGCCGTATTTGCCATCAGGACAGTTACCTAGAACATTAGAACATTGGTTTTAGTGAGCCACTTGTACCCACACTGTCAGTTGTTTTCTGCCATAGCGACAGCTGCCTTTAAAAGAAACATTATGTTGGAGATAATCAGCAGAAGTAATGTGTAGGAGTTAATAAGCAGAAGTATTGTGTCGTAGATAATAAGCAGAAGCATTGTGTCGGAGATAATAAGCATAAATATTATGTTGAGATAATCAGCAGAAATATTGTGTCGGAGATAATCAGCAGAAATATTATGTTGAGATAATCAACTGAAGTATTGTGTCGGAGATAATCAGCAGAAATATTGTGTCAGAGATAATCACCAGAAGTATTATGTTGAGATACTCAACAGAAGTATTGTGTCGGAGATAATCAACTGAAGTATTGTGTCGGAGATAATAAGCATAAATATTATGTTGAGATAATCAGCAGAAGTATTGTGTCGGAGATAATCAGCAGAAATATTATGTTGAGTTAATCAGCTGAAGCATTGTGTCGGAGACAAAAAGCATAAATATTATGTTGGAGAAAATCAGCAGAAGCATTGTGTCGGAGATAATAAGCAGAAGTATTATGTTGAGATAATCAGCAGAAATATTATGTTGACATAATCCACAAAAGTAATGTGTCGGAGATAATCCACAGAAGTATTGTGTCGGGGATAATGAGCATAAATATTATGTTGAGATGATCAGTAGAAGTATTGTGTCGGAGATAATAACCAGAAGTATTGTGTCGGAGATAATAAGCATAAATATTATGTTGAGATAATCAGCAGAAATATTGTGTCGCAGATAATCAGGAGAAATATTATGTTCAGATAATCATCAGAAGTATTGTGTCGGAGATATACAGCAGAAGTATTGTGTCGGAGATAATAAGCAGAAATATTATATCGGAGATAATCAGCAGAAGTATTGTGTCGGAGATAATCAACAGAAGTATTATGTTGAGAATAATCAACTGAAGTATTGTGTCGGAGATAGTCAGCATAAATATTACGTTGAGATAATCCACAGAAGCATTGTGTCGGAGATAATAAGCAGATATATTATGTTGAGATAATCAACAGAAGTATTGTGTCAGAGATAATCAGCAAAAATATTGTGTTGGAGATAATCACCAGAAGTATTATGTTGAGATACTCAACAGAAGTATTGTGTCGGAGATAATCAACTGAAGTATTGTGTCGGAGATAATAAGCAGAAGTATTATGTTGAGATAATCAGCAGAAGCATCGTGTCGGAGACAATCAGCAGAAATATTAGGTTGAGATAATCAACTGAAGTATTGTGTCGGAGATAATCAGCATAATTATTACGTTGAGATAATCAGCAGAAGCATTGTGTCGGAGATAATCAGCAGACATATTATGTTGAGTTAATCCACAGAAGTATTGTGTCGGAGATAATCATCAGATATATTAAGTCAGAGATAATCAGCAGAAGTATTATGTTGTGATAATCAGCAGAAGTATTGTGTCGGAGATAATCAACATAAATATTATGTTGAGATAATCAACTGAAGTATTGTGTCGGAGATAATAAGCAGAAGTATTATGTTGAGATAATCAGCAGAAATATTGTGTCGGAGATTATCAGCATATATATTATGTTGAGATAATCCACAGAAGTATTGTGTCGGAGATAATCCACAGAAGTATTATGTCGCGGATAATGAGCATAAATAGTATATTGAGATAATCAGCAGAAGTATTGTGTCGGAGATAATCAGCAGAAGTATTGTGTCGGAGATAATAAGCATAAATATTATATTGAGATAATCAGCAGAAGTTTTGTGTCGGAGATAATCAGCAGAAATTTTATGTTCAGATACTCAACAGAAGTATTGTGTCGGAGATAATCAACTGAAGTATTGTGTCGGAGATAATCAGCATAAATATTATATTGAGATAATCAGCAGAATCATTGTGTCGGAGACAATCATCAAAAATATTAAGTTGAGGTAATAAACAGAAGTATTCTGTCGGGGATAACCAGCATAACTATTACGTTGAGATAATCAGCAGAAGCATTGTGTCGGATATAATCAGCAGAAATATTGTGTCGGAGACAATCACCAGAAGTATTATGTTGAGATACTCAACAGAAGTATTGTGTCGGAGATAATCAGCAGAAATATTGTGTCGGAGATAATCACCAGAAGTATTATGTTGAGATACTCAACAGAAGTATTGTGTCGGAGATAATCAGCAGAAGTATTATGTTGAGATACTTAACAGAACTATTGTGTCGGAGATAATCAGCAGAAGTATTGTGTCGGAGATAATCACCAGAAGTATTGTGTCGGAGATAATAAGCAGAAGTATTGTGTCGGAGATAATAAGCAGAAGTATTGTGTCGGAGATAATAAGCAGAAGTATTATGTTGAGATAATCAGCAGAAGCATTGTGTCTGAGACAATCAGCAGACATATTATGTTGAGTTAATCCACAGAAGTATTGTGTCGGAGATAATCAGCAGAAATATTGTGCCGGAGATAATAAGCAGAAGTATTGTGTCGGAGATAATAAGCAGAAGTATTATGTTGAGATAATCAGCAGAAGTATTGTGTCGGAGATAATCAACATAAACATTATGTTGAGATAATCAACTGAAGTATTGTGTCGGAGATAATAAGCAGAAGTATTATGTTGAGATAATCAGCAGAAATATTGTGTCGGAGATTATCAGCATATATATTATGTTGAGATAATCCACAGAAGTATTGTGTCGGAGATAATCCACAGAAGTATTATGTCGCGGATAATCAGCAGAATTATTATATTGAGATAATCAGCAGAATCATTGTGATTGTGTCTGAGACAATCATCAGAAATATTAAGTTGAGGTAATGAACAGAAGTATTGTGTCGGAGATAACCAGCATAACTATTACGTTGAGATAATCAGCAGAAGCATTGTGTCGGATATAATCAGCAGAAATATTGTGTCGGAGATAATCACCAGAAGTATTATGTTGAGATACTCAACAGAAGTATTGTGTCGGTGATAATCAGCAGAAGTATTGTGTCGGAGATAATCAGCAGAAGTATTATGTTGAGATACTCAACAGAAATATTGTGTCGGATATAATCAGCAGAAATATTGTGTCGGAGATAATCAGCAGAAGTATTATGTTGAGATACTCAACAGAAGTATTGTGTCGGAGATAATCAGCAGAAGTATTGTGTTGGAGATAATCACCAGAAGTATTGTGTCGGAGATAATCAGCAGAAGTATTGTGTCGGAGATAATAAGCAGAAGTATTGTGTCGGAGATAATAAGCAGAAGTATTATGTTGAGATAATCAGCAGAAGCATTGTGTCGGAGACAATCAGCAGACATGTTATTTTGAGTTAATCCACAGAAGTATTGTGTCGGAGATAATCAGCAGAAATATTGTGTCGGAGATAATAAGCAGAAGTATTGTGTCGGAGATAATAAGCAGAAGTATTATGTTGAGATAATCAGCAGAAGCATTGTGTCGGAGATAATCAACTAAAGTATCGTGTCGGAGATAATAAGCAGAAGTATTGTGTCGGAGATAATAAGCAGAAGTATTATGTTGAGATAATCAGCAGAAGCATTGTGTCGGAGACAATCAGCAGTCATATCATGTTGAGTTAATCCACAGAAGTATTGTGTCGGAGATAATCAGCAGAAATATTGTGTCGAGATAATCATCAGAAGTATTATGTTGAGATAATCGACAGAAGTATTGTGTCGGAGATAATCATCAGACATATTATGTTGAGATAATCAACTGAAGTATTGTGTCGGAGACAATCAGCAGAAATATTATGTTGAGATAATCAACAGAAGTATTGTGTCGGAGATAATCAACAGAAATATTGTGTCGGAGATAATCAGCAGAAATATTACGTTGAAATAATCAGCAGAAGCATTGTGTCGGAGATAATCAGCAGAAATATTATGTTGAGATAATAAGCAGAAGTATTATGTTGAGATAATCATCAGAAATATTGTGTCGGAGATAATCAGCGGAAATATTATGTTGAGATAATCAACTGAAGTATTGTGTCGGAGATAATCAGCAGAAATATTATATTGAGATAATCAGCAGAAGCATTGTGTCGGAGATAATCAGCAGAAGTATTGTGTCGGAGATAATAAGCAGAAATATTATGTTGGAGATAATCTACAGAAGTATTGTGTCGGAGATAATCAGCACTTGACCATTACTTTAAAGATAGCAGATCATATAGAGAACATACATACGTCCCTAACGATTGTTCAATCGCCAGCATTATGAGTATTGTTTTGAGTAATGTGGAAACCTGAATTCAAAATGCACCTTCTTCGTCACAGCGGGTTCAAAACCACATTCCCTAGGTTTCGTTGTTTTTAGGTTTGTACAATACCAAATAGTACCATAGTTTGTGAGTTTCACAACTGTCACATGTGATATGTCCTCTAAGTATTGCAAAAGAGTGGGCTACACACATTATACAAAGCTAAAACCAACTACACATACACATATGTTAGGAACGATTCCTCCAAATGTTGATAATTATGCCAGATAGCGACGAAAATGTCCATACTAAAACACTACTGATAATCTTTATAAAACTGACAAATGATGTTTACCTTGTGTGCCCGCAATCAGGCAGAGAGAGAGAGCGGAGAAAAGTCGCAACACATCCACCATACTCGCGGGTAAGCTTGTCTCACTTCCTGGTTCATTAGTTTTAGTTTTAGTTTTAGTTTTAGTTTTAGTTTTAGTTTTAGTTTCAGGTTTAGGTTAGGTATTCATTGAAACATTTGTCACATTTCTCTCACATTTTGTGTAATCATGTTCTATTCAACATTCCTGACAAATGAAGGCTGGATTTCGATGGGACTTTCACAGACAGCTCTATGTTTTGTTGTAGGATATGTTACCTAATACATGAACGCAACATGCACCTCTTAGTCAGTCTATTTTGAAATTTTGCGGAAATTGAAACGACACTACTGTTTTCACAGTTTTCTGAAACATTTATGCATTGAAATCAAGGAAATGGTATCAGGCTGAGTGAAGTTGGCTTTGTTTCGTGAATGCTTGATTAAAACAATAACAATACAATATAGATTTACATTTCATAGCTCAAAAGCCAGGCTGATGACCGACTGAACATCATACTTGCTTTCTCGTTCGGGATGCTGATATATAATGACTGGGCCATTTGTGTACTGTATGGAGTTTGTGGTGTCTCACACTTATAACGTCGGTCCGGTGTTATTGTATTCAAGGTCATTAATTAACCCAGGATCAAGTTGAAGCACGTTTGTAAGGTAATACAACGACAAACAAACCTTCATACTAAACGTCGCGTCAAGTTTGAAACATTTTTTCATTCATATTTCTCCTAATATGGGAGAAAGTCGAAAGTGACAGACACCTACGGACGGGAGAGTGTGCAGGACACGAAACCAAACACTCATCATAGCATACATGTATTTTCACAACAGCGCATGAGGAAGTCAATGACACATTATGCAACTATTGGAAATTAAGAGCAAAACAAAACAATCCATTTGAAACCATGAAACAATTACAATTCAAATAACGAGTCAGTGAGTTTAGTTTACGCCGCACTCAGCAATATTCCTGTCTGTAATTACGAGTCTGGACCAAACAATCAAGTGATCAACAGTATGAGCATCGATCTACCTTATTGGGATACGGTGACATGTGTCAACCAAGTCAGCGAGCTCCTGACAACCTCCGATCCGGTCAGTCGCCTCTAACGACAAGCCATGGGCTACTGAAGATCAATTCTAACCCGGACCTTCACGGGTATCAAATACCGAGGAGGAAATTGATACCTTCGCCTATGTCAGTCACTTCTGTGTCAGGCGCTGTAGCATGTAGCAATAACTTCCTGCAAGCACACCCTGACATAACCATTACTCACCGTCAGAATCACTTCAACACGACGTTATCATATTGGTGCTAGGACTGTTGATCATAACCATCTACATGAGCATTTGAAACGAGCAACAATTACAAGGCTGTTACATGAACAACTATTTTATGGATCTTCAGTGTGCTGTATAGTTTTGTAATAATTCTCTCAGTGTTATCAGAGTTCTCTCACATTGTAATCAAACAGGTAAACAACACTGCGGTGTCCACAGGTACTTCAGCCAGCAACCATATTGGTCATAACGCCCTATAAAGTTGAATGAAATATGCGAAAAATATGGTGTATTTTTCAGGGACGGGTACAAGCCGCGTAACACCATCACAGGTTATACAATTGGGGTTTGCTGTCTAGAAGTTGCTATTTGTGACACAAGAGGAAAAACACTTGATGGGCCAGACTGTTCATGTAGACTTCCAGGCAAATTCCACATTTCCTTAAATAAATGTTTCAAGATTTTGAAACGAGCAGTCAGTTAAGACTGTTGGAACAAGTATTTTATGGCGTTTTAGTATGTTGCCGAATTATATAATAGTTCTGAGTTCTCCCCCTTCGATAACTGATGCTGTCAGGTAATTCAGCCAGCAGATATGTACGATATACCAGAAGTACTTTTTGCAATCCATTACTTATAGAATAGTCCAGTTTGACACCACATATGCATGTCAAGGAAACAGTTCCGTGATTACTGCCGCGTTATGAACACTTGAGATGCTGGAAACGGCTTATCGTGGCACATTAGAAAGAAAGATGGTGTCCACCTCTGGTTACTTAATAAAAGATATGCAAACCCGCGGCTAATATGAGCTGTTTGCCCGGTGGGTGTGTAGATGATAATCTGTGTTGATTATACGTAGTGGTACGGTCCGGTGAGAAAGTCTTGGTAAGCATGACTACTGCTAGATTGGTAGCCACAAGGGCTCAGTAACTTGGGATCTATAAATGTTTACTTCCTTCCGTGCACGGGCTTAATTGAGAGCCAGATAGTCACGGTTTGTGTCGTTTCAAAAAAAGCTTCTATCAGTGTGCGTAATTTATCATGATCAGGTCTAATGTCTATCGATGTTCCAGTACATGTTCCATAAATGTTTGGCCAAATTCCTGGTTTTTATTTTTTGCTGACCATAACCGACATTCTGACACAGGTGCGTAAAGAAACAGAGAGGCGAGGCGAGGAAGGTTGGTGTGCTTGGGGATGCCTTAGTCATGCCGAAATGTTCCTAAATTTTACATTGGTTTGTTATCCATAAGAATTCAAACAGATTTCAAATTTTACTTCCTCTGAACGCGATTTGAGATTTCATTTCATTTCTGACAAGTTGAACGTCCAAAGATAAGTATGTAAATGTATAAGAGTACACCCAGGACTTTTCTAATGGTGTACAAATGTTGGAAGTTCATTCTCGCCAGGTGTTTGCGGCAAGGTGATATTATCCCGCCCCAGCCGTGGTGCCCGTCCAAAACAAATGTGTCAAATCACAAAGGTGGCTGAAAGATTTAATGAGGCCTTGAGGCTTGTCCAGCTCTTTGTTTCACACATTGTTTTCTTAGAAATGGTAACTGTTGTGATATTTGCTATCATTATGATTGTATCATTGTCATTTTAAGTCCCATGGATTACCCATCTTTCTTTCTTTGGTGTTTAACGCCACACAACATTCCAGCTACATGGCGACGGTCTGTAACAATCGAGTCTGTACCAGACAACCCAGTGATCAACAGCATGAGCCTCGATCTACGCATTAACCAACTAAGTCGTTCCTCAAGGCGATCGTAGCGCTAAGTTGATCGTAACTCCTATACTTTTAATATAGACTTACACGACTGTCGTAGCGCTACGATCGCCTTGAGGAACGGGTCCCTGGTCAGCGAGTCATACCTCCTGATTCCTTCATAAACATGGGTTTCAGAGACCAATTCTAACCCGAATCTTCACAGGCAGAACTGACGTTATATATACTAGACAAAATAAAATAGAGATATTGGTATATTTTTGATTTATATTTTATCAGTGTGTCAATGAATAAATAGATCATTATTCATAATTTCAAATTTTACATGTATCCCCAGCTAGTTTTGTTCAGTATATATTGACATTACCGAGGTTTCGATTAATGGAAACTGCACACAGCAACAATGATGATGACCTCTGACCCGGATCATCACAGGTACCCATGGGTGAAGGAATGGTATATCATAAGCAAGTGTCAATGGAAAGATATCAGTCATGATGCAAGGTGTCGTCTCAATCATAAGCATATACACCTACACCAGTGGGATGTCCAGCTACACCAGTGGGATGTCCAGCTACACCAGTGGCATGTCTAGCTACACCAGTGGGATGTCCAGCTACACCAGTGGGATGTCCAGCTACACCAGTGGCATGTCTAGCTACACCAGTGGGATGTCCAGCTACACCAGTGGGATGTCCAGCTACACCAGTGGGATGTCCAGCTACACCAGTGGGATGTCCAGCTACACCAGTGGGGTATCCAGCTACACCAGTGGGATGTCAAGCTACACCAGTGGCATGTCTAGCTACACTAGTGGGATATCCAGCTACACCAGTGGGATGTCCAGCTACACCAGTGGCATGTCTAGCTACACCAGTGGGATGTCAAGGTACACTAGTGGGATGTCCAGCTACACCAGTGGGATGTCCATCTACACCAGTGGGATGTCCAGCTACACCAGCGGGATGTCCAGCTACACCAGCGGGATGCCCAGCTACACCAGCGGGATGCCCAGCTACACCAGTGGGATGTCCAGCTACACCAGTGGGATGTCCAGCTACACCAGTGGGATGTCCAGCTACACCAGTGGGATGTCCAGCTACACCAGTGGGATGGGATGTCCAGCTACACCAGTGGGATGGGATGTCCAGCTACACCAGTGGGATGGGATGTCCAGCTACACCAGTGGGATGTCCAGCTACACCAGTGGGATGTCCAGCTACACCAGTGGGATGGGATGTCCAGCTACAACAGTGGGATGGGATGTCCAGCTACACCAGTGGGATGGGATGTCCAGCTACAACAGTGGGATGGGATGTCCAGCTACAACAGTGGGATGGGATGTCCAGCTACAACAGTGGGATGGGATGTCCAGCTACACCAGTGGAATGTCCAGCTACACCAGTGGGATGTCCAGCTACAACAGTGGGATGGGATGTCCAGCTACAACAGTGGGATGGGATGTCCAGCTACAACAGTGGGATGGGATGTCCAGCTACACCAGTGGGATGGGATGTCCAGCTACAACAGTGGGATGGGATGTCCAGCTACACCAGTGGAATGTCCAGCTACACCAGTGGGATGTCCAGCTACACCAGTGGGATGGGATGTCCAGCTACACCAGTGGGACCAATAAGGAATACACAAAGCATGTCAATTGTTTAAGTTATTTAATTCGGGAATAAATCAAATAAGGAGGTCAGTAAAATCTTTTATCTGGGGTTGTAGTTATTGTTCACCTGCAATAGACCTGCATTTTCCAGGTGGTTCACAAGACATGTTGGCAGACACTCCCCCCTCGACTGACTTGTATGTCCATGGTGTAAGATGACAACAGTGCGACCGACTCCTTCAGTCGTGATGCAAGAACCGAAGCGACACATCAGCCTGAACTGAATGTGGTGTTTAACGAAATGTAGTTCACATACTCACCTTTGAGAGATGACAAACAAATCAATCGTTTCATTTCCAATAAATAATAGCCAAAAATTATTTTTCAGAGTCACAGGACGTCTCTAAAATAGTATACGGATATAGTGTGTACCTGAATAAATATTGAAATAAGTTACAAGTTACGTAACAACCACAGGTAAACAAATGAAGTACTAAATGTTTACAAGCTTGTGAGAGAGTAGTCATGAATATCACCCCATAATTCAGGCGTCTGAATATCTTATTATAATAACAAGCGTGTATATTCCTGTAATGGCAGACATGGCAATGTGTATACCTGCTCAAAAACATACACAATGACGTAACATCTCAACCATCCATATTAAACATTTGTAAGGATAACGCGTTACTGATTATTACCACTTGTCTCCATTCTTACATTGGCAGGCGACAGTCTTAATACGAAGTTTATTTCATCCATCTGAATAGAAGCAACGCAACCCGTTCTACATGCGTTAATAATCTCTGCTAAAAGTAAATTGGATGTTACAATTCTATGTCATGAGTATGTATTTGTTTCAGCAGTATGCAAACAATGTGAAGCAATAAACAAACAGTAAATATAGCATATTTCAGCTATTATGGTTGCAAAATGCATGTTGTAGTATACAAATAAGTCTCAATAACAACTAATAAATAATATTCCTAAAATAGCATCATGAATGTTTTCCGCGTCTGTTTTGTGAACACATCAAATATCAGTCCTCAATATCGAAGGAGAAAGACAAAACTGTCATTACAGTATTCGTTTAGGGACTACAAACAATATCAAATGAGTGATATTGGGCTTGTCTATGTAATCTGTCAGTTAATGTTGCGGATAATGAGTTGTCTAGTGCTGCATCAAGGCTAAATATGTTTATGGATTCCTGACACAGCATCAATAATTATTAACGGAAACATTATTGCCGAAACAACAGAAGCCTGACAGTGTCCTTGTTGTCTGGTCCACGTCACACTGTACGCGACAGGTGTTTCACGGTGTGCTTGTTGTCTGGTCCACGTCACACTGTACGTGACAGGTGTTTCACGATGTGCTTGTTGTCTGGTCCACGTCACACTGTACGTGACAGGTGTTTCACGATGTGCTTCACATGTTGGAGTACACACTCTGCGTCTCCAGATAGGTCGAGGCCACGTTGTAGCAGACCGATATCTCCTCCTGAAGAACAGACAAGAAAATGTGCATACACAGGTTCCCTTTTCACTCCAGTAAATGTCATGCTGCAGTAGGTCACTATTTGCTCCGTTAAGCTTAATGAGTTACTAAAAAGTCAAATCTACGTTAATTCCGAGCCGGTTAAGCCAAACATTTACAAAGGCTTACATGTCTGTCGTGTACCAAATGAATATACTTTATATATTGGCAGACGTATCGATTATATGTGGCAATAGCATGTGAGTGTCTCTTCTACTCGTCGGTGTCTATAAACATCATGACGTCCCTAAATTCACCTGGGTGAGATCGTTGGCATGCAGGTGCCCGAGACGTCGGATGTTGTTGTAGATCTCCACCACGTTGTCGTACCTAATGCCGAGCACGATGTTGCTGAGGATGCAGAACAATGTAGCCACGCGTTTTTCGTTTTCCCTGGAAAAAGATCAATCTCTGCATTCGCCCTGAAGTAACTTAACAAACCAAAACTTCACAATTGGTTATTATCAATGACATGATGTGATGGGTTTTGTGCTGATCAGGTTAAAACTACAAAGGACCACAATGTCGAGGAACAGTAAATGAATGGAATGGTTGTTAAGTCTAACTAGGAGGATATGATAAGTTGTTTCATTACAGTAACGATTACAATGAAGGATATGAAGGAAAGAGAACCTACCCGAAAACAACTGTTACAGGATTTGGGGTATTGCCTCTTGTGCCAAGGTCGACCTGTTCCAGAAGGTCAAGGAGGACTGAGTGGTCATCAGTTGGAAGCATTATCACCATGTACACACGGACAGTCTTGGGCGAGGCATCACCCTTGAATACAGAAAGAGCTGTATTAATCTTATTGACATAACACACGTATTACATCGTCCTATATGTCATCGTATCATAAAAAGTAAAAGACCATACTGAAGCCACACATACAGTAGTGAGAGAGGCAAGTTTTGTGCAGACTATACTTATCTTCAGAGAATGAAGAATTTATATATAAGTTATAATGGTACATTCTACATAACAACCGACCTCCATCTGCCTTTGGACGTTCCTGAAGACGATGTCGGGGTTGATGGTGTTCTCTGTTGAGCATGTGACACTCACGGGACCCAGATCCAGTCTCTCCCCTGGCGCTGGTAGGAAGCAGGACACTCTCTAAAAACGGAATTATTAGAATGATTATATATTTGTCTCCTCAGTATGAAGAACCATGTTTTACGTTCAGATTGTGAATAGTGCAGTAGGCAGATAACTGAATTTATAACTCGGCCGTGGAAGATACTGCAGTGTAATATTTCTAAGGCAATATTACACTAGTGTAATACAGTTAGACGTATGACGTCATACTGGTTTATAGTTATGACGTCACAATTCTAATACCTATGTGTTAGGGATTAAAAGGGATTAAACCTTGCTTGTGTCGCGGAAAGCTGAGAGTCATCACATTGTATGCAGTTTCTATCAATTTATGTAATAAAGAGAATACTAAACTCGCTCATTACAATACCATTTTTATTAAACTCGTGAAGGATTTAGTATCAAACAGGCGAAATCATTAACTCGTTTGACAAAAAATGGTATTCCAAGGGAGGTGGTTTAGTATCCTCTATGACAACTACTATCATTGGTCACCTGGTGCGAGTCTGGCAGGACAATGACAGTGGCAGATTCCTGTTCCTCTGTGAGTTTCCAGAACAGAGACGCCGTGGTGACGGAGGGGGCCTCAGTTAACAGGTAGCCATTCACGGACAGGTGGGACTGAAGGAGAACAAATACCAGATTAGGACTATGTATAGAGACACATAATGTTGTTCCTATTCTCTTCCATATTAGATCACTTGTAGTGTCACCGTTACATGACAAGGAGTGAGTGAGTTAAAATGTAAGTCACATCGGCAGTATTTCAGCCATATCGTGACTAAGAAAGTTACATATCAATAATTGTAAAAAGCCTGTCAATGAACGACAGTAAAACAACTAGAATATCACAGATATAAATGTAAAACTGGTAATTAAATCTAAAACATTTTAACTATAGAGCACAACACAATATAAAAACGGGCTATAGATCGCAAACAACTGAAGGTAGATCACCATGGGGATACATGACAAGGAAGATAAGTTGACATACCGTAGATCAGTTTAGTATAATGTATTATTGAATTACTGTGTGCATTGAAACACGTACTAAGTATTGTGTTATTGAATGACCATGTGCATTGAAACACGTACTAAGTATTGTGTTATTGATTGGCTATGTGTATTGGTTCTCGAACAGAGTATTAAGTGTTATTGAATGACTATGTGCATTGAAACACGTACTAAGTATTGTGTTAGTGATTGGCTATGTGTATTGGTTCTCGAACAGAGTATTGTGTTATTGAATGACTATGTGTATTGGTACACGTACTAAGTATTGTGTTATTGAATGACTATGTGTATTGGTTCTCGAACAGAGTATTGTGTTATTGAATGACTATGTGTATTGGTACACGTACTAAGTATTAGTGTTAGTGATTGGCTATGTGTATTGGTTCTCGAACAGAGTATTGTGTTATTGAATGACTATGTGTATTGGTACACGTACTAAGTATTGTGTTATTGAATGACTATGTGTATTGGTTCTCGAACAGAGTATTGTGTTATTGAATGACTATGTGTATTGGTACACGTACTAAGTATTGTGTTAGTGATTGGCTATGTGTATTGGTTCTCGAACAGAGTATTGTGTTATTGAATGACTATGTGTATTGGTACACGTACTAAGTATTGTGTTATTGAATGACTATGTGTATTGGTACACGTACTAAGTATTGTGTTATTGAATGACTATGTGTATTGGTACACGTACAGGCATCATCACAGCTAGGATATCCGAGCGTCCGTTCACCCACACACGACCTTTTATGTCTTTACCTGACAAGAGAAATAGAGAGTGCATATTCAGATAGAGCCATGGGTTCCCACTCTGTCTCTGTTAATCGTGAACTGTACCCTCTAATTTCACAATTACCCAAATTCGGAATGATGTATCAATATTTGGAAGAAATGTTTCTTCTTCCTGCCAATCGAAGACAAAGTAGGCACTACAACTCTTCGTACTGAATTACTGAACGTGATAGCAAATATGTGTAACGGTGCAGATTATAACATATTCTTACCTGCCTTATCTCGCTGTATATCGGATTTGACTCTCTACAAACCCAAGAATGCGAACATGTATATTCATATGCCCTACAACATGTGATACTTGGACGATGCAAGTCATAGATGCGAGGTAAATGTATGGAAGGGATCAGCGTGAATGAGTGAGTCAGTTACAGCTAGTTGTCCACCTATGTCAGGAAGTTAAAGCTTGACGTGGAGGAGAAGCCGGAAGTAATGGAGGTGTTTGAAATCTACTGCCTTGGTGGCACTACCACTGGTACGGTGTCGACAAAACACACACACAATATGGGATTCAAACCCGTACCACAGGTTCCTGTCATGACTAAGGAACCACAGAGTGAATTACTGCTCGTTCTACAAGATTACAAAGGCGTAATGGTGCCGCTTTAGGAGCATATTCTTGATTATTAAAACCCAAATTTCGCGTTAATTCTCTCACTCTCACTGTTTTGTTTCCGCAATTTCAAATGTTTTTTTCTGGTTAATTATTGCATTTCTGTAGCTTTGATTATTTTCTTCCTAATTCAATAAATTCAGCGAAATTTGTACTTTTGAAAAAAAAACCATTTAAATAAGGAGAAAAAAACAAAATACAATTAAATTATATAATTGTCAAAAGGAAATTAGAATTGGTTCTAGCAAAAACATGAAAGGGCAATAATGGAAGCAAGGATAAACTTTTCGAAATTGTCAATTTTTGAAATAAAGGGACATATTTTCTAATACATCAGTCAAGGTAGACAGTGAATCTTCAGTTATTCATTGTCAATATATCATCATTTGTGTTTTGCCAGAACAATGTTCTCTATTTGTATCTGTACATATATCTGTAACCAGCTACTGTCGGACAACCACCTGTATCAGTCTCGGTACTGTCAAGTTGCCCATCTTGAACACTGTCTTCCTTCCAAGCTGTTTAACAAAGTCCAGGGATGGCAGGAACGTATCTCCCACCGTCAGAACCTCGTACAAGGTCGTGTACACACAGGCATACTGCTCCTGCAATACAGATGGCAGCGTCACATACATCCCACTGTCAGAACCTCGTACAAGGTCGTGTACACACAGGCATACTGCTCCTGCAATACACATGACAGCGTCACATACAACCCACCGTCAGAACCTCGTACAAGGTTGTGTACACACAGGCATACTGCTCCTGGAATACACATGACAGCGTCACATACAACCTACCGTCAGAACCTCTTACATGGTGGTGTACACACAGGCATACTGCTCCTGCAATACACATGACAGCGTCACATACAACCCACCGTCAGAACCTCTTACAACGTCGTGTATACACAGACATACTGCTCCTGCAATACACATGACAGCGTCACATACAACCCACCGTCAGAACCTCGTACAACGTCGTGTACACACAGGCATATTGCTCCTGCAATACACATGACAGCGTCACATACAACCCACTGTCAGAACCTCTTACATGGTGGTGTACACACAGGCATACTGCTCCTGCAATACACATGACAGCGTCACATACAACCCACCGTCAGAACCTCTTACAACGGCGTGTACACACAGACATACTGCTCCTGGAATACACATGACAGCGTCACATACACCCCACCGTCAGAACCTCTTATAGGGTCGTGTACACACAGGCATACTGCTCCTTGAATACACATGACAGCGTCACATACACCCCACCGTCAGAACCTCTTATAGGGTCGTGTACACACAGGCATACTGCTCCTGAATACACATGACAGCGTCACATACACCCCACCGTCAGAACCTCTTATAGGGTCGTGTACACACAGGCATACTGCTCCTGCAATACACATGACAGCGTCACATACAACCCACCGTCAGAACCTCTTACAACGGCGTACATACAGGCATACCGTTTCTGCAATACACATGACAGCGTCACATACAACCCACCGTCAGAACCTCGTACAACGTCGTCAGTACAACACAGGCATACCGTTCCTGCAATACACATGACAGCGTCACATACAACCCACCGTCAGAACCTCGTACAACGTCGTGTTCACACAGGCATACTGCTCCTGCAATACACATGACAGCGTCACATACAACCCACCGTCAGAACCTCGTACAACGTCGTGTACACACAGGCATACTGCTCCTGCAATACACATGACAGCGTCACATACAACCCACTGTCAGAACCTCGTACAAGGTCGTGTACACACAGGCATACTGCTCCTGCAATACACATGACAGCGTCACATACAACCCAACGTCAGAACCTCGTACAACGTCGTGTACACACAGGCATACTGCTCCTGCAATACACATGACAGCGTCACATACAACCCACCGTCAGAACCTCGTACAAGGTCGTACACACAGGCATACTGCTCCTGCAATACACATGACAGCGTCACATACAACCCACCGTCAGAACTCTTACAACGGCGTGTACACAGGCATACTGCTCCTGCAATACACATGACAGCGTCACATACAACCCACCGTCAGAACCTCGTACAACGTCGTGTACACACACAGGCATACTGTTCTGCAATACACATGACAGCGTCACATACAACCCACCGTCAGAACCTCGTACAAGGTCGTGTACACACAGGCATACCGTTCCTGCAATACACATGACAGCGTCACATACAACCCACCGTCAGAACCTTCCGTCGTACAAGGTCGTGTATAACAGGCATACTGTTCTGCAATACACATGACAGCGTCACATACAACCCACCGTCAGAACCGTGTACAAGGTCGTACACACAGGCATAATGCTCCTGCAATACACATGACAGCGTCACATACAACCCACCGTCAGAACCTCGTACAACGTCGTAAACATCACAGGGCATAATGCTCCTGCAATACACATGACAGCGTCACATACAAACCAACGTCAGAACCTCTTACAACGTCGTGTATACACACAGGCATACTGTTCCTGCAATACACATACGACAGCGTCACATACAACCCACCGTCAGAACCTCGTACTTGGTCGTGTACATTAGGCATACCTGTCGCGCAATACACATGACAGCGTCACATACAACCCACCGTCAGAACCTCGTACAACGTCGTGTACACACAGGCATACTGCTCCTGCAATACACATGACAGCGTCACATACAACCCAACGTCAGAACCTCGTACAATGTCGTGTACACACAGGCATACTGCTCCTGCAATACACATGACAGCGTCACATACAACCCACCGTCAGAACCGCGTACAAGGTCGTGTACACACAGGCATACTGCTCCTGCAATACACATGACAGCGTCACATACAAACCACCGTCAGAACCTCTTACAACGTCGTGTATACACAGGCAATACAGATGGCAATGTGACATATCTCGCAGACAACTAAGTATATCCATTATATACATACAGTGACATGGCTATGATACCTAGCTGGTATTCAAAGCAATGCAATCGACAAGATGTTTGTATAATCCAAAATACAACTGCCATTTTGAGATAATGAAACGTATTGGCGTCCTACCTTCGTCTGAATCATGTTTCTCCTCTGACGTCTCATGTCACATGCGAACCTGAACACATCAACTTTCCGGTCACTCAGAGCCCTGTCGAGAAGGTAATCCAGCGCGATATAGGTTCCAGTGCGACCTATCCCAGCACTGAGGACAATAGAGAGCACAGTCAGTCTCGACTGACAGGATGAAAAAATGAGAAACAATTATACGAATGAATGACAGATTATCGTCAGCACCAGCCAATTTGCATATAAATGTAAGTCTTTGTTGTCTAAAGCCACATGGCGCTTCTCCGGTCATGCTAGCTACGGCGGTCTTTAAAGATCAATCGAATCCTGAACAGACAGTCAAGTTATGGACCGGAAAGACGGCGACAAGATAGAGCATTAAAACTAGGGCTGCGCAATATAACCGGTTTAGCGGTATTTACCGGTTCAGACATGAAAAAACGATACGTATTGCGATACGCTGATCGAAAAAAGGTATTTTGACATGCATTCGGAAAATCTTCGGATACTTCCGTTTTTTTATTTGTTCTTTTCCCTGTTTCATTAGTGCCAAATGTTACTTAAATTTTTATTTTGTCATGATTAAGAGTTTTTATAAACGGTTATGTTTTGTTGTGTTTTTGCTTTATTATCAAGCATTAACTCGATTATAAGTAGTTTTTGTTAAAAACATAATCCTCGCAATATATTGCAATACATATCGCAATATATGCTTCCGCATCGCAATATATCGCAATATGAAAATTCTCTGCAATACCCACCCCTAATTAAAACTGAAGTAAGTGAACACTGTTAACCTTCTCCTCTTCTATTCCACGGTTCATTTACACCATCAGTGTTGTAGCATGCTGAATATCCCGGCCATTCTCAGTGAACAGGCCGTCTATACTAGCCCATGATATTTCCCTAGCATATACCTGATAATTTGAGTCCTACTGGTACCACACAGTAACAGTTGAAAACGTTATGTCATATGAAACCTATTGGCATACCATAGAAAGCTTAAACTGTTTGCTTGAAGTGCTATAACGGTCCCACCACAAGATTCAACTGTAATATGAATCTTTACACGCACATAACTATGGAGGGTAAGATGTTGTATTCTGGGATCTCTCACATGCACGTCAACAGTCCTGCCCAGCCGGACTACTTGCATGAGCGCGGGAGTCGTACATAAAATATAGTTCCTCATCATCATGATTATATTACAAGAACTGTCTTCGTACAGACCTACAGTGTACCAACACAGGAGAGGTGTCATGGTTGGGCGTCTTTCGGACTCGCCACAAGAACTCCATCAGGTGAGTTTCGTCTGGAGTTCCATGGTCCGGCCATTTTGTGAAGTGGAAATGGTAGAAAATTCTGTGTTCACCGGTCTGTGAAAAGGAAGAGATTGCCATATGTAATACCAATTATTCTAAATATGCAGAGTTGAGGTTGTAAACATAGAGAGACAATTCTCAGTTTCAGCAATGATTTAATTTGCTTCACTGCAATTGTAGAGGAACATTTATTTCCTTTTGACCTAGTTTGAAGTACCAGAAGATACTTACAATCTGCCACTGATCATCTGACAGCCGTCAGTGAGTTATTTCCCGAGAGGAAAGAAAAGTCTGCATCTGTCCATATATACTAACGAAAGATGACGTCATACAGTATTACCTCCTTGACTGTAGCAGTGAGTTCTCTGATGTCCCAGCATGCCCTGTGCATGACCTTGGTAACAGTGATAGAAAAGGGTCCCGCTTCAAGGTCAGATGTGTCAGACCAGTAGGGCTCACACTTCACCTGATGAAGAAAAATGTTGTCCGCATTGGAGTGAGTAAATGAGGTAATGTGTAACGTCACATCGGCAATATTTCAACCATATCGTGACAATTTATTTTACATCTACATTAAAATCAATAAATTTAGAACATAAAAAAATCTCTCATGGCAGGACGGTATTAGAGTATCACAGCTCTTAATCTAAAACTAGCACGCTATCATAACAAAGATCGATATCACTATAAACATCAATACAATATAAAAACGGGCTATAGATCACCAGCAACTTAAGGCTGATCACCATACTAGGTACCATAGGGACTTACAGTACTTTGGCTGTCCGCAAAGGACAAAGGACTAAACACGTGTTAATGTTAATACAGTCACTTAACGGATATACAAGTGATATACTTTTCTTTAAAAGCTACACATCAATATAAGTAGTTAATTTATTCCCCAAACTGTTTTACCTTGCCCATCTCCGTCAAGTTGGTCAGCATGACGATCCTGGTCAAGTTCTTCTGATAGATCATTCTCCAGAAGTCGGCTACAGTCTTCCTGTTCGGTGCTATGATGGTTATAAAAAGAAACACAGATTGTGTGACTACATGTACATGTTTATATAAAAGCGATATCTTTACTTTTATATCAGAAAGAGATGAATATTATAAAAAAATATGTTATTGATTTCACATTATGAAGACATGAATGTGTTTTTCACCTTGAGCTGCAATATAGGCTTGCTTCCTCGAAAAGCCCTGAAATATGAGGATCTTTGTAAACATTTCTATTCTCTTCATGACAACAGATGCATCAACAAAACAACGAGATTCCCTATCCTGGGAGATCCTAATTAGTTCTTCTGTAAGTCGACATAAAGCAGTAACCCTAACAGTGCATATATATACATGTACACATATATTCAGAACTGTAACAGCTTTACGTACAAAATGTATGTTTTTACACCGTGAGAAAGAATTACAGAGATCTAGTTTACATTAATGTAGCTGGCGTTGATGTAGTCGGAGAATGGATCCCCCGGAATCTTGTCCAGGACCACTCAGTTGTAGTCATCTGTAGTAGACAAGAAAGTGTTTTACTGAGACACCCCCTCTGTATTTGACTGAATATGTGAATGTGATACTTAAGGTTATATTAGGTCCCTGTCAGTGGTGCCAATACTCACACGGGTAATATTGTAGGAATCTGTTTTTGCCTGTGTTCCCTTCAAGCTGAGAGTCTTCATATGTGTGCGTGAATCCAGAGATCAGTTTCTACGTGTTGAAAATTACATACTATCAATACATACACAGATATGGAAATCCGTGATATAATAGCATCCCAAGATTAGCATACAAACGAATATAAGTAATTGAAAATGAGACGTAAGTTTGTTTACCCTGGTAGCTAATACGTGTAATATGGCAGCAAAATATAGTTTAGGAACCAAAACGATTCGACTCACAGACTGCCACTGGATGTTAGCGGTTACTGGCAAACAATGCATTAGATCTTAATATGAAACTACACAATGTGGTACTGTGTAATATTCCCCCAAAGAACCAGCTGCAATCATATTAGGATGAAACACCTGGTACTCTTTCTCAAATCCCTGTTTTGTTGCCTGCATGTCTCTGATCTTGTCCCCTAGCTTGTCCACCTCGACCTCCGTCATCATGGCTGGTCCAATGTTGTAGTATGTACCAGCTGTGTTCTTCCCAGATCCATCAGCATCACGCACCGCCTCCTCCTCATAGCCAGCATTCACGCTAGGTGCTGCTTCTGCAGAAACACATTACTTATAGAACTGAGCTCAATGAAAACAGCCGCTTGTCACTTGGTGCTTGTAAAACAGTTTCACACCAATATAATTTATATAAGACTGTGAGAAACCTCATTGGTATACATTCTCTCAAGAATAAAACCAGGATTCACTTCAGAATGATGTCATTTGATGACGTCTGTCTCTGGAAGATCTACAGCAGTGCAGCAGGATGCATAAAGCTCATGTTCACTATCTAAACGCTGAGGCCTAAATGTTGAATGCTGGTTGAATTATCGGTAGATCTAATTACCTTGCAGCTCTTGTTCTTGTGGTTCAAAGGCAGACACGTCCTCATACACAGAATTATCACTTCTCTTCTTGTTGGCATTTCTTTTCCTCCTTGAACAATGCGAGAAACGTTATTTATACAATGTTTCGTCAATGAGAACACGCCATTCTGATGAAAGTTGAATGTTTAATTTATGTATGTTGTTTAGCGTTAATGTTCGACTGAAATAGAAATTAAGAACACACAAATCGTTCTACCATTTGTCTATTTTAATATTGTAAAAGCACTTGCAGGCTAAATTGGGGCTGGCTAAAAAGGTCGATAATCGGAAATATCGTCAATAGGAAAAAAGTGCCATGAATAATATCGTACATAAACCTTTTTGATAAAATAAAGTTAATGCGCTGCTTCTAAAGTATGTTCAGGACACTGTTTTGTTGGTAACCCATGCATAAACATGTCACCGCTTATCAATGGTGTGGAATATATTCATTTCTTTCCTTTAGTTAAGGGTTATCGATCTCTTTGATATAACACACACACACACACATATACACACATATACACACACACACACATGCATGCACACACACACACACACACTAAGCTAAATGATTTGCGTTCATGGCAGTGGCTGTGTTCGACGGGATATTTTACACCACATCCTGCAATATTAGAGTAATGTCATTACTCTTTCATAGTCTGTTTGCTCAAATATCGTACCGGTGAATTCCTAATTACAAGAAGTTACAGGTTTAATTCGTCAAAAACATTCACATCTATATTATTTGTTTTCCCGTACCAACTCATGATGTAAATTTGACGCATTGATAAAAAGTAATAAAAAAGTTATTTAAAAAATTATAAGATTACTGTTGTTTAAACACATTTGGTTACACGGGACTCGGTACAATCACTGTAACAGCCGAACACGGTAGAACGTCTATAGTTTAAATGTCTCGTTTGTCTTCCAACATCATTTTTCACAATACCCCAGATCATATCGATGGGGTTCAACTCACAATGTGTATGCAACATCATGTCCATGTGTATGCCACAGTTTGCCCACTTTCTACACAGGTTTGGTTTTGTTTAGTTTGATGACGTCATGCAGTTCAGGCTTTGTTGCTTTTGTTGGAAAGGGAGCATTGTTCGTCTGCAGCCAAGTTATCATTTCTCATTTCCTTGGGCATCTGGTATCTAGATTATGCACACTGTGATAAGAGGTGTTGTCCACGAGGGACTTCTTTGACAGAGCAGGAAGCAGTTGTTTCTCTGTCCATTCCAAGAACACTCTGCCATTCATCTCTGTCTAGTAGTCCCTATTGTCCTAGGATTTTGAGACCAATTCGCATCCTGGCAGAAATCCTTCACTTTAATACCCAGCATGTAAAATGATTAGTTTCTCTCCTTTGCCAGGTGGGAGTTTGTGTGACGTCTTGGCGTCAGAGGCAACCCACTGACGTTGTGCCGTATGACAGGCATTCACCCAGGTCTCATCAAGGTCTCCTCTTCTTGATGGTACGACGGTAATTGTTCTTCAAAGAGACGACATCATTTCTTTCACACATGTCTTGTCTCTCCTGAGATCTTCTTTTATCATCCAAAACTGTGTTCCACAGGAGATATCGCTTGTGGGAGATCAGACATCTCCTAGGAGATATGGTTTTGACAATAGATTTTGTACACTGCCCTGACAATGCTATGACATCATGAACTTGATGACGTCACAATGCTATGACATCGCTGCACTGCACGAAAGGTGTCAAGGTTATATACTGAAATTGACTTTGAGACGACCCCGTTACTTGTCTTGTCAGCATCATCTCGCTTCTGTAAAATGTATGCCAGTTTTCTTTCAGTAATACAAAGAGCCTTGGCGGATCTCTTCCAATATTTACAAAGGGATAATATAGCCTCCCTCTTTCTCCTTCAGTCGTAAATATGAAATTGATAGACAAGCTTCTCCATGTCATCACTGAACTTCATACCATACCGTATTTAATTGCAAAATCGTATATTATATGTGTTGGATGTGGGAGACATGTAATATGTATTATGCATACATGGATTGCATTTAAATTGAAAGTTCCCATTTATCACATAAATTTATAAACTATCTAAAGATTGTTTTCACCAATAAATAATATCAATTCACAATATATTTGATATCTAACAATGGACTTTCCTTTTAAGATGTGTGCACTTGAGTGTCATTATATATGGTAAATCCCGTTCATGAATGATCACACTGACATGTATTTCACGTGCGAACATTCGGCTGTTACAGTGACTACAGACTCCCGTGTAACCAACTGTATTAAAACAACATTTGTTGATTTGTTAAACAACTTTTATAATTCTTTATATCAATGCGTCAAACTTAAATCATGAGTTGGTAAAGGAAAACAAATAAGAAAGATGAGAAGATTGTTGACGAATTTTGCTTGTAACTCCTTGTAATTATGAATTCATCCTTACAATTTGGGAGCAGATAGACTATAGTAATCCAGACGGTCAAGTTAACACGAGCATTGAGCTGGCAGTTGGCAGACGATGACACGGATCAAGCATGTCAGCGGTGAGTCAGACCTCGTGATTCCGTCGGTCGCGTCTTACGATTAAACATTGGTTGAGGAAGTCCAGCCTGTTGCGATGCTATAATTATTCTTGAAACATATAACAACTGAGAAAGTAGAAATAAACTTATTTTAAAAAAATGACTGGGATGAATGTTCATTATACCTGTAAAGGATAACTGCTAGAACAGTGACAACAACCACAGCTACAGCAACAACTCCACCAACCGCACCACCAACGACAGCACCTTTACCGGGCGATGGCGATGCAGACTGACTATTGGCTGAAAATATGAAAAAACAAAGCACACTCATGAGTCTGTAAATGAGTTGGGTGGAACACACTGTGTAGTTCTGATATTTTACAGTGAATCACCCTTATGTTGGAGAAACGCCCAGAGGGAAGAGAACAATTAATGTGACTTGGTTTCAGGTGAGCACTTGACAGCGATATATCCTGGTTTCATTTTGATCGAATACCGAACTGAATACTGTGCAAACTTCAAAGTTACTCAGGAAGGGTACATATAGAGCTATATTGATGGAAGACAGTTGCTATCATAACACCACGTAATCTAACCTTGTTGACAGGTGTCGTTGACCCAGCCTGGACTGCAGCCCTTGAGACAGGGTCCATTGGCATGGTGACATGGTTCATCGTCCACACAATGTCCACACGTGGAGGAACAGTTAACACCAAACGTCCGTGACTGACATTCTACAATCAATTGTTTAATATATTACCTTTAAACAAAGCGAGAAATTGATAACTAAATCCACTGCCTGCAGTACATTGTATATGTCATTTTTGATAACCATACCCAGCGGGCACACAACGTTGAATCAACGTTGAATCAACGTTGAATTTTGGTTGTTTGGTTGATCAACCTTTCATAAACGTTGATTCAACGTTTATCATGCGACCAAAGAAAGTTAGTCGAGATTCGTTTAGTTGTCAACGTTGTTTCAACGTAAGGAATCAACAAAATGTCAACTAATTGTTTCCTTGGCAAATTTGATACATAATTCATATTGGTAATACGTATCCAACTTAGCAACTATCATTTCGGAACATTATTTTCATAAAAGATCAAGATCGAGCTAGTGACAGATATAATCTTATATATTGTTTGATTGTGCATCGATCAATGGACGGAAATATAACGTAAATAGCAATTTAAGGTATAAAGTCATCAGTTATCCAAATTGCAGTACATTTGATATTTTCCAACAAAACTGTGAAAATTGTATAATTCCCGACAATTTGCTTTCAAACACATGCCAGATGTTGACCTTTCGATCGCCTCGTTTGGCCATATCCGGACATGCGCACAATTATCGCGCGCGCAAAGGCAGCTGATCGATGTCAGTTCACTTTGGCGAAGTTCAACGCAATATCGTTCTATTTTCGCCATCTTCACGGCATGCTGGTGTTTATTTGGTAAGTATGTCCTTCATGTATTCTGAAAACGTAGGAATCTAGCAGGTCAAAGTAGCAAGAAACTCCGAATTAGGGCTTATGTTTTATCTCACAAGGTTACCGGTATGTCACAGTACATGTTTCTCAAAATTTAGTGGAAGCCCGTGTTTTCCATGAACTTGTTTTGTTATTTTTCAATATATTTACATGCATATATTTGGCATTTTATTATATAATCGAATAAGATTTCCTTTCGTACCAATCACCTGATTTGAATTTTGCAAATATTCATTTTCAAATAATCAATGAAGTACATCAATATAAGGAACCGTTCATAATTAAATATATGGCTGCGGGTGGGCGTGATGATTGTAAGGGGTGGGGTGTCACCCATTTTTTCAGGGAGCTAAGGGGTCATCATTTTTGTACACACGCACTATGTTTAATATGATGCTTAGAAGTTATTGGAAGGGAGATGGCGTCATAGATAATGTACATGACATGCATGGTGGGAAGGGGGTAATTCACATCTCAACATCACCCCAAAGCCATACATTATGAACGGTCCCTAAGGGCAGCTATACAAAATCGGATAGGATTAATCAACATTTTATATTGCATCCCATTATTATGATAGAATTTGAATATGATGTTTTGTTATTGTCAAAGGGTAGGTTTTTCATTATTTGCAATATAATATGTGTGCAGTGAAACATGCTGAGATTTGGAAGAGTCCATTATTTATAGTACAGGTGTTGTTAGATATTTTATGTACATGTTCCCTTGTTAAGATCATCTATCGAGTATATTAGAGAGAAGGTGTATATTTGTAGTGTTTTAAATCAGAGTTATTTTCAGTGTATGACCTACATTTCAATATGTTTTGGCCACCTGTCAACCCTTTGGTCAAATAGAGTAGGATTTCCATTTCTTGGAATTGAGAGTCAGAGATGCACAGTTTCTAAGAATTTGCGTGTGCCAGCGATGTTTGTTTACGAGTACATTTAAGTCTTTTTGAGTGTAGATTGGAGTTGTAAGAGATGTTATTCAATGTCTTATTATTCAGGGTATGATATATTATTTATGGCAATGTAGAGTTTAATCTCATTATTTTATTCTTCATGATTTAGAGAAGCATTGTTATGACGTCGCAGATATAATTCATCATCTGAGAGATTTTCTAAGCGTTCCTATAAGAGATTAAGTGTAAACATTTATGAATTATAAAAAAGTTATTTATCTGAGTTTTATGAGTGTACAAATGACAAAGAGAGAGAGAGAGTAGATAGTAGAGAATATATTGTATACTTATGAGAGCTCATTATTGTTTTCAGAACTCCATGATCCATACTTCCTTGTGTTTGGGAACAAATGGTGTTGGGAGACCTCCCACAATAGACTTGTTCTTTGACCTGTGAACCACCACCCATTTTGTTTTCTTATCATGTAATGTAAAATGGCTTTTGTTACAATTTATGACTCCTGGTAGCAAAATTGCTACATCAGTTCAACTCCTATTAATTTGAAATTATCATTTCCGAGAATCTCTAAAGAAAACTAAATCTGACAGAATAACAACAATCTTCCATTGTTTTGCAGGACAATGTCAAACAATTTGATTTCAAGAATGAATGTTGATGGGCAAAACGGCAAGTTTTCTTTTAAGAATACAAGGTTGTATTCAATCATCCATGGTAAGTTAATTACCAAGTGCAGCATTTTCATCATGACCATAGCAAATAATATATGACAGTAAAGCATCGTCTAATTCATCCTACCGGTAATTCATAGTCTAATTGAATAATCAACTTGCAATTGAGGATTTTCTTTGAAAATGTTTAAGAAAACTTCCATTCCTTCGTTTGAAAACATAAATTGTTTACACTTTTCGTCATATTTTGTATTGATGCTGTTCATATGTTCACATGCCAAGTTACAGCAGTGAAATGAACCTTTCAAGTGATTGATTAAACAAATACTTGAATCATTTAAGACAATATATCTTCCATATAACTTATTCATGTATTTAAATATAAAATTTCAGAATGTGTCCTATCTCAAGGGAATGGGATGGGAATGCATCCGAAGCAAATTTCAAGAAAGAGCTAGGAACGTTTCTGAAGTATCCACCTGACCGCCAGGCAGGGAGTGGCAGAAAGAAGAGGAGCTAATAATTGTGTTTTTGGAGTTGTAATTGTGTTATAAGAACTGAACTGTGGTATTGACATTGGTGGCGTAAATGTCACTTTGATGCTATATGCAGATAATATTGTGTTATTAGCACAACAGAGATCAGCTACAGACTATGTCATGTGTGATGTTTTACATTATGCATTAAACCACGTTTTTCTGTGTGCGTGTGTGTTCATAAAGAATTCATGAAAATTGACTTGTTTTATGTGCTGTCTTCAGTAATAGTTCCTGGTCATCTTGGATCTCTTTCATGGTGAAAGTAATTGCATTGTGTTTATTCAGGGTCTGTCTAAGAGCTGAAATTCAGACAAAATGTCTTCTCGGGACAATTTTCACCTTTTCAAGGTAACAATACAACAGTAAATAGTCTTTCTTAATTTGGAATACTCTTTTCTTCTTACTGGAATTATACGTCCAACTGACATAAAAATTAAATGAACATTATGTTGAAAGGGGAATTTTCACCAAGTATTTTATCAGGTAAATATTTTTACTGCAATTTTCTGTTTGAACACTGTTCATTGCAGGTAGCTTTTTGGGTATTTTAGCTGGATGCAGTAGTTTTGTGCTACTTTATTGTAGTTTAAAGATGAAGTGCGAGTCTATTTACAGGAAAGCGTAATATCTCCCAGACACAACCACGGAACAACCCATTTTCAACGTTACTAATATGTCACACTTCAACGTTGATTCCACGTCAGATATCTACGTCTAAAAAACTTTCATATACAACCTTTTTTCAACGTTGATAATCGGTCAAACTTCAACGTTGATTCCACGTCGGATATCTACGTCAAAAAAACTTTCATATACAACCTATTTTCAATCTATTTTCAACGTTGAGGATCAACCTATTCTCAACGTTGAAACAACGTTGATGTGCCTGCTGGGTATGCTCTCAGTATCGTATCCTATGCACTGTTAATGTCCATGGAATTTGATGTTTCTCTCTTGGAATCTTCACTCAAACCTTTCTGTGTGTTTATCTCTTGTTATTACTCACCCGGTGAAGATATCACTGTTTAATAATCTACAATGTTATTGCACATTTATTGTTTACACTTATGACGTCACAATGCTAATACATCTGTCACTTTGGTATTAGACCTTGCTTGACTCGCAGAAAGCTTAGAGTCATAAACCTGTAGGCAGTTTCTTTCAGTTAAGGCTGGAGAGTAATAAACAGAATATTAAACTCACTTCAGCGGAATACCATTTATATATTTCGTTCGTTTGATACCAAATCATTAACTCGTTTTATAAACATAGTATTACACGGAAGGTCGTTTAGTATCCAGTATTTATTCAACACCACGTAATCTAACCTTGTTGACAGGTGTCGCTGACCCAGCCTGGACTGCAGCCCTTGAGACAGGTTCCAGTGACATGGTGACAAGGTTCATCGTCCGCACAATGTCCACACGTGGAGGAACAGTTAACACCAAACGTCCGTGACGGACATTCTACAAGCAAATGGTACCATGTAGTTACGACATGCTTCAGAATGGTTTATTGGGTGAAGTCAAATCAGACAACAGTAAACTATACGCATGTTTCTGTATACTGAAACAGTCTTAGCCTATAGTACGAGAACGTCACATCCCCAACATACAGTCCACTCCCTCCCATCCTGGCTCACATCCTCCATCACACCGCCCTGCTGTACCCGACACCTCCTTACACTTCCGGGCACTGCAGTTACCATGACAACCGGGGCCATAATTCACGTTTAGTGTACACTCTGAAAGATAATCATCAGGACAAACACTGTAATTGCTGTCAGTGCTCACAGCAAGGAAACAACAGACCGGCAACACACCAGAGAGAACTGTTAGTTGTCTTGGCTCCTTGTTCTTGACTTCTAGTTCTTTATATATGTCTGTTGTTTGTTTGCTAGCATATTTGACGCCGTGCACTGTGATATTCCCGCTATAGATCTGTGTCCGATAATACTCGAGTCTGAGCCAGACAATCAGCTGATTGATATTACATGCAAAGGTAGGTACGATGACACCCAGTCCACCCGTCGCGGAATCTGACCACTAGGTCACTATCCCTTACCACGAGTAATGGTTGTTGGGGATGAAGTCTAACACTATCAGCTAGAACGTGTCTGTTGCACGTCCATGGCGTATGATGACGAGAACGATAAAATTGACTCAGTTACAGATAACTGAAATGTCCCCTGTCTCCGTGACGGAACCTCATGCCAATTTGAACTGCCTTGGGAAACTGAGTTTGTGTCATATAAGTTGCCTAAAAAAGGAATAACAACTTTGTGTGGCATTTTAGAAGCTGGAAATACAAAATGATATCATTTTATAGCAACTTATAAATGCTGTTACTCATAAAATCTGTCATATTGCAAATACGGAATGACCTGATATATTATCCCTTGACAGAATTATTTTGCAGTTGTAGACACCTTTTCTTGGTCTCAACACCGGCGACTTTGATCACTGAACGCCTGGAAGCTAAAATGTCGGACGACTACAATGGGCACCGCTTCTTTCTTATACGAAAATCGCACGTTACAGCAAATACGCGTATTGCATTGTCATTATCGTAATTTACAATTCCATAAATCATTTACACATAGGATCTTCAGATATGTTTATGAAGGCACTACACTTACATATACGTGACATTGTGCCATACCTGATGTACAGTCCTCTCCCTCCCACCCTGGCTGACATCCTCCATCACATCGGCCTGTATCCCGGGGACAGGTGCTAGTATCTCCCTGGCACATCCGGGAACTGCAGTTTTTAACACACCCAACTCCATATTCCACACCATCGACACATTCTGTAGGAATATTCAGACAGAAAACAATTACATAAGATGTGTTGCATCATTCTGTATTAGCCAATTGTATGTGTCATTAGTTCAAGTTTAGCTATTCAATGTAGCAAGGACTGAACCCACTATCCCTGGAACCTACCAAGTATATGATTGTCACATCACGAGGCACACACATACGTGTATCTTAGGTCTGTTGGGATGTGTCGGGGATATATCACACTAAGATGCAGTAAACAACACAGTTATCATCACGTCATCGTGCCTGCAGATCTCCCCTCTCCACCCTGCCTGACATCCAGCTGTACGCCGTCCTGTATCCCGGGGACAGGTGCTAGTATCTCCCTGGCACATCCGGGTACTGCAGGTTTTAACACACCCTACTCGATATTTCACACCAAACCATTGCATAAAAGGTGCGGCAATAGTTTGTGTATATACAACTGATGTTAGCCGTTTTGTTAACTGCAGGTTTTGTTACACCCAGTCCGTATTCCACACCATGGACACATCCTGTAAAATATGGTTGTCAAGTATGTGTTGTGTCTAATCAAAATGGTACCTACAGTAAGACATACATTAAGTGAAGTATGACACTTTCCGATGCCTGTTACCTGTAGTGCAGTCTTCCCCTTTCCATCCTGCCTGACATCCATCTGTACACTGTCCTGTATCCCGGGGACAGGTGCTTCCATCTCCCTGGCACATCCGGGTAGAACACGCCCCTCTACAGTCAGGACCGTACTGGACATTGTCGTCACATTCTGTCAAGAATCATTAAACAGTTTGTTATCATTATTTCTTACACACCCGTGGGTGAGAAACCCGTGTGAGAAAACTGGTATCACACATATGTGTGAGATCGATTTCTAAGCCCGTGATTGGCTACTCCATGGTGATGACCTAGGGTCAGGGTATGACGGACTACTTTCCTGATTAAAATTCATTGATAAGTTACTCGTGCTTCAATCGAACAGAAACCTGTTAGTGTTACTCGTGCCAAAAATACCCCTTTACACCTACCTGTTATTTTCGCGAATGCAACATAAACAAGTATTTATAAAATGAGTCACAAGTACAATAAATATAACACAAATCTATTTATTTTCTAATTCCTTTTATTCAAACTTTTGATTTCTAGTCATGAATTCAAAATGGCTCCAACCATTAGTGATACCCGTGTAAACAATTATGTGAAAATCACCGTTAGAGATAAAACCCTTGATTCCCTTCGAATATTCAAAATGTACAACACTGGTACTTTACTGGAGAGATCCGACAAGTGTCATGTGTCGTCTTGCAAAAGTACCTGACACGATAACGTCAGTGCCTGTCCATTGTGAGATCGATTTGCCTCGTTGTTTCTTTGATGCATTGGTAAAGATGACATTTTTCACTGAAATACATGATGAAGACCCACTTCCAGCTCCGAGATACTATTGTGATTCCAATGTTATCAAATTCACTCATGAGAATCTGAACCAAAACACACTCGTTGAAACAATGTACAACATGGTACGTTTTGCAAGGCTTCATGTTTGCAAATGGCGGCACACGTCCTTTCTATTCAATCGAACATGTACAGGAACGGTTGATCTACACATAAGTCATTGCTCAAGATATTCCTCCGACGCATGATAATGAAAAGTTTATGTCTTGTTAACTTACAGGATGTAATCAACTCACATTTCATACTGACAACTCCGTAAATTCCATTACATTCCAAGTGGCAGTTTCTGGCTCGGGAAAACGAGAAGGATGTGGCGAAGAAGAGTAGTCCCCCATTGACAGTGAACATAACCTCAGCAATGTCACATTCGAGCACACTAGGTGCACCTAATTACACACACTCAAAAGTTTTGGCTCCGGTCGATGGGAGAGCATTGAACGTAAACTGGTACACAAGTACAGATCCCCAATGTGCAGAGATATCCGAAACAGTCTTCCGATGACCACCAAGCGATAACTATTACGTCACTCGCTCAAATATTTTACGCTTGCAAGAATTAAAATCATCCACATTTGCATGGTAACATCATCGTTTTAGAGGGTTGAATTAATTTTCTGTGATCTTATGTACTTATCATTATCACTATTGCCTTGATGAGGCGAAGAGGTGGCAGAAACCTTTTTGTGGAGGGTCACCATGGGGATGAGTAGTGATGCTCACATTCCCCACTTCCCACTGTGGGACATGGGACTGATGTTGATATATATAATGTGACAAGGATCAGCAGCTCACATTCCCCACTTCCCACTGTGGGACATGGGACTGATGTTGATATATATAATGTGACAAGGATCAGCAGCTCCACATTCCCCGCTTCCCACTGTGGGACTTCCACACTGTGGGACATGGGACTGATGTTGATATATATATATATGTGACAAGGATCAGCAGCCCACATTGCCCCGCTTCCCACTGTGGGACATGGGACTGATGTTGATATATATAATGTGACAAGGATCAGCAGCTCACATTGCCCCGCTTCCCACTGTGGGACATGGGACTGATGTTGATATATATAATGTGACAAGGATCAGCAGCTCACATTCCCCCGCTTCCCACTGTGGGACATGGGACTGATGTTGATATATATAATGTGACAAGGATCAGCAGCCCACAAGACTTTCTCCTTGACACCATCAAACTTTATATAATAGTTTTGCCATTTAGTGATTAAAATAATAACCTGTGTTTTCCGTGGGAACCTGACATACACCATTGGACTTGACTGTCTCATGTTGCACACAATGAAGTGGACGTTGGTGAAGAATGTCATGATTAACTTGTGCATTTAGTTTGGTGAACCTAGTATGTATAGTTTTGGTGATATGCTCTGGACGAGGTAACCCTTAAACACATTTTGCACTAAGTAGTATTTCCATTGAAGCAGCAAAAATACAATTCTGATAAGCTTTAGAATAGCAAAAGACACATCTACGGGAAATGACTAACATGTGTGTGAAGTTTGGAGAACTTAGCATATATAGTTTCGGTGATATGCTCTGGACAAGATAAGTTTGGTGAGCTAGCATGTATAGTTTCGGTGGCATCCTCTGGACAAAGATAAGTTTGGTGACCCAGCATGTACAACTTTAAGAGATATGTTCTGGACAAAGTTGCCGGACAGAAACACGGAATGAACACTATATACACCCGTTACTTCAAAGCGGGGGTATGCTAATTTAACATATTCAATATTTACTACAATCTTCTTTTAAACGAACACTAAATTATTAAAATAAAACAGGCCGTGTTATTTGTGTTGTGTTGGTCCTTATATTATCTTATTAACTGAATACACAATTGTATTAGTAAACATGTACACATGTCATTTCTGGCCACTGTGGCAATGCTACAGAGCTACTAACTTCTACTTATTTTTTGCTTTCCATGTTAAAGTCATCAGTAAACACAAAACAAAATGTCGAAATTGTTCTTGATCAGTTTGATTTGGATTATATAACTTCTGCAAAGTAACATTCTCGATAAAGTGAGACATACGTACGTGAACATACACACACACGCACACACCCACCAAACCTAGCGCCTAGTACAACTGGTCATAAAATCTTGTCCGAGAAGGACATCACGTTTGTTGCTTGGTTAGTTACCTTTGTGCCCAACCATTACCACACGACATGTCAACACCTTCATCCCCATCCTTTGTTCCATGACATGTCAACACATTCATCCCCATCCTTTGTTCCATGACATTCTTTAGTCTACATGTGTTCCTCTGTTGTTCATTATTCACTCACCGACATCGCAGTTGGTTCCCTTCCAGCCTGCCAGACATCCACCTGGAGGACAAACCCCCGTGATGTCGTTACAGACGCCGTCTTTACAGTGGCAGTAGTTCTCACAGTCATCACCAAAGGTACCCGGATCACAAGCTGACAAAGAAGATTGCAGGAAATATCGAACAAACTGGGTCACAATTGTTGAGCACCTCAAGATACTATTTACATTTGTTGTGGCCAAAATCAACTAATTACTTAAAGAGAGAATCATTTTTCGTTTCCTTTAAGTTCCAAATTTGTATCATTCCCATTTCGCTTAAGTTCCAAATTTATATTCATATTTTATTTAACATTTCTAAGTTTATCTGAATAACTAGTCTAAACTTATCCTTCCATATCTGTCAAGGGGAAGTAAATGCCTTGGGGCATGCATATCATGTTATGTGCTCTCAGTCACCGAGTCCACAAGCTATAGAGGTCTAAAACAATGGTAAGCCACTGACACTTTTACCTCAGACATAAAGTGGTTACCTTAAATGCAATATTATATATATATATATATATATATATATATATATATATATGTGTATATATATATGTATGTGTGTGTGTGTGTGTGTGTGTGTGTGTTTAGTATGTTAAAGTAAGTAGTAGTTCTGTGATATCTATTCTCAACAGACACTTGTTGTTGTTATTGGTCGTGTTGCAGCGCCGGCTGTGGCTGTAGAGTCCGATGCGGCATCGGCAGCTCCGCTGACACTTCCAGCAGGTATAGTCTGTGGTGGGATCGGCGGGGGAGGACTGGAGCCTCTGTCGCCTGCGGGTCCTTTTCTCCTCCCACTGGGTCTCCCTCCTGTCCTCAGCTAGCTGGATGCCAGCCTTGACGGTGGATCGCCAGCTTGTGCGGTCGGACGCTGCTTCCAGGTCTGCTGGGCTGATGCTGCAAGCCTTCAAGTCACGCTTGCAGGCGTCCTTGTAGCGCAGTGAGGGGCGTCCACACTGGCGGGTTCCAGTGGCCAGCTCGCCGTAAAGAATGTCCTTTGGAATGCGACCGTCGTCCATCCTGCACACGTGGCCGAGCCAGCGCAGGCGTCTCTGTGTGAGAATGGCGAACATGTTTGGTACGCCTGCCTGGGACAAGACGCTTGCGTTTGTGGCACGATCCTGCCAGCTGATGCCAAGGAGTCGTCTTAGGCAGCGCATGTGGAAGACGTTCAGCCTTTGCTCTTGGCGAGAGTAAAGAGTCCAGGCTTCGCTGCCGTAGAGAAGGGTACTCAACACACAAGCCTGGTATACTTTCATCTTTGTGTTGAGCGTCAGCATGGTGTTGTCCCACACCCTTTTCGCTAGGCGGGCCATGGCAGTGGCTGCTTTGCCTATCCTCACATTGAGCTCAGCATCTAGGGATAGGTTGTTGGAGATTGTGGAGCTGAGGTAGGTGAAATTATCCACCACCTCTAGGGTGTGGTGGCCGATGGTGATTGCAGGGGTGGTGCTGACATCTTGGCCCATGATGTTGGTCTTCTTGAGGCTGATGGTGAGGCCGAACTTTGTGCATGCCTCTGCGAAGCAGGTGATGAGTCGCTGGAGGGCCTCCTGGGAGTGTGCACTGAGGGCGGCGTCATCTGCAAAGAGCATCTCTCGTATGAGGACCCTGCAAACCTTTGTCTTTGCTCTGAGGCGGGAGAGGTTGAAGAGGTTTACGTCACACCTCGTGTGGAGGAAGATGCCGTCTTCGGACTCACGGAAGGCGTAACGCAAGAGTAGGGAGAAGAACACACCAAAGAGTGTCGGGGCCAGGACACACCCTTGTTTCACACCACTCTTGATTGGGAAGGGGTCCGAGAATGATCCGTCATACTGGACTGTGCCTGCCATGTCGTCGTGGAATGATGTGATCATCTTCAGGAGCTTGGGGGACATTCAATCCTGTGTAGGAGGGTGAAGAGGCCCTTTCGACTGACCAGGTCGAACGCCTTGGTCAGATCGATGAAGGCGAGGAACAAGGGCGTCTCTGTCTCTGTTCACGGCATTTCTCCTGTAGCTGCCTGAGGGAGAACACCATGTCGATCGTCGACCGTTTCGGTCGAACCCTACATTGTGACTCAGGGTACACTCGGTCGGCGAGCAGCTGGAGGCGGTTGAGGACGACTTGGGCGAAAGCTTTCCCCACGATGCTGAGGAGGGAGATCCCGCGATAGTTGTTACAATCGCTGCGGTCGCCCGTGTTCCTGTAGAGTGTGACGATCTTCGCGTCCCGCATATCCTGGGGTATTGTGCCCTCTTCCCAGCATTGGAGCAGGAGGTCGTGGAGGTGGCTGAGGAGGGAACTCTCTTTTCCTACCTTATCAATCTCTGGTGGAATCCCATCGCTGCCTGGTGCTTTTCCGCAGGAGAGAGAGTCGATGGCCTTCTTGAGCAGACACTTGTATTTCCCATATATATAACAGACACTTGTATTCCCCATGTGTTGAGTATGTCACCTGTTAGCTCACCTTACCATATTTAACCTTTATGTTCATATGCTGTGGAGTTCCATTTAAGTGAAACTAGTTGACATTGAATTTTCCTATGGTTAAATAGTAAGATAGATTTTCATCTCTTTCAGTCAATCTGCATTTAACTTGTAAAGAAATATATCAAGAAATAAGAAAACAAGAATAAAGTATTAAGAAACAAGCAACTTGGTTATTACAACATTGTTTTAATCACTGACAAAAACAAAGATGTTTTTCAGACATTAATATTCCTCTTTTCCTTCTTCCGGTGACATGTGCATGGCCTGTTCGCATAAATATCGTATACATGTATTATATTATACCCAATAAGTGACTTGATGGCTACTTCTCCGTTAAATTTGCATTTTAAGACTGGTGACAACATTGAATAAATATCCCTCAAGACCCCTCATTACATCCCCATAAATGGGAGTCCGACAGTTCACCGTTGGCTTCAAATCAGTAACTGGTCATCAAAAACTCTATTCTCAATCTATACTTGATAACTAGAAACATCACATTAACAATAAAAGTTTATATATTTTTTACGTAATTAGAGTTTCTTACCATTCACCTCCACCTCACAAAAGTCCATTTTAGGTTGTGTATCCCCATCATTAGCTGTAGTTGTGTACAGGAGAACGTAGCGCCCTCTGCCGTGACAGGGGACAGATATGGTGTCGTTGATGTCAGTGCCATATATGTTTCCTGTCACACTGTAGCAGAGGAGACCGCTGGGTGGGGCGGTGTTAGTGGTGTTGGTGAGGTACACCTGGATGCCGTTTCTTCTGGGTGTATCTGTAAATAACGAAGATGAAGTAGATGTTTAATATGTTTGTTTATTCTCAATAAAAACACAATTCAAAACATTTCCATGTTCATGACACCATTTCCGTTTTGAGAGAAACATATGCCAAGTGCAGGATAACTGTATTAACACTTCTGGTTTAACGATATGACTCCTAGGGCTGGTAAATTCATATATGCTGCTATTTTAATAACACACTTCAAGTTGATCAAATCTTTCTGGTTTGTTCATGCGTTATGCTAAAACGAAAATTACATGTTTAAGTTGATAAAAATAAGATTAATTACTTCAAAACATTATATATCTTGCTTCAGCAACGGCAACGTTGCATACTTCGGGTCTAATTATTTCCCTCACGAGTTTGGGATAATGTACGTGTTGCAGAATACATCTTAAAACAGAAAACAATATGTCATGAGAGACCTTAAGAATAGTATCGTAGGCCGTGCTATAAGGTTCATTACAAGCAGCTGATCTGGACATGGCGGCTGTGCTGATAGCCATGATAATAACAGTCAAACTTCTATTAATTCATGTTTTGATAGCACTGTGAAGATTTATACATAGATATACCACTTTATCTTAACTCGTGGAATATATAAACATATATACACTCCCAGTTAAAACCCATATTCCGTCAAATTGCTTGAATATCCAGCTGAAAATATACTGAGAGAAACAAATAAAGGATCACAGGAAAATGCAAGCGTTCCTTTAATATTTTCAAGTGTTCAACACCATCTTTGAATAGCGCTGTGGTGATGAAAACTGGAAAATTGGAATGCTTGAAGTTTCATGCGATAACTCTTTCAATGAAGTGTTGTTCAATGAAGGTTGTTCAGCTAACGAAATAAATGCCCCACTCTATAGCTTGAGACATTGAGTGGATTTGACCTTCAGTATCTGTGATAAACAAGAACTTGCGCAGAAAACAAATATATACTTTGTGGAATTCGATGCCATTCATTCCACCTCAGACTAGATTCGACTGTTAAGAGATGACTCAAACAATCGACTTTTTAGCAGAGATTTCCTATGGATGTGGAAAGGGTTTTGCCGGTTCTATCTACTGTTATACCTACGTCAGTTAATACCCTTTCCGGTTTTGACCTCAGGAAGAGGTGCACCAAGTTTCAATGACCTTCAGTCAATCTGTCTGATGATGACATTGTTTAAAAAAATCTTCACAGTGTCATCAAATGTTGTTTTCCGTATTTCCTTGTTGGTGAAAGTAATTATACATATAGATGCATAGTATGGATTAATAGGTCTCCAGAAAATGATTAGAGAAAATGTCAAACATACTTCCATAACATGTTGGAACATCCATTAAACTTTTCTTGACGTCATGTAATCGTTTTTCTTGATCTTTTCTTCAAGCTATTACTTTGATCAATTTGGAAAAAAATTTATCATATGGTTTCCCTAGATTGTCCAAGGCTTTTCAAAAGTGCTGCTGCTGCTGCTGAAATTGTCAAATGTGTTAATCCTACGCAGTACTGCAGGCTGGTGCACATGTTAGTAAACCACAGGGTGTGGGGATCAAGACTTGTATGAAGTTCTACGTGTATGTTTTCAATGGATGCATGACAGACCTGCATCCATAGTTATATTTTACGCTTCCACGTTCTGCTACCTGGTTAGTCATTGTTTCAAGTTGATAGCTGAAATATGTATTTATTGTCTGAAGTGGATTAGTCTATACATTTGAGTATTGTTATGACATTGTTCAACTGCGGGTTTGTTTCAGATTCAGTAGAAGTTCAGAACATTGAGTTTAGCACTAACTAGTTGTCACGAATGTATTACTATCTAATATCAGTAGTGGTTTTAAAGTTATTTCATTTGGATGAGTCTGGAGTCAAGTGTGACCTGGGTGGTTCTTGAACAGCTTTAAAACTAATCCATTGAACTTTCTGGAGATGTTTACACTAAACTATTAAACAAAGAAGGGGATATTCAATGAAAGTTATGGATATTTTCTATATTTAAGGTGATACATACTTTAACAGAGTAACAGGGACACCTTACTGAGATTTGCATTAGTCGGGCAGCATTAGTCGGGTAGCATTAGTCGGGTAGCATTAGTCGGGTAGCATTAGTGGGAAGGGTAGATGATTGGCCAAACTACGTCTAGCAGTAATGTGAGTCCGTCAGTCGTGTCTGATTACAAATCGTTTGTCCACTCTCCCCACCTACCACCTGTAGCTCTGCTCGTGCCACAATGCTCTGTCTTCTAACTCCTAACATTTCCAATTTCTGAAATGACAATTCCATTTAGCAGCCCCTGACATGACATTTGCCGCACGCTAACATCATCGTTTAATTGAGTTTAAAACAATATCAGAACATTATTCACCAACACAATGACACGCATGACTGAACATTTCGAATGTTACTCGGCCTTGTTCACATACACATCATGAATAAGGTTTACGCGAAATTGGCGTATACACTAAATTCCTGACACGTTGTGAATGGAATAATCATTTTGTAAATCCTCATACAAGCATACAACTTTGATCCTAAATATTATCACCTCAAATTGTACTGTTCCCTATTGTTATAGCAGGTATAAGTGGACAAGCGGATGCCTTTCAAATTTGGCGAAGACCACCAGCTGTGTGAAGATCGAATACACATTCTGGACATCAAAGCTGTTTGGGAAATGTTGCTGCTTTCTGCATATTATCATTTCTGATGTCATTGCTATTACCAGATTTGATGATATCATTATGCGACGATGTCGCATTGGCCATACTAGATATACACACGAATTCTATTAGAAGGTGAGGATCCTCCTGTTTGCATCCCTTGTGATGAGAGGATCACGGTCAAACATGTCATGCTTGACTGCATTGATTTTTTTTCCATCACGATGTATAAATATTTCAATGTCAAATCTGTGAAGGATCCTTTTAATGTTAATTATCAATTAATTATTGAATTTTCAAAAGTACAAATTGATACATTTTGATTAATATGTTTTATATATAGATATATATTTTATTATTGGTAGTTTAAATCAGCAACTTAGATTGTTAGTGGCTGTATCCTCACAGGCGGACGAAGGAGCGTAACATTTTTGTCCACCTGTGACTGTATGTAAGTCACCAAACTTTCCAAGTAACTTTACACTTATCAGACTTATTAACGTAGAATTTGTTATTTTAAATTATGGTTGAAAGTTCCTACAAGCGCCAGCAGCTGAAGGGATGATGTAAATCCAACTAGGGTCAATGCAGGTAGCAACGTTACAGTAATTCCCCATGGTCACTAGTATGGTGATCTACCTTCAGTTGTTGATGTGTTTATATTGTATTGTCTTCTATGGTTACACTGTTTTAGAATTAATTACTAGTTTTATATCTATATTTGTGATAATCTAGTTGTTTTACTGTCCTTCGTTGACAGATGTTTCTGAGTTACTTTTAATCATTATAAATCTACACCTTGATTAAGTCAAGATGTGGCTGAAGAAGTGACATGAAGTTTTAACTCACTCACTCATTGCTATTACCGCTGTTTTTGTAGTCTGTACAACGCCGTTGTAACAACGCTACCAGTGAATGTTGTGCTGTGAGCCTATAGTGTACTGCCAGTGTAATAACGCTACCACTGAATGTTGTGCTGTCAGTCTATAGTGTACTGCCATTGTAATAACTTTGTAGTTATTGAACTGAAAACCTACTTAGTTTCTGTTATTGAACTGAAAACCTAGTTAGTTTCTGTTAACTGTGTATCATTTCTACGTTATTCGTGTGTAGATTTCTGGGTCACGTGATAGTTTCCATTTGCATGACGACATGAAAAGTAAAAATGAAATTAGAAAGGGCAACCCGTTGCAATCATTACCATTTCAAATAACTTCACATCGTAAGAATGCTATCGATAATCACATTACTGCCGATCTTTTCATCGATTCCAAACACTATTCATGACTATACTGATGCCTAGATGCGACTCGAGTTTGAGGCATAGCATCCAAAGTATATTTCACATCAATCATGCCCAATGAAAACTATGTTTCATAATGAGAAATGGTCTGATCTGTGTATATCTGCATGTTATTACTGATTCTATCATGACTCGAGTAAACACTTAACTGTGATTGGTTACTTATAGTCCATCAGTGCTAATTAATCACGTTATTAAAGTTTCTAATCATACATGTTTTAAGGCAATGCGTTATTTTAGGTGATTGCCCACATGGCATTACTTTGCGATCTTTTCATCGATTCCAAACACCACGATGCCTTATACGGATGCCTTGACCCGAGTTTGAGGCATGGTATCACAACATGACGTAGATCTAAACAATAGTTTACACTGAATGTGCTAAACAATTTACTAACTGGAAAACGTTTCCCATTAAATGAAATTAGTGAGTGATTCTTCACCGGGAGTGAGTGAGTGAGTTAATATTTAACGTCACATCGGCAATATTTCAGCCATATCGTTACGAAAACAATTTATATAATACAAGAATGATAACATTATGGAGAGTTAAACCTGTCGACGATGGACAGTACAAATACCAGAGTATCACAGATATGAACATAAAATTAGCATGTAAAACTCAAACAGTGTAATTAAAGAAGTACGGGCTATAGATCGCCAGCATCTGAAGGTAGATCACCATACTAGGATCCATGGGGATCTTCACCGGGATAGGAAACAATAGGATCCCGGTAAGTCCAACTACGTTCCAAAACCTGTGGCTCGTATAAGTCAGAGTCTCAAAATCAGTAGCTGGCGAGAATGGGTCATACCCTAGCTACTATCTTACTAGCTACTTAATGTGTCGGCCGCCATATTACCAAAAACGTAATACTTACAGTCAGTTCTGAAGTAGATGGTGACGTCACGTATCAACACTGTGTCATTGAGATCCACTGGCCACCAGTTGGGATTGCTGCCCTTTGTCTCTATACAGACAGTGTAACTAATGACAATCAGTCATGATACTATACTTACAGTCAGTTCTGAAGTAGATGGTGACGTCACGTATCAACATTGTGTCATTGAGATCCACTCGCCACCAGTTGGGATTGCTGGCCTCGGTATCAATACAGACAGTGTAACTAATGACAATCAGACATAATACTATACTTACAGTCAGTTCTGAAGTAGATGGTGACGTCACGTATCAACACTGTGTCATTGAGATCCACTCGCCACCAGTTCGGATTGCTGGCATCTGTCTCTATACAGACAGTGTAACTAATGACAATCAGTATTGATACTACACTTAGAGTCAGTTCTGAAGTATATGATGACGTCACGTATCAACACTGTGTTGTTGAGATCCACTCGCCACCAGTTGGGATTGCTGCCCTTTGTCTCTATACAGACAGTGTAACTAATGACAATCAGTCATGATACTATACTTACAGTCAGTTCTGAAGTAGATGGTGACGTCACGTATCAACACTGTGTCATTGAGATCCACTGGCCACCAGTTGGGATTGCTGCCCTTTGTCTCTATATAGACAGTGTAACTAATGACAATCAGTCATGATACTATACTTACAGTCAGTTCTGAAGTAGATGGTGACTTCACGTATCAACACTGTGTCATTGAGATCTACTCGCCACCAGTTGGGTTTGCTGACCTTGGTATCAATACAGACATCGTACTTGTGTGCAGCAGTGTTTCCGTCTGTAGCTTGGGATGATGGGAAATTGAGATCTCCACTGGATGATGTAGGTTTTCCCCTTGCAACGTTATCTGTATCAGCGACATACGTCTTCCAACGTAATTTACCGTAACATATCTTACATTTGGGATTACACTTTCTTAGTAAAGTACAAATTCTAGTCCTTTTTGGGGTTGAGTCCCTCCTGGGATTCGAACCCACACCCTCTGAGTCAGGCACCTAATCGCCAGCACACAGCCGCCTAACCCGCTCAGCCACCGCAACTTCCACCGCGGTTAGGCGTCTGACTTTGTGTGCTGGCGATTAGGTGCCTGACTTTGACCACTTTCTAAAATGGCATCGTGTAATAATAAAAATATATATCCACTATCCTCAGCTCAACATTTAGACATCTGCTGAATAACATTATTAGTCTTTCCACTCAGCTCCAAGCTGGGTATACCTGTTAGGAGTTTAATACGGAAGGTACACTTGCTGAGATTGGAGGACTGTTTTACAGAACAAGCAAGTGTTTGTACTTGCATTCTGTTACATGCCACACTGACCGTTTTATATCCGGGTTTGGGATTTTTTGTTAGAAAACGGCTATTGATTTTCTGAAACAAAGCTAATTTTGCATCCATCATGTTCAACGAATAATGTGAACACATTATGAGACAAACTATATATCGCCTGCTTTATCTGGAACAGATGACTTTTTCCACAAATCTTCAACTTAAGCGAAGCTAAGCTGAGATGAAGGGAAATATTGTTTCATAATTGATACTGATTTCTTTCGTAATGAGAAATGTCTGATCTCTGGACATTTGTTCATATTTCTAATTCTACATGACCTGAGTAAAACACATTGGGATTGGTTACTTATTGTCAGCCAGACATGTATAGTCACGCACGCTAAACAAGTGTCTAATTTTCCGCTGCGCAATTATACATATTTTCCGGGTGTAGGCCACCATCCTTAGACCAACCTACGTCAATAATAAACCACCAATCAATGAACTATGGGGACATTGTGTCCTACTCATACCTCATAAGTCAACAACATTCAATGATTAATGTATGTAGTTCAACTACACTTATTTGTACAATTAACGGTCAGTCCCAATTGTTGTAACAACTCCAACCTCGTATGTATTAACTCCTTCTGATACAGATGGCCACCAGTTTTCTTTGGGATATTTCCAAAATCAGGGAACTTCAGTCTGTAGGCTGCCAATAAATCTTCAGAATAAAGTTTGGTTTGACATCACGTCGTTACATTTTGGTTGCGGACGTTGCGAATTTTCTCATAATTTGTTTACAGTCGCAGACTATGTGAATTCAATTTGCAATCCGATTTACTGAGGTCATATAGGTCTTTGAATTGTTTCTTGTAAATAAAGACATTCCACAACCATAGTGGTACGTCTATTCTAACAGAAAATAACGTCCAACCACAAGGTTCCAAGAGCTCAGAAGACACGGAACGTAACAGTGACGAAACAAGTAGTGTTTTCTTTAATCAGCGAGATTCTTAATGGATGTGACATAACAGAGTATGTAAGCTTTATCAGTAGTCAAAGGAAGAACTGTGTCACTCCAAAGTAAACATACATTCAGCTTTGATTAAGTAACCGTGTCAGGAGTTGTGAATGCTGATGTAGTTACATACGTTTCTGACATGTCGATCCAGACCACCCTGGGAAACAGACTGGCGGACTGCAACCGGAAGTAGGGTTACACTTGTCCTGGTCACAGTTACACGTGTAACCACAGTTGTAGCCGTATGTACCATCAGGACAGCTGCCTGTAACAGAAATATTACATCAGAGATAGACAGTGACACTGGTAGCCGTATGTACCATCAGGACAGCTGTCTGTAACAGAAGTATTACATCAGAAATGTGTTACAGAAAAGCGTTACATTAGAGATAGACAGTGACACTGGTAGCCGTATGTACCATCAAGACAGCTGCCTGTAACAGAAGTATTACATCAGAGATAGACAGTGACACTGGTAGCGGCATGTACCATCAAGACAGCTGTCTGTAACAGAAGTATTACATCAGAGATAGACAGTGACACTGGTAGCCGTATGTACCATCAGGACAGCTGTCTGTAACAGAAGCATTACATCAGAAATGTGTTACAGAAAAGTGTTACATTAGAGATAGACAGTGACACTGGTAGCCGTATGTACCATCAAGACAGCTGTCGGTAACAGAAGTATTACATCAGAGATAGACAGTGACACTGGCAGCGGCATGTAACATCAAGACAGCTGCCTGTAACAGAAGTATTACATCAGAGATAGACAGTGACACTGGTAGCCGTATGTACTATCAAGACAGCTGCCTGTAACAGAAGTATTACATCAGAGATAGACAGTGACACTGGCAGCGGCATGTACCATCAAGACAGCTGCCTGTAACAGAAGTATTACATCAGAGATAGACAGTGACACTGGTAGCCGTATGTACCATTAAGACAGCTGTCGGTAACAGAAGTATTACATCAGAGATAGACAGTGACAACGGTAACCGTATGTACTATCAAGACAGCTGCCTGTAACAGAAGTATTACATCAGAGATAGACAGTGACACTGGTAGCCGTATGTACTATCAAGACAGCTGCCTGTAACAGAAGTATTACATCAGAGATAGACAGTGACACTGGTAGCCGTATGTACCATCAGGACAGCTGTCTGTAACAGAAGTATTACATCAGAGATAGCTATATAGACAGTGACACTGGTAGCCGTATGTACCATCAGGACAGCTCTCTGTAACAGAAGTATTACATCAGAGATAGCTATATAGACAGTGACACTGGTAGCCGTATGTACCATCAGGACAGCTGTCTGTAACAGAAGTATTACATCAGAGATAGCTATATAGACAGTGACACTGGTAGCCGTATGTACCCTCAGGACAGCTGTCTGTAACAGAAGTATTACATCAGAGATATACAGTGACACTGGTAGCCGTATGTACCATCAGGACAGCTGCCTGTAACAGAAGTATTACATCAGAGATAGCTATATAGACAGTGACACTGGTAGCCGTATGTACCATCAGGACACCTGTCTGTAACAGAAGTATTACATCAGAGATAGCTATATAGACAGTGACACTGGTAGTCGTATGTACCATCAGGACAGCTGTCTGTAACAGAAGTATTACATCAGAGATAGCTACATAGACAGTGACACTGGTAGTCGTATGTACCATCAGGACACCTGTCTGTAACAGAAGTATTACATCAGAGATATCTATATAGACAGTGACACTGGTAGCCGTATGTACCATTAGGACAGCTGTCTGTAACAGAAGTATTACATCAGAGATAGACAGTGACACTGGTAGTCGTATGTACCTTCAGGACAGCTGTCTGTAACAGAAGTATTACATCAGAGATAGGCAGTGACACTGGTAGCCGTATGTACCATCAGGACAGCTGTCTGTGACAGAAGTTTAACATCAGAGATATCTATATAGACAGTGACACTGGTAGCTGTATGTGCCACCAGGACAGCTGCCTGTAACAGAAGTATTACATCAGAGATAGACAGTGACACTGGTAGCCGTATGTACCATCAGGACAGCTGTCTTTAATAGAAGTAGTACATCAGAGATAGACAGTGACACTGGTAGCCGTATGTACTATCAAGACAGCTGTCTTTAATAGAAGTAGTACATCAGAGATAGACAGTGACACTGGTAGCCGTATGTACTATCAAGACAGCTGCCTGTAACAGAAGTATTACATCAGAGATAGACAGTGACACTGGTAGCCGTATGTACCATTAAGACAGCTGTCGGTAACAGAAGTATTACATCAGAGATAGACAGTGACACTGGCAGCGGCATGTACCATCAAGACAGCTGCCTGTAACAGAAGTATTACATCAGAGATAGACAGTGACACTGGTAGCCGTATGTACTATCAAGACAGCTGCCTGTAACAGACGTATTACATCAGAGATAGACAGTGACACTGGTAGCCGTATGTACTATCAAGACATCTGCCTGTAACAGAAGTATTACATCAGAGATAGACAGTGACACTGGCAGCGGCATGTACCATCAAGACAGCTGCCTGTAACAGAAGTATTACATCAGAGATAGACAGTGACACTGGTAGCCGTATGTACCATCAGGACAGCTGTCTGTAACAGAAGTATTACATCAGAGATAGCTATATAGACAGTGACACTGGTAGCCGTATGTACCATCAGGACAGCTCTCTGTAACAGAAATATTACATCAGAGATAGCTATATAGACAGTGACACTGGTAGCCGTATGTACCATCAGGACAGCTGTCTGTAACAGAAGTATTACATCAGAGATAGCTATATAGACAGTGACACTGGTAGCCGTATGTACCATCAGGACAGCTGTCTGTAACAGAAGTATTACATCAGAGATAGACAGTGACACTGGTAGCCGCATGTACCATCAGGACAGCTGCCTGTAACAGAAGTATTACATCAGAGATAGCTATATAGACAGTGACACTGGTAGCCGTATGTACCATCAGGACAGCTGTCTGTAACAGAAGTATTACATCAGAGATAGCTATATAGACGGTGATACTGGTAGTCGTATGTACCATCAGGACAGCTGTCTATAACATAAGTATTACATCAGAGATAGCTATATAGACAGTGACACTGGTAGTCGTAAGTACCATCAGGACAGCTCTCTGTAACAAAAGTATTACATCAGAGATAGACAGTGACACTGGTAGCCGTATGTACCTTCAGGACAGCTGTCTGTAACAGAAGAATTACATAAGAGATAGGCAGTGACACGGGTAGCCGTATGTACCCTCAGGACAGCTCTCTGTAACAGAAGTATTACATCAGAGATAGCTATATAGACAGTGACACTGGTAGCCGTATGTACCATCAGGACAGCTGTCTGTAACAGAAGTATTACATCAGAGAGAGCTATATAGACAGTGACACTGGTAGTCGTATGTACCATCAGGACAGCTGTCTGTAACATAAGTATTACATCAGAGAGAGCTATATAGACAGTGACACTGGTAGTCGTATGTACCATCAGGACAGCTGTCTGTAACAGAAGTATTACATCAGAGATAGCTACATAGACAGTGACACTGGTAGTCGTATGTACCATCAGGACACCTGTCTGTAACAGAAGTATTACATCAGAGATAGACAGTGACACTGGTAGCCGTATGTACCATCAGGACAGCTGTCTGTAACAGAAGTATTACATCAGAGATAGCTATATAGACAGTGACACTGGTAGCCGTATGTACCATCAGGACAGCTGTCTGTAACAGAAGTATTACATCAGAGATAGACAGTGACACTGGTAGCCGTATGTACCATCAGGACAGCTGCCTGTAACAGAAGTATTACATCAGAGATAGCTATATAGACAGTGACACTGGTAGCCGTATGTACCATCAGGACAGCTGTCTGTAACAGAAGTATTACATCAGAGATAGCTATATAGACGGTGATACTGGTAGTCGTATGTACCATCAGGACAGCTGTCTATAACAGAAGTATTACATCAGAGATAGCTATATAGACAGTGACACTGGTAGTCGTAAGTACCATCAGGACAGCTCTCTGTAACAAAAGTATTACATCAGAGATAGACAGTGACACTGGTAGCCGTATGTACCTTCAGGACAGCTGTCTGTAACAGAAGAATTACATAAGAGATAGGCAGTGACACGGGTAGCCGTATGTACCATCAGGACAGCTGCCTGTAACAGAAGTATTACATCAGAGATAGCTATATAGACAGTGACACTGGTAGCCGTATGTACCATCAGGACAGCTGTCTGTAACAGAAGTATTACATCAGAGAGAGCTATATAGACAGTGACACTGGTAGTCGTATGTACCATCAGGACAGCTGTCTGTAACAGAAGTATTACATCAGAGAGAGCTATATAGACAGTGACACTGGTAGTCGTATGTACCTTCAGGACAGCTGTCTGTAACAGAAGTATTACATCAGAGATAGCTACATAGACAGTGAAACTGGTAGTCGTATGTACCATCAGCACAGCTGTCTGTAACAGAAGTATTACATCAGAGATAGACAGTGACACTGGTAGCCGTATGTACCATCAGCACAGCTGTCTGTAACAGAAGTATTACATCAGAGATATCTATATAGACAGTGACACTGGTAGCCGTATATACCATCAGGACAGCTGTCTGTAACAGAAGTATTACATCAGAGATAGACAGTGACACTGGTAGTCGTATGCACCTTCAGGACAGCTGTCTGTAACAGAAGTATTATATCAGAGATAGGCAGTGACACGGGTAGCCGTATGTACCATCAGGACAGCTGTCTGTAACAGAAGTATAACATCAGAGATAGCTATATAGACAGTGACACTGGTAGCTGTATGTGCCATCAGGACAGCTGCCTGTAACAGAAGTATTGCATCAGAGATAGACAGTGACACTGGTAGCCGTATGTACCATCAGGACAGCTGTCTTTAATAGAAGTAGTACATCAGAGAAAGACAGTGACACTGGTAGCCGTATGCACCATTAGGACAGCTGTATGTAATAGAAGTATTATATCAGAAATAGTCACGAGCTGTCATTTTCCCACACCTCCTGGTTCTTGTGTGCAGTTTGGTCACATGAGCAACTATATTATATCAAACTGACAACACAAGAAGAAGTGTAGTTTCAACTTTGGAGTCAACATGTACTGTCAGCTAAATAATCTGTCTAAAGGAGAATCAATGTCAAACTAATCAGAAACATGAGTTTGTGTTTGGGACACTAAACCGCAT